ACATAAAATTAAATTCCGTTATAAAATCAATTATAAATGGATGTTCCATTGTTTGAGGAAGATTTATCATTTTGATGATATCGATTTAGAATTAGGTTAAAAAAAGGATGAAAAAATATAAAAGGCATTTTTTGCTTAACATATAAATCGATATTTATAATGCATTTGCTAATGAAGAAACAGAAAAATTAAATTAAAAAGAAAATGAAGACCATCCATTTGTTGAAGTTGAAACAGAAACTCAACCAGAAGAAATGCCTGATGAACTTGATAATTAATTATCTGGACTTAGAGAAGGGCTAGAAGGAATTGATTTTTCTTTATTTTTTGATGAGTATGCTAAACCTAATGAACTGGTTGTAAATCCAGAACCAGAATAATAATTGGATTAAGAACTGATTTAAAATAAAAAACCTTAATAGAAATATGAAGAACCAAAAGAATTTAAATAGCCTAAAGAGAAAATAGAAGATGTAATGAAAGACCTTTAAATAACCAATGATATCACTTCATCAGAAGATGAGAAAATATTAATAAGCTAACTCAAATAGAAATCAGCAGAGTTAAAATAGAAATTATAAGATTAATATGAGATTGTTCCCAAATTGGAATAAGCCAAAAAATAAACTGAAGTGTCAATACATCCTATCGATGAATAATGTATAATTCTATATTAATTTTTAGATCCAAAAATTGAATCTGATTCTAAAATAGATTATGAAGTAGAAAGTAAATATATGGAATGGTCAATGAGTTAAGATTAAAAAATAAAAAAAATAGGATTAGATTTGACAGAAGATGACCTTAGGAATCCAAGATTCTCATTGTTATAAATGGATTAAAAGTCAGAGCTAGATATTTAGAAATAAATTAATGATTTCTTGGGATTAGATGACATATCATTTGTAATGATAAAGCAAAATCTAAGAAGAAGATGACATATATTAAAATAATACATTTAATTATTTATGAAAAGATTAACAGTAGCATATTCTAAATTATATAAAATAATTATGCAAATATAACATATTCTATCTTATAGAGTTACATATTTAAAATTCAATAATAAATATCTGGGTAAATGATTAAATTAAATACAATAAATCATTTCCCTGAAGAATTTGAGTAATTGAAGAATTTAGCTTTTGGAGTATCATTGCTAGAATTCCAAAACTTAGGACTCCTTTCCACGGCATAGTATTTCTATTTTGTTTATAATAATTCTTTTTCCATTGACTAATATTTCAAACTTTTTGTCGGTTGAGCTTAAATCAAATTCTAAATTTCTTGTTTACAATCCTTAAAAATTAAAATGAAATATTTACAATGACTTCTTATAATAATAATTGAACTGATTAGATTATCTTGTCTCCATCTCCTAATCTATTTGATCTATTTTTTATCCAACCCCAAAATCTAGTATAACTTGCACATTTGACTATTTAGTCGTTAATTTTCTAATAAAAGTTTTTGGCTATAATAGAGGTATTTATATAAAATTACTGTGTCATAAATTAATTTTGAATGAGCATCTATGGCCGTAATAGGATTTAAACGATCCATCTGAAGGTCTATATCTATGTGGATGAGGATGGTGTTTCCCTCATTGACATATCCTAAAACGGTTTCAGAATATTTTGATCCTGGAGATGTGTTGACTTCCTACAAGATCCTCTCTTCGATTTCAATACTTCATCTTATAAAATTTAAACTTTTGAACAAAGCCCTTATTCTTTTTGGTTTGCTTATCCTATTAATTCTCATACTCCCTTTCAGCCTTCAATAACATTTAGAATTACCAATATAGTATTGTGTTCCTATTCAAGTCTTGAATATTGATCCTTAATTTGTTTTATTTCATCTTCCTATTGTGAACAAAATTGATTGGCCTTTTCATGCACTTCCTTTAATGTTTACTCACTTTATAATAATGCTTGCTCTAATTATTCAATAATCTTCTATTATTATAATTAAATACTTTCATTTTCTATTCTAAACTCTATTTTAGCTTTCTGTTTTCTTTGGCCAATTAATCTTATGAATTAAATGAAGCATTAAGCATAGAAGCACTATTAGAATTCTAAAATCCATATTCTTTCTAAGGTGTTTTCTGCTGAAAAATTCTTTTCTGAGTTTTACTATCTGAACTGCCATAAAGAGTTTATCCCTTTAATTATTTAATATATAAATACTTTGACTCCTTTTATTGGAGAGAGTGTGTTGTCAATTTTACTTAATAATTCTGATGCTTCATAAACTTTTTATTTTATGCTATGTTTTTTCTCGAAGTCTAATTGCTGCTATTACTTTTTAGCTTATTATTTGTAATCTTCAACTTACTTTATTTAAAATTCTAATTCTCTTCTTAGTCTTTCAACTTCTCGCTTATAAGATTCACTTTAGGTGTCATTTATTTATAATTGTTGTTTTAATGAAAAAAGTTCTTTTGATAGATTTGTCAATTAGTTTGATTATAAGAGTATTTGGTTAGTTTGATTTAATTTATTTTATTCAACTTAATTAATTAATGAATTTTGAGCCTCTAATTACTGAGTTTTATATTTAACTTAATCTGACAATTTGTAAATAGTTTCATCCTTCTTTAGGATTTCCTCCTTATCCTAATTAATATCTTATTGCATTTCATCTAGTTAATTATTTAATTATTAATTTTCTAATACTAATTTTTCATAATTCTATTTTAATTGCAAATTCTATTCTCTCTACTCTTATTCGGATTTCTTTATTTCCATTTAAATCTTTCTGCTTTATTCTAACTCTTCTTAAATTGCATGCATTTCCTCATTGAATTTTGACATTTCATTTTATTATTACTATGCTAACACCTTATTCTTTTGTTTAATTTCCTATATTTCCTTTTTTGAATGTTATAAATCGTCTTGAAATGTATGCAATTGAGCTTATGACTACTGATATTTTTACAGGGCTTCTGATTAGCATTTTTGCAATTCATTTACTTTACCTTATAAAATTTACTTTTATAGTTTAATTTCTTCTAATTCTAATATTTTATTTTCTTATTATGAAATCTAGTCTATTAATTTAGTCTTCTCTATTTTGGCTTAATCTATCTCTTTTTTAATTAATGATATTTATTATTAATAATTATCCAATAATTTATTTAATTTTTGATTCTCTAATTTAATTTGATCATTTTCGTTCTTCTAACTTTAATATTATTAAGAAATTTATTAGGATAAGGATGCTTCCTTATTTAATTTATCCACTTCTTTCTTATAATGAATAACCCATATTTTTTGTTCTTCAACTCCTTGATTACTGGATAGTAATTACTATTGCAAATCCTTAATTTAATTTGTCAACTAATTAGTTGCAATTTCCTTTTCTTTTTATGAGGTTTGTAATTTTTATTCCAATTGGCTAATACACTATTCCTTCTCATCGAGCTCCTCTAAATAATTTTGATTTTCCTATTCTAAGTCTTTTATTTTTTTTTCAGTAGTTTATATTTATTTAGTATTCTGTTAATTCTATTACTTAATAACAGTGTCCTCAGACTCTAATCTCATTTATAAATTATCAACTTCGCTTTATTTAGATTATAATATTTCATTTAGAGATTTAACCTTTTCATCAAGAATTTAAGCTGATGTGTTCTCTTTTATTTACAAATCATTAATTATTTATTTCTATTTTTCTAATTGATGATTTAATTAATCTATAGCTCCTTTCAATTCAGAATTACAATTAGAATACTTATCTATTACCTTCGATGCCTCTTCTAATCTATTACTATGATCATCAAGATCCTCTTGTAATTTTATTATTTCATTATCTTTTTGCTTGATTATATCGAAAAGTAGATTTTATTGATTCATGAAATCTTCATTTTGAATTTTCAACTCATAATCTTTCTGTTCTACATCTGCTTTCAATTGATCAATTGTTTAATCTTTTTCTGGAATAGCCTTACTTCTCAACTCAAAGCAATTATCTTCAGATTCTTTCTGCTTTTCATTAACTTAAGATAATTATTCTTGATATTCCTCTTCTTTCATTATCAACTCTTAAACTGCCTAATTCAACTCCTCCTTCTTAATCAAAAGCTCTTATTCTAGTTATTTAATAATCCCCCTATTTTCTTCTAATATTTTTTCATAATGCAATTTGAGCTCTTGAATTTCTGCTTCTTTCTATTGAATTCTTCTCTCATAATCATTCTTTTATTATTCTAATTACTTTTCCTTCTACTCCAATGCTCTCTTTTATTATTCTTCAAGTTCTTAAAATGAAGCCTATTTATCTTCAAGTTAATATTCATATTCATTTCTTTGCTAATCTATCTCATATTCCAGTTTATCTTGGTTTTCTTTAAGAAGCTAAAGATAACATGAATTTTACCTCATATTCTTTATTTCTATTTTCTAGCAACAATTTTGTTTAACTTAATTGTGTGTTCAATTATGAAATCTAGTTTTATAATTGATTAATCTAAGTTTATATCTCTATCTCTTATTGATTAACAAATTAATCTAGCTATCTTTTATTCTCATTCTTCAATTGTTAAATCTCAACTTGATGCTAATTTACAGCAGTTTATAATTAACTCTCGTAATCTTTTTAAACATTAATTTATTCTATTTTAGATTGATTAGTGAAACTTTGAATTTCCTTTTAATACTATTGCTCCTATTACTCTTATTATTTAATTAATGATTATATTTAATTCAATAGATCATCAATTTACTTTTTATTTTCTAATTCTATGTCTTATTTTTCTCTGGTCAATAAAAGGGTTTATTCTTTGAGTTCACTATTTTCAGTTAAACTAGAATGAATTTAATTTATTAAATTGTTTTACTCTTGCATTGACTTTTGTAATTAAATGAGTAGTGCTTCATTTTATTACTTTTATTCTGATAATGAATTATTTAATTCTTCTAAATTTTGATTACTTTGTATTTATTAAGTTTCTTTTTCATTTTACAAAAGAATTATTTATTACTTTAATCTCTCATTCTCAGCTTAGTATTAATTGACAGTATTACTCAATGAGTCTGATTATTACTTTGCCTGCTCTAATTAGATTTATTAGGATTGAAGTTATTAATTCAATTATTGAACTTCTTATTTGCTATCTTGTATTTATTCATTTAATTAATGAGCTTCTTAAATACATTTCTCATTTTATTCTATAATTTATTGGATCTCTTATCCTTTTTATATTAATTATTAATTTAATTATTCAACAGCTCTGCTCTTCAATTCCAATTATTCATTTTATTAATCTAAAGTTAAATCTCTTTATTTGTGATCAATGACTTTAATTTCATCTTCAACATCTATTGTAATGCCTATTTTATCAAGAGATTATTTAATTTTTTCTTCTTTTTCAACTTATTTAGCTAATCGTTCATTAAGTACTTCTTGTTCACTTTTCAATTAAGTAAATTCTTCTACTGGTACATAAATTTAAGAGAGTTATACTTGAATTTAATTTTGTAATTTCTTTCTTTCATCTAATGATCCCTTACATAATATATAAAATCAAATACATTAACAGTTGATACAATAGTATTGAGCAATTACACGTTTTCAGTAATTTACAATTTAGCTTTTTCTACATTTTTGGCAGATCCCTCTTTGATTCTCAGACTGTCAGAGAACTTTTTCATCACTGCAGCCTGACTCAAAAGAGCTTTGGAGAGTTCTTCTTGATAATCGTTTGATAAATCTTCAGCTCCATTGGCATGTTTCAATCTAACGATTTATTCATTTTATAATCTAATGATCAATTTTAATTGTTATTCCAATTGAGAACTTAATTAAAAAGCTTCCCTTAATTCTTTAATTCCGCTTAAGTACTTTTCTATTTCTAAATGCAGGGCAGTCTCACTCTCAGTAGATTGTTCAAGATATACTTTGAGTATTTCCTCGAGTTTAATGTATCTTTAATCATTAGCATTAATATCTTAAAAATTGATATTATGCATGGCTAATTTATGATGAGGATTTTACCTAAATTTTATTTGGTCGGAGATTCTGCTGATTTGGATGTAGTTTAGAGACCTACAATCCATTTGGCTAATTCTTATTTTAATCTTTTGATTTCATTTTTGAGACTTTCCAAGGATCCACTTTCATCTTCATTAACTCTAGCCTTATTTTTGACTTATTTGACTCTTTTAGAAAATAGGAGTGTAGAGAGTGTTTCCTAATAAAATAAATTGGATTATTGTATATTTGCAATGAGATGAGTTCTGGAATTACCTCCAAGAGAGTCTTTGAGTAAGAACGTGAGTTTTGAGTCACGATAATGAACATATCTATTTTATTCTTTGTCTTCCACTAAGGAATTGATAACGTTGCCGAGAATGTGGAGACTCCTATTAATTTAGCAACCTTCTCGAAGTCTTTCACCTTAAACTTAGGTATGCTTCTATCGTTCACTACCAGCCAGATCCACAAAATGGAATCTAGAAAATCTGTGATTGATAAGTTAATGACTTTGTCTTCTGGATTCCAATTAGATAGTGAAAACACTATGCGAACGGGAAGATTCGAAATTCATTTAGGTTGATGAGATATGTCTATTTTCATTGCCACGTTGAACCACTTCCATGGCTTCCACAACATTGGAACAACATTCTTCAGTCAGAAATTCAACGTATACTCCTTTGTTTAGATCTTCTCGCAGTTGCAAGTTACCCAAATCAGGATTAAGAAGATCGATAATGTGTTCATTATAAATTTCGAGATGTGAGCACTTGATTAAGTATTCGACCGAAGGATCTTTTTCTTAGTCATCAAAGACGCATCGAAAGAGATAATCTATTATACGTGGTAGTAGTCCTGGCTACAGCGATGTCCCAGTCATAGTGTATGTTTTACCTGACCCTGTCTAACCATATACAAATACACATCCGTTGTAGCCTAAAATTACAGTTAATCATACCTTCTAAACAATTGCTGGCTTATTGTTCTCCAATCATCGAAAAGATATCTTCCTATGTGGTATCTGGTCCAGCAACATTATCAAAAGAGAAGAATTTCTACTCTTACTGATTCTATCCTTCTATGACGATGGTATTCTACAGGTTTGGGTCAATTCGAATGCACGTCTTTCCTTCATCAAACATGGGTCTAGTTACATGTCTTTTTAATGTACTTTATTCTTATTGAAACTTGTATGTTATCTCGCTCTTGTTGTTTTCTTTCTGCCATTTTAATTAAAATAAATGCAATATTATGTCAAACATTTTATTCGCATACCTTTCTCTCATTATTCTCAATTGACTCCTTATATTGCCTCCTCTCTCTCCCACTAACTTAATTCCTCTCAGCTACTTCATTTCGATTGAAGACAGGGAACAATTTAAACTATTTCCCTGTTAAAACCTGGATTAATCTCATATAAAAAAGTTTATTCTGATTGACCAAAATTATTATCATTCAATCTTTATAATTAATTTATTAAAATGACTCCAATTCAATTAGAATTGAAATTTTAATTCTATTCAGGTTTTTGTTTGTCAATAATGCTTTACTTTTAATACAACATTGAGATTTCTTTCTTTCTCAATTAATATATTAATTAAAGCATAAGAAAAAAAGGATAAATTGATCCATTATTAAAATTAAATATTATTAGCAAAAGTAAATTATAATTAAAACTCTAAAAGATTTTCAGAATCCCTTTAAGAAATAGTTAGAACAAACACAATTCAACTAAATAGAATCAATCCATTTTGGAAGATCCACATTATACTTTTAATAGCATAATCCACTTGAACAAATAGAAATGCATAGATCTACTATTTAGATAAGTGAATAGCCATTACATTATAAATCAATCTATATGGTTTTTTCAAAAAGGTTTAAAAAGATTAACATCCTGAAATCAATATAAACTAATACTTTAAAATTTGACAATCATCTTCTAATCCTAATCTTAGATTTCCAGCAATTTTGTAGGGTTTGTGTTTTGAACATCATAGAATTGGTTATAAATGGAAAATCATTCAATATCTAATCTTTATCATTGTTATTGTAATTTCTTAGAGAATAATACATATTCATTCTAGACACTCAAGATACTTAACAAATTTAATAGGATTAGATCTATAGTAAATTATATGAATCATTTAGTTTAAACTTTAGTAATCCTTATAAAGAATATCAGTAAATCATTGTAAAGTGGAAAAAATTAGAGTACAGTTAATATCAACAGATTTGAATCAATCAAAATTGTTAAAAAGCTAAATCTGTAACTTTGAATGATTGTTCTACTCTCTTGAGTATTTAGGATTCATCTAAAATTCTTAAATTCTAGAATAAAATTAATACAAACTAATCACAAATCTATGACGTCAAGGTTCTCAAGTCTTTGAAACTCAAAGTTGATGACAAGTTTCAATTGAGTTTCATGGATAATAATATTATTGAAACAATAAAGAATAGTCATATCTATTTGAACAAGTAGAAGGGTTGGAGAGGGTGAAAGGAATAATCTGAATGAAGATTTTATGCTTCAGAATAATAAAATATATTACTTATTATTTATTTATGTAATAAATTACAAATTAGAAGTTTGAGTCACTAAGAGAACAACTGACCTCATCTTATAAACAATCTCAAATACTATCTACTTAGAGACACCAATGCTAACTTTATTAATCTTCAATTATTAGGAGTGAAGACAGTTGTCTGGAATAAAGTAAACTTGAACAAGAGTAAGAATAGGATTTAGAATAAGGAACGTTGCCCACTTCAATAAGGTCTATGAAGAAGAAAAAATAATAAGCTCGTGTGGTATAGATTTTACTCATCCCTTTAGATGGCATCATAATATAACTAAAAAGAAATTCTTTAAAGTACTAGCAAAAAAAGCATAATCCCAAAAATCATCATAATATAGAGGAACTATAGGAGACATTTGAATATGAAATCATTTCATAAAAAACTTAAATAACTCAGAAGCAGGAAATTTGTTGTTGATGAATTTCACTAAATAGAAAAGAATTATAATGAAGACCTAAATATCATAGTCGGTAGATTGATACCAGATATTAAGTAATAAGTTTAAATGCTATTTAGTTAGGCGTAATGAAATTTTGACTTAGGATGAGTTGCTATCTCTATTTTTAAATGTCGAACAAATACAATAATTAAATTGCAAATTTTATGTGACAATACAATGTAATTAATAATTCTATCTAAGAAATTTTACAAAAATATAAACACTTTCTTATTATTTCGTAATAATTCAAGATTTATATCCCTTTTTTTAAAATCTATTATGATTACTGCAGCAGATTTTAATTAGAAAATATTAATAAACTACGTAATAGCAAAGTAGATAATTATTATTATTTCTAGGCAGAATTCAACTCATACATTCAGGACATAGAGGCAAGCGGAATCCTTAAAGGTCTAACATTTGAATCCTTTCTTGTCAAACCTGTATAATAGTTACCTAGATATGTGTTGATGATAGAAAAGTTAGTTAAATATACTGAATTAAATCATCCTGATTACACTGGTCTCAAATAGATACAAGAATAATTCTGTAAAATCAACGAATAAATTAACCAAATGATGAATACGTAATAAATTTTAATATTAGCTTTATAGAACTCAAAGCAATTTGAAATTACTGGCGTAATTCGGAACAATTGATTAATAGGAAATTGAGATGATCTAAAAAAAGTAGCAAGAAGAAGAGCAATTCCTAAAAAATTTATAATAATAAGTTTCAATTTAGATTGTTTCCACTTTCAAATAGAAGGATGGAATCAATACATTCATTGTCTACATAATCTAAGTATCTGTATCTTATACTCAAAGATTTAAATAAATACTTACAGAATAAGAACATATCAAAGATATAGTGATTTAATTGAACTCCAAACAGCTTTATTAGATAGAAATTTTAGGACTGAATAATTCTAAAGGAACTGCATAAATCTAATTTCAGAAGACAAATTAATCTAAGCTCGCTAAGACTCCATATAGGATTTCCTAAAATCCATATTTTTTAATAAATAAATGAAAAAATATGAAGATATTCTCATTTAGCATTTAGATCTCCCTGAAAATTTCTTTGCTATAGATAAAGATCACAATGAAACTTTAGTTACAATGAGAGGTAGTTACACAACTTAGATGAGAAATACTTTGTTTTAAGAAGATGAGTTTGAAATTGTTGTATTTTTACCAGACGATAAGAGTATTACTTTGTAGATAACTAAACATTGCAAAACTATTGATTTAATAGATACTGTTTGCAGATCAATATTTTTAGATAGAAACTTTGATTTCAAATTGATGATTCTTCAAAACAACACTTGCAGATACTTAGATGACAATGAAGTTGTTTATAAAGTAATGAAAAATTACAATCACAAAAAAAGAAGTACTATAGTAGATGTATTATTTTTAGATTTCCTGTCTAAATTATTAAATGGGATCTATTATTCATTTAGTTCTCAGTAATAACCGAAATTTTATTTAAAGAAATACTTGTATCTCAGTTATGAAATTGAATTTTAAGAATTTAATAAAAATAAACGGAGATCCCTTCTATTATTTTATTAAGAATTATCGCAATTAAAATTCAATCATTCTAATTTGAGTCAAAAAGATTATGTAATTCAAATTGCATTAGCAATCTGTATTCTATATAACAATCAAATACATAAGATTAGAACATACGAAAAAGTGAGAATGCATTGGTTTCAGAACTTTGTGCCTTTATTAATCTTAAATAGTGTAAAGAAGGTTGATTGGAAGAAATAGATCTTCTAACAAATTAAGAGAATATTGATTGAATTGCAAGATTAATAAAATCAACAAGAATCAAAAAATGAAATAAGAATCTTAGAAATTTAATTCCTTAATAATCTTTATAAATAAAAATTACATGGAATGAAGATGTTCACAGTGAAAATGATGTAAAATTCATTTCTCAAAAAATAAAAGAGGATGCCTATTAACATTACACTTGGTATTCTACATAATGAGATCTTGATATTTGAATTAAATCAAAGAATTCCATTAATGTAGTTCCCAATTTAGTAATTGCAGTAGATATCTATTTAGAATAGTGTAATGGTAACTACTTTTCTTGATGGATACATTACTTTTAAACATTAATCAATTATGGAAGTCTATAGATTAATGGAAGAATACTAACAAATCAGTCTTTTAAAAGATAAATTAGGCTATCCAGATACAGTAGAAACGAACGATGTAAGTTAAATCATCTGAGTTTATTTATATTATAAATTTTGAGTTAGCATGTGTTTAAATGATCAGAGTAATATCATAAATCTAGAATGATTTTATCTTTCTTCACTAATTCTTACTAACTTTCATTTAATTAATTCTCTTGTGATTGATTTGTATTTGAATTTAGTTTCATATTCTTGATATACTTTGAATCGTCTTGAGTGGAATTGTTAATTCTTTATTGTTTCAGATCAAGCCAAGGATACTTATTTTGAATTAATATTGTTGAAAATTCAGCTCTGCAAAATGGGCAATTTTTTTATTTTTCTAGCCAAGAAGTCAAACATTTCTAATGAAATATGTGAAAACATGGAGTAACTGAACAATTTCGTTATTGTTTTTTCTACCCATGTTTTATAGATTCCAAGCATATTACGCATTCCTCAAACTGTGTCAATCCAGGATATAACTAAACAAGCTTCTTATATGCAATTACTCCAAAATAGTCCTTGATAAATTTTTCACTAAATCCTAATATAATAATGATCAAAACTACCATTAGGTTGTTTTTTTTATCTAATCACTTCTAATTGAACTTAATTATTTTGATTAATCCGTATTTATCTAAGACGTAGGGCTTATTACTCTGCTTGCAATTTTTTTGTTTTGAGGAAACTTAGAACACAAGTTACTAACAATAAAGCACCTACAACTGTTCCAACAACTATGATAATAATTTTATTCCTTTCAAGTTACCCATAGTCTGCAGAGTCATTAGATATAATTGTAATCTTAAATTATGCTTTTTCAGATTTGTTGTTATATAATCCGATGTAAAGGATATTACTCCCATATTGACTGGGTTGTAAATTGCTAAGCTCTTCTAATAGAGATGTGCTATTGTTTAGGACTTTACTCATAGACAGGTCTGGAATAGTTTTCTGGGGAATATCTCTAAATGCTAAACTATATACTTAATATAGATTAATACAAATTTACATACTGTTTTATCATCGATGGTTGTGTCCGATAATAATTACAAATCCAGATTTTTATATTGATAATAATAGAAGATCCATGAAAATGAATCTAATGCTACATTTTCTTGATTGCTACTCAAGATATATTTTGAAGGAAGCTAGCAAAAGAATCCCACTTAATTAATTTGACACTCACAGTGATCGATTTGACAATATGATTGACTTATGGATTTTGTATCATTATAACCCTGGCAATCATTTATGCAACCAGCTTTGTACGGGTCTTAATTATATGTTAATTAATAGTCAATTTAACCTCCTGATTCCGATTAGCATAGTAAATAAATTGTATGGTAATAAAAGTACTCAATAAGCTATGCATTGCTATTTGATTGTATGCTATGTAAGTCATAAACAATTTAGCTTTCCTTATTTAATTTTAAATTTTGAATGTCAAAAGTTTACGATTCTAAATCCAAATTTGAAACGAAGCAAGCCACCGCTGATTCTCTGTTTCGATCTTAATCTAATAAAAATTTGATGATTATGCTCGGAACCATTTCGGTGAAATTTGTTGTTAAAGTAAGAGTCTAATTAATTTGAATAGTGCCTTAATGATGAAAAGCATTGCAAATGTAAAAGAATAGAAGTATGAACATTTTATTATATATTATAATTTAGATCAGAAATTAATTAAAAGCTTGATATGCTCTTAATGAACACTATTATGAATTATCAAAAACTTAGTTTAATATATTCAACACGACAGTTAAAGCATAGCAATAATAGTCATATTCAATGAAGAAAGTAAAAAAACTGTATATTCAAAAAATAACTAATTAATTCTAATGGATGAAAGCAGAATTGTGATATTATTTGGGTTAATCCTATATAATATACATTAGCTGACAAAATTCTAATAATTAACATTGTTGATTAATCTAAGTAATATTTTATAAAATAAATATTAAACTTTAACTATATGAGATTAGAAGTATTATTTATTTATAATAAAGAGTATTTAAAAATAATAACATTGTTATTCTATTGGATTTAAGGGTTTTTGAAAGTAGTGCAAACAATCTTAATTTTGATTCAAAGGGGGACATCACAAATGGATATCACAAATAAATATAAAACAAAATCTTACTTTTCATTATTATTACTAGTTTTATTTATAACAATAACAATTTAAATACAGTCGCTTAACGGAGATTGATAAAATAATCTAATTTTTGAGATATATAATATATCATATGTGTTTAATAATAATATACATGGATTAGAACATTAATCAATTAGTTCTTCAGAAAATAAATTACTTTTATTTAAACTTATCTTCCTCATTTATTATTAATGTACCAATCCTATATATTATCTGACTTTGAAGAGACTCTCAAGCCTCAACGTAATTCTTTAATTTGTTCAAAATTGGCTGACATGTTTTTTCGTTAAAGATGCCTTCACCTTTTTTTTTTGAATGAACAACTTGTTTTTTACCATTTTTTGTAACTTCAATTTCAAAATATCCAGATACCTAACATATAAATGGGAATTACATTCGGGGTCTGCTCGCCTGTAATCTTTGCATGAGGATATATTATTTATAAACATTCAACAAAGAAATTGTAAAATGAACCATAACCTCATCCACTGCAATAGACTATGTGGACAGAAAATTCTGTGTCTTTCTTAGTACTCATTTGTTTAACAGATTCAGGAACTGTAGGTTTAGAGCCCATTATATTATTTAAATTAATAAATCTTTTTTGTCATTGACTTATTGATAAATTGTATAAAATCTATTCTTTTTTCTTAAAAGATAAATAATTAATAATTATTCTGTATAAAGTAATTGTTGTAAGCTTCATAATAAGCTAATAATTTGTATCATAATTTTTAATCAATATTATAACAATTAAGTTGTGACATTACATAGGTTCTCATAAATACCAAATTATGATTAAAAATGATATAAAACATCCAAAAAACTTGTGTCTATGTAATTATAAAAAAAGAATCACTAATAAATTTACTCATTTTTAATTTAAATTCTGTAATATAAATAATAAAATTTTGATGTAAAATAACTTAATCAAACTTACTTATTATTGTAAATATGACATGAATAATAAACACATCATTTAATTATTGAATTATATATCCATCAGCAATTATAATATATATAGAAGCAGTTAAGATTACATCATTTAGTGATTAATTCATTTATCTAGAGTAAATAAAAGACTATCTAAAATATAAAAATCTAATTTCCATTTTTAGAATTCCAGCAAATTATATTAAATATCTCCTCTTTAAATCGATATTAAATAGATCGGAATTATTATCAGATTAACAGAACATTGCTTCTTTTTGTCATAAATAAATAGTTTATTATGAAATATTTCATTTATAATTTTATATAAAAAGATGTAGGATAATTAAGACTTTGATCCAGACATTCCTGCTCCACCTATTTTGGATTCGCCTAAATCATAAGAATACCAAAAGGTATATATTATAGAATAATTTAGTTACAATAAAAGTATTAGGCAATCAAGCAAATAGTGATGTCAAGTGAAAATTCAAAGAACCCTTCAGAAGTTTTACAGAAATTGCAAGCGTTCTTTAATGGGAGATTGGGTAAGGTAGAATCATAATCAGAATAAACCCAGCCTGAAATGATAAAGAGTGCTAATGTTTCGAGGAGATTCATTTTTTAGAAACCTGGAACTGCAAACAACTTAAATTATACTCAAGATCTAGAAAAATAGAATTCAATCTTAAAATAAAGAATACTTAAAGTTTCTTAAGCAAGGGAGAATGATACCAATTAAATTTAGCTTGAATATAACAAAATGAAAGTCAGAGTAGAAAATTTAGAATCAGAAAATAAAAAACTAAAAACAGATTTCTAGAAGTGCTATACTCAATTAAAGGAGATGAAGCAAGAGAAGGAGGAAGAGGAGAAGATGAAATGGCATAGAGAGGCTGTTTCGGACAAAAACCCATATTTAATGGAGGAATTTCGAAAGAAATTGGATGAAAAGGATAAAGAAATTAAAAGATTATCAAAAAATCTTAAGAAAGTACAGATTATTAGTGTATAATTCCTAGTTCACAATTCTAGAAAAGAAGTTATGGGTAAAGGAAAAGGCATTCGAAGTAGAAAGAAGCGAATATTTGGATAGGATTTTATATTTAAGTGGAAGACTTGGATTAACAAAATTGGAATGATAGCTAATAAATTTTCAAAGTTTTTTTATTTAAATTAATAAAAAGTTTAAAATTTATTATTTTAATGGATATTATATCTGAATATCAAATTTATAATAAATTTAAGCTTATTAATCAATTAAATATGTCTTCAATAATAGTTAGCAAGGTTAGCATAATAATCAAAGTTAATTCTAAATAAATAATATTAATAATATGTTTTATTTCAATCTAACATCTCTTTAAACACTGCAATACATTAATTTGTATTAAATTTAAATCTATCATATGTTTTCCTTCTATAAATTCTCTTTTGACCCATCATCGCCAATTTATCTGCTTTTTTGACATATTTCCTTTTTTCTCTAACTTACCCTGATTTTGCTATATCTGAATCCTTAAATTACTCAGTCACTGAAACATATTTTCTATCTGGCTATGCAAACAAAAAGGGTTATTATTATAACTATGGTGTAGTTTAAGATTATGGAATAGGTATTTATTGTTAAACTTGATGAATAATTTTTGGTTCTGAATCTTCGCTGTCAGAGTTATTTTCTAGCATTCTAAGCAATCTAATAGATTGTTACTGTTCTGCTTTGAAAAATTCATCTTATTGTTGTTAAGTGTCCAGTTCTCGACCTTCTGCTTTGATCTTTTTGGATATATTATTGAAACCATCATTTTATGGGTCTGAATTGTTTGAATTGATGATGATTTTCTTTTGCTTTGCTTCAGAATCGATTAGTTTTGAGATTTGCTACAATGAGTCTAATATTTTAGATAGTTGATTGGTTTGCTGCTTGACTTGATCTCTGAGATCTTAGATTAATTTATCCCAAATCTTGTATTCCTAGTTGTCGGCAACCAACTAAAAAGTCCATTAATTTGATTAATCTTTATAAAAGAGCATATGTTATCCAACCTTTTTTAAAGCCATTTATTAAGAGTTGGTAGGATGCTCAACTTGGAGGATTCCTTCTACTTGTTTGAAATGATCAAACTCAATTGTTTCCTTTCTTTTTTGGTACAATAGTTTTAGACTTTCTTGGAGAATTTAATCAAACTTTGCAATTTAAAGTGTCAATTCATTTAGAGTATCTAAAGGTTCTGGATTATCATGTTGTAAAATCAAGTTAGCAACTGATCTTTTAAATTATAAGAGCTCTATCGTCATATGATTTTGGTGATCTTTGGCAATACAAATTGGGCAGAGGACAGCATGTTTGCATAAGCCTTTTAAACAGATGTGGGTCTTAACTTAACCTTCATGATATTGACACTTCATTGAATTGTGAAAAAAAATAATCCTCCTTTTAATTATTTAGTTTCTATGTAAATAGGATAAGTAATATTAACAACTCTCTATTTTATATAAGGATTAATTGTAGGTTTGCCTGGAGGAGCAATCTAAGTGTTATTTGCGCATGAGAAGGACATTGGGATATTCACATTATGTACAATACCTTGGGCATTCAAATTTGTATGGTCACCAATCTAAGATTATTATTTTATTGAAAAATTCGGCAAGCGAAAAACTTATATAGTTCCATTTCTTTCACTTATGGGAGTTCTCTTGATATTGGTTGCAAATGCTGAACATACTCTGCTCAATCTATTTTATTATTACATTGCATTGATGGTTTGTTTATCCACAAGTGACACTGCAATAGATGGATGGTCAGTTACATTATTATCCAACGTAGCTCAATAAAGTGTATGCTAAACGTTTGGATAATAGGTTGGTTGGTTCATCTCTTAATCTATTTTCATATTGCTGAATCAAAAAAACATAATCAATTTCGGTCAATATTAATAAACTCTAGGAATAATATGTATAGTCATGTCGATTATTGTTATTTTCGTTAAGGAAACGAATCCCGATGAAGTCATACATTACCAAAGTTTAATTCATCAGATTAAATAGGTGAAGGGACTTTATTACAACAAAAACTTAAGATTTTTGTGTCTATTCATCTTCCTCTAGAGAAATGGAATAGCCTTCATGGATGTAGCAGCTCCGATAGTAATGATAAGAGCAGGAATGGAAAAGGCATTCATAAGTCAGGCTTAAATTCTCATATTCTGTTGCACTTTTTGGATTCCTTTGGTGATCGGTTACTTCATCTCAGGCAAAAAGAAAGAAAATGCCTTGGTTATAAGTGCTTTGACTTATCAAACTATCAATATGACATTCTTTTTATTAGATTATTATGAATATCGAAAACACCCATTAACTGAAGGCACAATAAATTAATTTTAATACTTATTTTGTTTCCAATTGTTAGTACATGAGTATTTATATTGTTTGAATAAGTAGAATTTTTAAGAAAATCTTTACTGTGTGTGCTTTTTCATTTGTTGCCGAAATTGTTGAACCTTAACTAGCAGGAATGCAAATATCTATTATTAGTTCATTACATAATGTCAGTAGAGTGATCTTGGATCCTTTGATTTTGCAATCGACTGCATATTTTAATATATATGCCTTGGTTTTAATATGTGTGCTTTATTAGATAATTGTGTTGAGAAAATATGGAGATGAATTCAAAATCAAATAGTTTATAGCCAAAGAAAATTGGACACTTCATACGCAAGACACACTTGATGGTTATCAAGAATTATAGGAAATTAAAGGATTAAATAATCAACCATGATTATTATTATTATTAAATATAATATCCATAAGCATGCTTCGAAAATTATTCTTTTCATTTTCTCAAGACATCGAAAAGGTCATGGCTGACAAACTCACTTAAGTCTTGAAAGCCACTAAAGTTGAAGTCATTGATACATCTGGAGGATGTAAATCATTAATCAAATTACCATAGGTGGTTCTATGTATCGATTGGAAATTGAATCTCCTGAGTTTCAAGGCAAATCAAAAGTGAAATAACATTAAATGGTTGTAGAAGCTTTAAAGGCTGAATTAGCAGGTGCTCATGGGTATTCGATTAAAACTAACATCCCCAAGTGATTCACATTATTTGTTTATATAATCAATTTAATATTAACTTATTGGGTGCAACTCTCCTCACTTTTACTTTTCCATAACTCCATCCGATGAAGTATGAAAAAAGTAGTATTTTTTGGATTACTATTTTGAAAGGCTCTTTCACTCAGGAAATGGAACTAAAAGGGTTGTATGTACTCAAAATTCCTTATTTGGTAGATGATCAATTCAGGATTCCAGATATTCTTGAACGAAAAAAAGATTATTTATTATGAGCACTGTTATTAAATGTCTTATTGATGGAATTTTAATTCAGATTATAGTGATTAATAATATTTCGTCATTAATTAATAAATGCATAATCAAAGTTCTTTGTGATTAAACCCAGAAAATGCATAAATTAAATTTATTTAATGAAGAAATATACAAAATATTTGGTGGAAATACCAACTCATGAATATTAAGAGAAGAAGGTCTATTATGTCATAAAAGTAACAAATTTAGAGACAAATGATTTCAAGGAAGTAAAGAAACGATATTCTGAACTTGAATCAATTCACTATAAAATTTTGGAATGGATCAACATTTTCAAAATTAGAATCCCTTAGTTATAATTTCCAAAAAAAAAAATTTTTTTTCTCAGCACTAATCTATCGGAAGAGAGTGTTAATAAGCGTGTATTTTCATTGATTAATGTAAGAGAGCTGAATTATAAAAATATTTTAATGATGTCTTCTCACATCCTGAATTGCAAAGTTTGGGTTTAATTGAGGACTTCATTCCTGTGACTAAAAACAGAAAACCGCTTGATTAGAGTCAAATATCTCAAATTCCTAATAATTAATGGTCAGAAATAGAGGCATTAAAGAAATCTTACTTAGCCAAACATGAAAATCAGGTTTTTTCATTACCCATAGTAAAGCCCCAACAACAAATTAAGTAAAATATATATTCTACATTTATTTAGATAGTAATACACTTTTAAGTTTGGCGAGCATGGTTTTTTTGATAATTCAGCAATCTACACAATTGAAATCACTGATCATTATGCTAATAAGAGTTGGAAATTCAATCAAAGATACCAGGATTTGAAGGAAAACCATAGATAATTGAGGAAAATCTAGAATTCATTTGAACTACCAGAGTTCCCTCATAAAAAGGTCATTAGTTCCATGGATAATACTGATTTAAAAGATAGAAAAACATAATTAGAAGTCTATTTGAATTCAATATTTAAGTACGCTTGTCATTCTACTAGCTTAGACATCATGATTTAGTTTCAAGCAATCTTATGATATTTTTTATTGCCAAAAGTCAATTGGATGGGAATGAAATTGGATGTAGATCTAAAGGTCCATCATAAACAACATTAGAAAATTCAAGTATTATAAGCTAATCTAATATCTTGGATTAAAATGATGACTTTGATCCTAAACAACCGAGAAAAATTACCTGTTGATGTTCTCCTACTTAATTTGTATTTATAATAAATTTAACAGTAATATAATTAAATATTCAAATGAGCTACAATAGCAGAACTATTGATTTGATTCTCAAGGCCCAAGAACCAAATTAAAAGTAATTCACGACATTCCAACAATTCTTTAAATCCAATAACCCACCACCACTCTTATTTGAAAAAAACATTACTCCTAAGAATGTCAAAGCTTAGCGTTCCTTTTCTAATAAAACATAGGATTCAATCAAAGAAACAAAAAGAAAAAGCTTAAGTCAACTTAAATACCCTGAATACAGAATGTTGAAAATATATGCAAGAATCAAGCCAGGAGAATGCTAACTTAATTATGACAAGTAATCAATTCTCATTGAAACTAACCCTTATAATTTTGATAGAGTATTTGAATAATCAGCTACATAGGTATATAAATAAATTATCAAAGGGTGATATTTTTGACATAGTGGCAAAATAGACAGTTGATGATTTTCTAAATAATATAAATGGGTGTTTAATAGCATACGGATAAACTGGAAGTGGAAAAACATTCACTATGTTTGGGGAATCCAGCAACCCTGGTATAGTTTTAAGAACATTCACGCATTTGTTTTCAAGAAATTAAGAAACAATTTATGTTTCCATTCTCGAAATCTACAAAGATCACGTGTATGATCTTGTATCTGGTGTTTAAGATTTAAAATTGAAAGAGGACCTTTAATTAGGTTTCTATGTTGATGGATTAAAAAAAATTGTATCAATTTAGCTAATTTAATTTAGAAAGTTGACAAATTAGAAAGCTGTTAGGAATTACTTTAAATAGCTGAAGAAAACAGACATGTGGCTGAAACTAAATTGAACGCTCTTAGTAGTAGAAGTCATTTGATCTTGACTATTTAAATGGGAAAAACAAAGCTTCATTTAGTTGATTTAGCAGGGAGTGAAAAGGTTAATAAAACTGGGGCAATTGGTGAAACATTGTAGGAAGCAAAAAAAATTAATTATTCATTGTCATGTTTAGGACATGTTATCCAATGTTTATCATAGGGATAGGATCACATTCCATATAGGGATTCTAAACTTACTAAATTGTTAATGGACAGTCTATAAGCAGATTGCAGAACATCAATTGTAATTAAATATATATGAGGTTGTAGATTGTGACTCTCTCTCCTGAAAGTAAAAATTAGGATGAAACTGTTTCGTCTTTAAAGTTTGCTTAGAGGGCTAGGTTTATTAAGAAGGAAATTAGAATTGCAACCCAGAAAAAAACATATAGAGATTTAGAATTGGAAATCACTCAACTTAAATAGGAACTATTGGAAACTAAATAAAGAATGAGTTAGACGAGTTCAGTTTCATAGTTTCAATGTCGATACACTACTGATTCTGAAATCCCATGCACTGAGAGTTTGAGATTAACTTATAGAAGCATGACTAATGAAAACAAGGAAAATTATTTGCCTAATCTCAAAACTTAAGAAAATAATACTTAGTTAGAATTAGAAAATAAGATCAATTAAATTTTGGTTGAATTACAGGGATTGAACAAAGAGTAGAGTCTTGATAATGTGAAAAGATAGGTTGCTAAAATAAATGAATTAACTATTGACATGAAGAAAACCTATAAAGTTTTAGTTAGTACTCAAGGCTTGAATAATAACTAGTTACAAATTCAAAGTCAATTTATTGAAACTTAACAAGAACAAAATAAGTAGTTACAGAAGATTGCTGAATAAATATCTAGTATGGATTCTAGCAAACCAAGTTTCAATATAGCTATCAATAATATGATTAAGAATCTTTAATAATAATAGAAATAGAACATTGAGGATATGTAATCTAAATTAGAAAAGGTGTATTATGATATTAAAAAAAATACAACTGTTTAAGACTATAATTTAAATCATTTAGCATTGAAATTAGTTGCATCTCCGAATAGATAACAATAATAATAACAATAACAATAAATTAAAAGATCTTAATCAAAAACAAATATAAATCCTTCTGTTAAGTATTTAAAAAATAAAAAATGATTATAATTAATCCATATATAATACTATAATAAGATCATTTAGTCTTTCCATTTAACTTGAGCTCTTTTCTGACAATCCTTGAAAATGGTCCCATGTATCCATCAAATATGTAAGCCAAAATAGCTAAAGTGTAATTTGTATGATATGGTAATTAATCGTAGAATTCAGGAGCAATCTTTTTAACTAAAGGCAATCTTGACCAAGGAATGTTTGGAAAATCGTGATGTTCGGTATGATATCCCAAATTTAAAATTAAAAAGTTGGCAATTCCGAGATAATTATATGTTTCTAATCTATTGATGAATTCATAATGTTCAGTGATCAGATGGGCAGCCAGAGGATGAATACTAATGGATATTTATTAAATCGTTACCTCAATCCAAAATAGGTTGAAAGTATTAACCATCCCAAAGCAGATGGTCCCATGTAAATGTAAATCAAAGAATTTGAAATGATTATTGATACTAGGTTTAATATCTCATATTTATTTGGTACCAAGGGTCTGATAAACATAGGTCTAAGTGAATAGAATAAGGGCAAAAAAAGCATAAACAAAAATTTAAGGAGAGGTCCTTTTACGTGATCTATCTCCCATTAGGATGGCAAATCAGGATCTAAATCAGGTAAATTCATAAATGTGTGATGATCTGAATGATATCTTATAAAATAAAAAATATTTTTACCTTCCAAAAGTAATTGCGGATGGAACTCCCTGACCAAAATTTAAAAAGATGGCCATCAATTTATTGTACTACATACTCTCAAAGCACAAGTAATGTGTAAAATCATGCATTAAAGCATGCAGAGCATGGCTCAATACTGCTCCGATGCAGTATGATGAAACTAGATACCACAACCAATTTGTGGTTGCAAAGAAGTTTATACACCAAAATTGAGCCAACACAATGCCAACTCCAAGCCATGCAGACATTAGATCGGGGCCAAAAAGAATTTTAATTTCTGGGTGTTTTTAGAGTATTTGCTTTCTTCTTATCGCATGTGGTTCATCATGACCTAGTCAATATATCATGTAAATCATACCCATTATATGAAAATAAGACATATTTTTTTCAAAATTTGTATTGGCGAAAATTGATTCCTTATAGGAGGAATGCCCATTTCTCTTTTCTTGCTCCTTGAGAAGCTCGGGTTAATTTGAATCTTCTAATAATCCCTGTGGGTTAAGGAACATTGTAGGTAATAATTATTAAAATATATGAATTTTTGATTTTGGATATTTGCTTTAATAATATTATTTGTCAAATCATAATATAATTTATTAAATTAATACACGAGTAATATTAATACGAACTATTATTAAAAAAAAAATCTAATATATAAGGATCGAACTAATGGTCATTCTTAAACCATACACGCTATTATTCATTATGTATGGTTTGAATAAAATGTCGTTGTTAAAAGGAGATAGTCAAATATCCTTCACCTTTGCATTCAAAAATACTTATGAGTCCATGTATTGTTTTAAATAAGAGTTATTAATACTCACAATAAGAATAAGCAATGATCATCTTCAAACAGAGTTGATTCATTCTTAAAGTGTGAAATAATTAATATAAATAATATTTGAATGATATTATAATATTAAAAAAGTTGGGAAAATTTGGAATTTATTAACATAAAAGTGCTTAATTGGTATGAGAATACAGAGAAAAGCATTCGCTAACTTAATATTAATTCATTTTTACGATATTTTATTAATTTATATAAAAATGCTTAATTTGAATGATTAATTTAGTAATAAATATAATTTATCTATCGATTATCTAATTGAATTTTATTATAATATCAAGCTTTTTAAGCAGATGATAATAGACTTAATTTTTATTGAATTGACTTAATGTAAAGTGCATCTACTTCTGATGCCTTTTCTACTGCTTTTAGTGGTTTTGTAGTCCAAGAAGCCTCTACTATCTATAATATAATATTATAATTTACAGATTCCATGCTTTTAGTTTACTTGTCTAATTTGTTGACTTGGTCTGCTTTTCTTTTTAAGTAGCTTTCTTGTTAAGATGATTCACCATTAGTTTTATCATCAATAAACTATTATGATAATGTCAAAATATTACTTTTTTTTTAATTTTGTCAACTTTTTAATTATGCAATGCTAATTTCTTTCTTCTTAACTCTTCTTTTTATTCATCGTCTAAATTATCTAAATTGACAACTTTTCTTGGTGTTGACTCAAGGCCTTCCTCTCTCTTTCGTCTATCTTCTTCTTTTTTTCTTTCTTCTTCCTTGATTTTTTCTTCTTTTTCTAATCTTTCCTTTTCTCTTCTTTCTTCTCTTTCTTTTTTAGCTTATTACAAAACTTCTTATAAATAATCATGTCGCTCAAGCTAAACGATAATGTATTAAAATTACAGTTCCTAAGGTTTAATTTTTCACAATTTTTGGAGTAGAAGTGATTTATGGCAATTCTAACTTCTTTTTCTTCTTTTATTCTTGTAGTAATTTTAATTGTTTTTCTCTCTCTTCTTTTTCTAACTCAAGAGCCTTTTGATGTAATTCTCTAAATTCTTTTAGATATTCCTTTCCTTTTTATTTGGCTAAGGATTCCCTCATATTCATAATCAAATTCTTCTTTTTTTTTCTTATCTTCTTCTTTCTATTTACTCAATATGATTGATTATTCAAGGTCCTTTTTAGTCTTTTCTTATAATTTTAAAAATCTCTCCTTTTCTTTTTCTTTAAATTCTTTTTCTCTTTATTATCTGGCTTCTTCTTCTCTTTGGTAGATTTCAAACTCAGGTTCCTTTTCTTATTCTTTGTCATTTTTTTTGACCATTCTAATATATCTTTCGGGATGGATTGTTTTATCCCTTTAAACAAGTAATTCTTCCTCTTTTTCTTTATCTTTTTGGATTTTAATGGTTTCTTTAACTTTTTTATCATAATTTATGACTTTTGATTTTTTTTCTTTGGCTTAATTAATCAAGGTTTCTTTAGGAATAACAGAGATATCATCAAGAGATTTATTAACTCTAGACTCTTACAATAACCATAATTTGGAATCAAAACTTGCATTAACATTTTAACTATATTTACCAGCTTCTAAACCTAATTTCTCAAGTGCTTTCATTCTTTTTTCTTCGTATTCTCTCCTCTTCATTTTGAGTTTCTTTAAATATTCCTTCATGTGGTCCTCATATTCTTAATTATAAAATTCATTCTTTTCCATTCTCATTTTTCTCTCTTGATTAACAATTTATTGTTATTTTTGTATCTTTTTATTATACTTATCTAAAACTCTCATATATAGAGGCTATTCGATTTCAATTTTCTTTGGTGGATGTAAGATTTTACTATTAGGAGATGCACTCTTGGGTCTAATCTTTTTCTTCTTATCTTTTTTCTGACCTTCATTTTTATAGGGTTTCAATTTAACCTTAGGAATATCTACTGAGGCAATTAATGCTCTTTCCTTGTTCATTTTTGATAATTTGTCATTCAAACTCTTAAAATACTCGTCTTCCATCTTATCCATTTTTTCGAGTCGCTGCTTTTATTTAGCCTTCAGATCTTCTATATTTTCTCTCAATTTAGTATGTAACTGTTCTTTTAATTATTATCTATAAAATAGTATGAATAATGATTACGTTTTGAAAGCATCTTCTTATTTTTTCCTTTCTTCTTCTTCCTTCTCCCTCTTCTCTTTCTCACTCAATATCTTATTAGTTTTTTCTCTTCTTGTCTTAGCTTCATTTTGGATCTTCTAAACTGTCTCTTGGGCTTATTGTTACTTGTTCAGATTCTCCTCTTGCATATACAATTTGAGAGTGGGCTGACTGTAGGCACTATAAGCGTTGTTGATTTTCTGACTTTTGAGAGTTTTCAATTCAGTATCAACATTTTATAGTTTGGTTTGCAATTAATCCTTTTCCTTTTCGACAATCAAGACCTTTTTATCCATCATATGTCCTTCAACATAATTGTATTTGGAATTCTTATAAAAATATTAACTTGTAATTTACTTCTAATTGTAAGACTCCTTTACGAATTGCATTCAGGATTTTATCTTCAACTCTTTCAGCATTTCTTAATGATAGCTAAGAATAGGATAAGAAATAACCTTTTGAGAAATGGAATCTTACTTATTTTTGAGAGTTTCAAAATACTTATTTTAAAAGTCCATCATAGTTTGCTTCATCTTTTAGATGTGATCCTACATGCCATAAAATAGAAAAATTACTATATCATTTGTTGAAGCCTTGACAGTTTCTTTTTTTGGTGGAGATGCCTAAGCAGTTTTGGGTTGTTGAATTGGCTGTTGTTATTATGGTTATTGTTATTTTTAATCATTTGGTTTACCAGTGCTTTTTGGAGGGTCTTTGGCAGGAGGTTGTTATTGTGGCTATTATTTTGTTGGTGGTGCTGCGGGATTTTATTTCATTATTTATAAATATTAATTGCACATTTTTGCATATAAATCAATAACAATTCTTCGCAAATCTAGCATAAGTTTCATCAAGATTGCCCTTCATATTTTAATCAATCGTCCATTGTCTTTAACATGAGTCTGATGTCACAACACTCAGGCCAGCCTGAATCATCCAATGAATAGGCACAACCACGATTAGAAGTGTAAGGATGGTCATTATGAGAGTTTTGGTTTCCTTTATTTTGAGTTCGTAATACATATGTCAGCAATGCTTTTGATGTTGAGCCTATTATTTTTATTAATTTGAATTAACAAATATTTTAATAACACCATATAAATTCAAAAAGCCTATCCAAACAAAGTCTGATTTAATAAATAGAATGCACCTATCCTCTCGTTCTGTGGCACCATATGTCCAGCTCCCCTCACAGTAACAAATCTCAATTTGTTCGAGTATCCTTGAGTATACCCTCCCAGCTAGTTGTTCTTTACATAATAGGGTCTCCACTCTTCAGTGATGGACAAATTTAATGTTTACAATGCTATAAACCATCTCAATAAAAACTCATTACTTTGCAATGTATCTAGCCAAGGAACCACGCTATCAGCATCTCCGTTGTATAATAGAATGGTATAGAGATCATAATTGATTACTTCCTAGAGTACCTTCATAACTAGAGGAGGATCAGACACATATTTAAACTATTTGTTGTGATATCTGGAACACATAAACCATTATATACTTTCATCCACATGGAGATACGTTTTAATTTAAATGTCATTCAAATAATTTTAAATATTGTCTATTTACACACATGGTACTCCTAATTCATGATTGGTAACTTGAATAATGTTGTCATCGTGAATTAACATGAATTGTTTCATTTCTGAGAGCCACTCCTACTCATCTTCAACTTCTTTCTCTTCATAATAACAATACCCATAAATATCATATGGATTAATTCTCTTTGTTATTCTCCAAGCATTCGAATTAACATCCTTACAATCTTCAGATGTCACATTCTTCTCACAAGCAGAAATATCAAAATTTGGAGGCAACAATTAATGTTACTTTTAATATACCAACTACGAAATTGGAAGATGTGTTAGGTTTGTTATTCCGTTCCCAATCATCATTCCCTGTAAATTTATGACAGCCACTTCTAAATCATTAAATTTCTTTATCTTTTATGCAAGCAATGGAATATATGCTCCTGCATAACTTTCACCTGCCAACCACAATGGATTCTTTTAATATTCAGGATAATTGCTGTAAAATTCCTGTAATACTTTTAAATTGTGATCTGCTGTTTACGAATCATTGAATGTTATGTTCAGGGGATTATGTGAAAAACCCACTCCACTTGGACTTTCCAAAAATAATAAATGTGCTACTCTATTCCAAGATTACTCATTGTATGATAAACTCTCATCATCATCATTCAAAAATACAAAAGGACCTATTTCTTGAAGAAATCCAATCATAGACGAACACCCTTTAATATAACTGATATCTTATTACCAGGTCCTCCATTTAACCACAAAACAAGAGGTACACTATTATCCTTATTGTTAAGCTAACTCTGAACAAAAACATAGTGAAATGATTAGTTGCTATCAGTTATCGATAAATAGCCTGAGAATATTGAAAAATTAAAATCTTTCATATCAAATGGCTATCCAAAATTGATGATGATAATTTTACAGGTAAATAAGTCACCAAGTCTTCAATTTACAATCCGAAAATATGAACAACTGTTGAAATTAGAATAAAAATCATAAATTTTTATGATTATTTATTTATGTTTTGATATTACACTAAAGTAAAACACTGTAATTTTAATATAATCTTTTTCACATTTTCAGAAATATTCAAATACACTATTCTAATATAAATATATATTAATTAGATACTATTGAGTAAAATTAATGATTAAATTTTGTAGTTTATATGATATTCAAAATATTGATGATTTTTGATAAACATTTCAATATCAATCATCTAAGTGAGTTATCTATTAATTTAAAAAATAAATATTAACTAGAGGAATAAGATATAAATATGATTATAGAGTGGAGATAAATTAGTAATTTCAAAAAAAGACTGGTTTTTTTTATAAGATTTTTTAAATGAGAAATTATAAGCAATTTAATTTTTCAACTAATATGATTTAGAGCTCTACAATTAACACAATCAAGGCAATCAAGGCAAATCCAGCTAATAAAAATTTGAATTCTTCAAAAAATCAGAGCATTATTAAGCTTATTTTCATTAAGAATGATTTTGGTAGTTTTTGTAATTACCTAAATTCAAATTATAATTATTTGATAAGGATAAAGAACAAACTTATAAATTAAGTTATTAATAAATCATCTTTAATATAAAAAATTGACCAAGTTGATAAAAATGAATGATCTATACTCATTTTTTATGCTTCTTAGACTTTTTTTCTTTTCTTCTACTTCTACTACGACTCTCTTCTTTCTTGACATCTTTCTCCTAAGCTTCTTTTATTTACTATTGTTATTGTGCAAGTTCTTTTAATTTCTTTTTTTCTGCTTTTTTTTTTTCTTTCAACTAAATTAAACGTTCTGCTTTTCTCATTTCTCTTTCAACTTTTCTTTCCAGTCTTGTTTTCTCTTCTGCATCAAAATCAAATGCTGTTCCAGGCTTAAATTAATCTTTATCTATTCCAAATGCATCTCCAATTTTTTTCTCTTACTCTTCTTTCCTCTAAGTCTTAATGTGAGTGTCAGCAACATGACTAAACATATTATAAAATCTTACTCTAATTAATACTCCCCCTTATTTAACATATCTTTCAATTTATCCTCCAATCTTTAAATTCTCTATTTAATTTCTTCTTCTGCAATTCCTCTTGCTTCCAATTCCTCTTATAATGTAATTTTTTTCAACTCTATATCTCTTTTCATCTCATGTAAAATAATTTCTGGATTTGCTTTCTTTCTTGCCTAAATAACATTTTCCTAAATTTTATTAAAAATAATTTTTACTTTCATAGCCTTAATTTCTTTAAGAAATTCATCTTGCTTTCGTGTTGGTTTTATATGAGCTAGGTTTTTTTACACATACCCAGAGGTACCACTACCTCTAGGAGTCATTAAACCAATATTATTATACATAATAAATATATATTTTAAATATATAATTTTAATTACTTTTACTATGAATAAGAAAAATATTTAAAAAAAATTACTCATGTTTTTTTTATCTTCAGTTTTATTTTATTAAGCATCCAAATAAGATAAATGAATTTTTAGATATAAAATTTTTAAACCAAATTTTTCTAATTACATATACCTCAAATTAAACCATATAACTTAGAGGATAAATTAAACTATATACATTTAAAAATCCTTACAATTTACAATATTTCAGAATGCGAGACATTAATTGTTTAAATCCTGAAAATATAATTTAAAAGATGTATGATATTATGAAGAAATCTAGAATTATATTTTTATATTTCGCCATGTAGAAAATTGTTAAAGTAAATTGTATGATTCTAAAAGTTTGCTGTAATCGACATATCCAAAAATAGAAATGTATTCACTTAATAATATTAAAACTGGAAGTTATGAATTATTAAAAACATTGACTAATATTAAGTTTCTGAGTTTTACACTTTTATTTAAATAGTTTGTATTCTGAATTTTATATATTTTCGAAAATTAATAATATAAATGAATTAAAATTAAGAAGAGAATTCAAGTGATGATGTAATATAATTTGAAGATAATGAAATAATAGATTTTAATAATATAGAATCAAATCATAGTCCCAAAGATTGCTAACCTTAAAAATAAGAACTCAAAAATGCTGACGAATCGATAAATTGTTCTCAATTGATGCTTATTCAGGTAAAGATAGATAATATTGCAGTAACAACCACCTCAAAAATAACAATAAATGTAATAAATATAGAAATCCCCATAAACAACAATAAAAAATAAAAAGAATGACTGTCCTGAACTTTAGAAATTTAAGGACAATAATTATACTATTTTATAAAATTTATAAATTGACTTTAGCTTAGAATAATTTTTAACATCTCCTGCTCCTAAGGGTGGAATGATTTAATGTAGATTTTATAGAGCTTCTCCCAAGTTTACATTGTTTTTGGAATAATACAATAATATTTTATTAAATGCAGAGAAGAAATCCTTTTAAATAAAGAGCAGCTATAAAATTTTTGCAAAAGGAAAAAAAGAGGAATATCTAGGCAAAATCAAAGGAGATTTTAAGGGATTAAAATATCTTATATATGACAATGGAAAAACAGCAAAGAAATCAAAAGACATAAACTAATTAAGAAAAGAATTAGGAGTGGTCTATTATTAATCCTACGAAAAGAAGTTACGTTCAATTTAGGTACTACTTATATAATAATTAGTCATTCATTCCTTAAATAACCCCTAATGGATAAATGTATGAATTTAAGTGTCAGAAACCTTATACATCCATTGTCAATAGTTTAGATAATGTAATTGAACTAGTAAATAGAAAACCTTAATGGATTCCTTCGTATAAAGCTTATGGATTAAATTTTTATGGTAGAATATTTACAAGTTCCGTAAAGAATTTCATTTTGACAGAAAGAGGAAGTGAAATCCCAGTATTGTTATTTGGTAAAAATGATGATAGAGAATTCGTACTTGATTTTTCATACCCATTAACTCCAGTTTAAGCATTCTGTATTGCACTTTCAAGCACAGATCATAAGATTGGGTGTAAATGAAGCTAATTTTATATTAACAATAAAGGCTTCAGAATATAAAATGATTATTATTTTTAAATCGAATTTTATCATCTAAATAAAAATATAAATATTGTAGAAGTGTCAACATTTTTATAAAATTATTTTTATTATGTAACTTTATGACTTGATCATAATGATTTTAACAATATGCATTTCAATACTAAATAAATGAAACAAAGTTTAAATTAAGTCAATTGTTAGAATACTTTAAGGATCTTATGGACAATAATAATAAACATTTAATTACTTTATCTAATTTTCAAGAACGATTGCCTTGTTAATTTAAATATTTATAGGAGGCTGATATAGTTATTTAGTAATATTTGTAAATAAAGAAGTAATAAAGAAGTAATGAAAAAGTTTAAAAGGCTTAAACTGGATTGTCGGTTTTTTCATTAATTTATAATAATATATATTAAAACTAGAGATTAACAAATTAAATTAATATATAAAATAGGAAATTCCTACTATGTAAAATAAAGCTTGCGATTGGATTTGTATAGAATGCAGGAATTTGAATTATTCTTTTAGAAAGATTTGCAATAGATGTTAATAGTGCTCAAGAGATGCACCAGGAATTTAATTTATTCCAAACAAAATTGATTCTGGATTATAGATTCTTGAAACAATAAAACTTTAACAAATAGATTTAGGGGGAAGCAATCATAGTTCAGCCGATAGCAACGATGATGATGAAGATAATGGAATATTCTCTCAAGCTTTATTTCTACAGGATTTATCGAAAAACTCCGACAGTTTTAAAAAATCATTCTCTTTCTTGAAAAAATGTTAAGTTTGCTGTAATCAGAACTACTTTTACTTGTAAAAGTGTAGTAATTGCGGAAACTCTTCATTTAATTGATTCTTTATATTAACATTAAATCTAAGTCTTATAATTATTATCAATTTTATCACAAACAGCCAAATAAATTTATTTTTTTAGCTTCAGGGTAAAAGAAAATATGTTATATTTTAAACTACCTGTAAATAAACTGAAATTAATCAATTTATATATAAATATATTAATTAATTATCATGTGCCTAGATTAATTACGAAGAATCAAACTATTAAGTTAAAATGACTTATTCATTTTTAAAATCTTATACGTGCATCAATTAAGTATTTTTGTGCACTCAAGACTTCTACTTCATAATTTAGAAATAGTAATTATGATAATTTATAGTAATATTAGTATAAAAAGACATTGTTTTTTTGAATCATTTCTAACTGATAAATCGGCTATATGCTGCTACTTAATTATTTATAGATCATGGCATAATTTTTTCTTAAATTTATATTAATTAATGTATATCTAAATTTTTTATTTAAATACCAAATTTTTTCATTCTATTTTTTTATTTTTCATAGCCTAATCAGAGCGAAATACAAAAATCTTGAATTCAAAATGATAAATGTTTAAAAGCTTTAGAATTTCATGACTACATAACAAGGTCCCCGAACAAATAAGATTGTAATATTAATCATAATATATTCTTACTTCATAATTAAATTCAACTATCTTGATTTATTATTTTGATGAAGCATAAATTCTATTTCTTTAAAATATTTACAAATAAGAAAATATTATATTAGTGTTAAATCTTCTCTATGTCCTAATTGATTTATTAAGAGATCTTAGTGTTTGTATGATTTTGATTCATTTTGATACAAATACTTTTAACAAGAATAGGATAATTAATGCGTTATTATAAATTATAAAATGAATTAAGTGTGTTCATATAAATATTGTACTAATAAAACAGTACTGGAATTGGAATACATTTGTTCTGTTTGTTAAATAATGAAATACTGCTCATAAAAATGCAGGGATACTGATTGGTAGATAATGTATTTTATTGCAGGACTTTGTCTCATAAGAACAATTGCAGACCTTGTCAAATAAAATCAAAAACTGAACTAAATGACTCAGCTTCAACGTTAAAATCGATTAGAAGATCAGCAGAAGATTTTGAAATCATCATTAAGGATAATAAGATGGAATTGGGCAAAGGTAGTTATGGGTGTGTTAAATTGGTAAAAGATCGTCAAAATGGATAAATGTATGCGATGAAAGTGGTAATATTGATTAATATGATGAAGATGAACAAGAAGTAAATATTTGAGTATTGTTCTGTTGAAAATCTAAAGAGAGAGATTAAAATTTAAAGAAAGTTGCAGCATCCCCACATAACAAAGTTATTTCATTATTTTGAAGATAAAGAGAATGTATTTCTTATATTAGAATTAGCAGGTAACACAAATTTATGATATTTTAAGAAAATGGCAGTTTATTCAGCTACATCAGGAAAAGAAGAAGACTTCCTGAGAACGAAGCTTTCGTATATTACTTTTAGACTTGTTTGGGAATAGATTATTTGCATAAGAAGAACATCATTCATAGAGATTTAAAACCAGAAAATTTATTATTGGATAAGTCAGGCAACATAAAGGTCTGTGATTTTGGTTGGTCAGCAGAAACAACTTAAAACGGAGTCAGGAGAACCTTTTGTGGAACCCTGGATTACATGGCTCCTGAAATGCTAACCAATTAGCCATATAGTTTTAGTTTAGACATTTGGTGTTTAGGAATTTTATTATATGAATTAATACATGGTTATGCACCATTTAAAGGAAGGACTGAAAATGAGAAATGCAATAATATCGTGAAAATGGCTCCTATAGAGTATGATCCAACCTTGTCAATAGAGGCTAAATAGTTGATTCAGGGAATATTAAAATTCAATCCAGCTGAAAGACTTTCAATGAATCAGATATTTGATCATGTATGGATGAAGAAATTCTACAAAAGTTATGGGATTGACCTAAGATCATACATGTATAAGGAGGACAAACAAAATGATCTATCTAGTAGATCAATCTCACCATAGAATGAAGATTTAATGAGTAGATCATTTAATAAAAATACAAAATAGATTAGCAGTAATGGCGATATAAAAAATTTATCAAAATCATCAAATTATGTAATTCCATAAAATGTTAATAACAATTGCAAGTCTACAGCTTGTTCTAATTATAATTAGGATGATGATTTTAAAACTAGAGTAAGTAGAGTATCCCAAAGGTAATAAATGGCTCAAGGATTAAGAGAAATACAAGCTCCATAATAAAGATAAGAGGAAATGGGATTTATGGATAAGGTATTTTCTGCTTTTGGGTGTTTGAGCAGAGATAAACAATAATCATAATCTCATAATTATTGAATTTTATGTAAAGTTATTTTATTTAACTATCATAAGAGTGTTCTTGTGTTATATATCTTTTGATTATATTGAATATTTTAACATTTATCAATTATTTTTTTTCCAATAACTTTCTAATTCTCTATCTAAATTATTTTCTTTTGTATTCGATCCTTTCCTAGAGAAATATGAGTCTAAAGCATTGTCTAATTTAGAAGATGCTTTTTAATAGATTAGAATTGATACCACTATTTCCTACTACTTATTGTCCACTCTTATATTATTCTAATTGTTTGTCCAATTTATTTTCTAAATTTTCACCTTTGTTTTCAGACAGCTTTCTGAATCTTCTTTTGCCAGTCCTGAATGAATCAAATTTACCTGACTTCTTGAATCTAAAACTTCTTTTGAATGGTCTTCTATCTGCTATATAATGGATAGTCTATAAAATGCCATTTACATTGATTATTGTTATCACGATCATTATCATCTCTGCTGAATTTCCTCTAGAAATTTGATCTAGGTCTTCTGTTATTTCTAAAGGGTCTATTTGACTGATTATTGTTTCGTCTAAAATTTTTCATAATTTTTTATTATAATATCTATATATTATGATCAATGGAATAATTGGATATTAAAATTTTTAGAATCTCCCTCTGAATTTCAAAATTACTAACACATACACCAAAAAGAATAGTAAACCCACCAATATTTTGAAATTGTTGTTCCTTCCCATAGGAATACCATAATTAAGTCTGGATTACACTAAAATGCCTAAAATAAATTATTATTATATATCATACCAAATGGTTCAGCTTTTTGCATACGTATTTAGCACCAATCAATCATTATTTGTTTCATTTCAACAAATTCAAAATCATGCTATAATTCATGATAACCATTCTCAAACAATTTAATAGATTTATCTCGACTACCACATTTTTCATAAAATCTTACACTCTCATGATAACTAGAAACAGCATCTTATTTGCCATGTAAAATTATTATGGGATATTTAAAAGTCTACACCTTTGATTCCATAAAGTTTAAGGTTTCAAGAATACTTTTGGCCATCCCAATACCTAATAGAGGCATCATTAGCTTATCCTCAAAACACCTTTAAATGTGTAGATCATCCTTGCTCATTCCTGTAATGTTGAGTTTTGTATTAATTACTAAATCCTACAAGTTATGACAATTAATACTTCCATATAATGTCCAAAGTACTTAACTGCTATATATTTGATTCCCTTCAGTTTTCTATCCATGGGAAAACCAAGCATCGGAGCTGTAGTGATAATCCCACTGATTTTCAATTGAGGGTTCCTCATTAAAAAACTGATTATGAGTAAGCCACCCATTGCATGTCCATAGAGAAATAACGGAAGATCTTTAGATACCTATCTTAGCAAGACTTCAATATCCATATGTAATTCCTTTAAGGTTTAGGATCCTCTTGGTCCTCCAGAATATCCAAATCCTCTTAAATCGATTAAATGGACAGCAAAATTCAACTTAGCAAATATGTCAGCAATCTCAATAATTAGTATTTCACATTACATGTAGAAATCTTCCTTAGTGTTCTCCAAAGCCATGAACGATGCACAAAGATGCTTTTTTATGAGGCGGATCAAATTTGGTGTAATAGAGTCTCAATTCGTCTCCATATCCACCAATATATCCACGCATAACCTTGTAATCAGGCAATTAGAATTCCCCTATAAATTTTGAATCATCTTTAAAATAATCATTAATTGATTCTTATTCTTTTAAGTTCATTATATTAATTTAACAGATTAGTTGATGAAATTAGCTGATCGTAAGAAATTTTCTGTTCATTTGGATATGTCTGCTTTAAAACAAATAATCCAAACTGCTCATCCACTCTCCACTAAACGCAAAATCGACACTACTCCCACCAGTCCAAATACTCCTGGGATAGCATCAGAAAAGAAATTCAAGCCAGTTTAACCCTTACATACTAACATCAATCTAAACAACAACAACAACACTATACAGAATATTATACTCAACTTTAAAAATAAAGCCATTAAAGAAAAAGAAAATGCTCCAATTTCAACAATGTCAAAATTTCCACTTTTAGTTGATTAGTTTATTAGATTGTTTAATTTGAGTAAAAGTGAAGTTCTTGAGGTGTAACAGTTGAAACAAGTATATTATTACAAATAATCCAAAATTTAATAAGATGGTTAAAATGGAGAGTATTTGTTTTATGCTAAAGATCACATTAAATATCAATATGAAATTATTAACCTTATTGGATAAGGCAGCTTTGGTCAAGTATTCTAAGTGTTGGATCACAAAACACAAAAGACATTCGCTCTCAAAATTATCAGAAATCAAGAAAAGTTAAAAAAGTAAGCATTGGTCGAGGCAAACCTTCTGATGATGATTAGAGAGAGAGACCCATTAAACAAATCTAACATAGTGAGAATAGAAGAATAATTTAATTTTAGAGGGCATTAATGCATAGTTTTTGAAAGACTAGAATGCAATTTGTTTGAACTTTTAAAACAATAAAAATTTAGAGGTTTAGATTATGAAACTTTGAGAAAATTTTCATATCAAATTTTAATCGCCTTGAATTATCTATAAAAACTCAATATTGTGCATTGTGACTTAAAACCAGAAAACGTCATGGTATAAGATATGAAATCAAAAATAGTAAAACTAGTTGATTTTGGTTCTGGATGCATTGATGGAAACTAGGTCTACACATACATTTAAAGCAGGTATTCAATCTCTGATTAACACTTAGATATTATAGAGCTCCAGAAGTTATATTTGGATTGAAATATGGGATGGAAATTGATATGTGGAGTTTTGCATGTTTAGTATCTGAAATCCATACTGGATAACCAATCTTCCCTGGAGACAACGAAATTGAACAATTTAATTTAATTATGGAAGTTATAGGAGCACCATCTACTGAATTTGCATTAAAATGTCCAAGAAAGAAGCATTTCTTTGATGAAAATGGATTGCCAAAAAAAACCATCAAAACCTATCGGAAACCATAATCAGTTTAGTTATAAGAAATTCTTAAAACTACCGATGATGACTTTGTCGATTTCATTTAGAGATGCTTTACTTGGGATGCTGAATCAAGATTAAAACCTTAAGATGCATTGAATCACCCTTGGATTTTGTCTGTTAATCCTAGAGAAAATAGTTCAAAATTGAACAATAAATTCTTCAAAGATAACGACTCAAGTAGCGCCTTCAAAAAATCCAAAACCCAATCAAATACAATTCTGTAGGAATTTGAAAAAAAACTAAGTAAGGATAACATTTTTCTAAAATTACAACAAACTCGAACTTTAATTGCTAATAACACCTTTGAAAACAAGCCAGGTATTGTTATCTCAATAAGTATTATTTAGTGCTGAGTAGCAGATATGTTAATGATAAGCCAACCTCATCTGATAGAATAAGATCGAATATTGCCCACTCAATACACTAAATACTATCATGTAGACAACATAATGCAAGTAACACTTAGTTTATAAGGAAACCATCTTTAGGATGATTGGATAATTTCATGATAATCTCGGCAATTTATATATATATAAAACTAGTTATGAATCAGTATTATTTTTATTCAAGTGAATTTTGTCTTGACCATGTAGTGTTTCTTGTTTCAAATGTCTACTATATCTTTTTCAACAGTTAGGTATTATGTTTAATGTAAGGTCTTTCAGTTTTGAGAGTGGATTTACTTTTTTATTTTTAAAGAACCAAATTTATTTCAGTAGTTAATTTTACAGCAGGTTTTAGCTTAGGAGATGAAATAAAAGAACATATTTAGAGATTTTATAGGGATACACAAGATTTGGTTTGAAAGTGGGTTTTGACTCTACTTTTTTCTTGTGGTAAGACATTTTGTTAGAGTTTACTTGATAAGAAATGACACATCTTTAGATCTAATCCTTTAAAATAGCGTTCTTTCTCTAACTATAGCTTAGATTTCACTTTTGGTTTGGATGTCAAGATTAATTTTGGGGGCGTTTTACAAGAAGGAGGTCTCTCCATATTATCATATTCTTTGAATAATAGTAATTGTATAATACCTATAAGAGATTCTTGTTTGGATAGCTTTTTAGATAGCTTTCTAGTTGTTTTCTTTCTTTACTTTCTTTCTAACATTATTGCAAAGCTTGCTATTGCCAGTTCTTATTTATTGACTTGCTTATGTTATTCGATTACTGTTGGGAGATTTAACATTTCTTTTGATGTCAATTGTCCAAACATTAATCCATAAGTTGATTTCCTTCTAGACTGTTGTTGTTGCCTAATCTCAGTGATTTTAGCAACAGCATTTTTAAGAGGTTAGAAATACCGTTTCTTTAGCCTTTCAATCAATGTCAAGGTCGTAAATTATTGATCGTCTTCCATTTATGGGATTCGACATGAAGGTGGAAGTGACTTACTTTTTTATTTCTTCTTTTTTGGAAATACGATCTTCCTTTATTTGCTATGAGGTGTTGTAGATGTTTTAAGAATGAGATTTTAATTATCTCTTATATTTCTAGGTGAAAAGAATGAGAAACCACTAAGTTCTATATAATTGAAATTTATACATAATTGAGTCATTGTATGCATGTTTATTATTTATTATTTTAATATAATTCTGAAACCTTATACATAAACATAAATAGATCAGTTTGAACTTTAGGAATATTCTAAACCTGATGACAATACTCTAGAAAAATCCATGAATTATATTTAGCTATTTCAATAATTAACTCAAAAAATCATTATTTATTAATTACTTTTGGTTTATTAAATAAATTCATTTAAGTTTTTATTAATTCTTCTTTATGGAAATATTTGGGTCTATATGAATTTAAAGTTTTTCAGATTTGATATCAAATACTACGAATAATACAAGATCAATATTTTCAAATAAGTAAATTTATTCTTCTTTTTTAATTAATTACACTTTAGCACTCCATTTCACTAAACAAAGTAGAATCTTTTATGTAATCTAAATAATACTTAAAATAATTTATGATTAAATTAATATACTTTTTCATCATCTAAGGAGCAATTAATAAAAGATGAAAAACAAAAATCTTATATTATAAATTTTGACTCTTAACTTGAAGCTCAACATTATGAATTAAAATTAAAAACAGAATGTTTAGTTAAGTAGATAATTCCTTGTAAAACAAAGTATATTTTTGAAATAGTCTTTGAGATCTCTAAATTATTTCAAACAGAAATTCATACAAAAAACAAATTCTTAAATATTTAATAGTTGCTCAATTACAAGCTGATTTAAAGTTATAATTAGTTTGAAAGTTATAATTAACGCAACATCCATAACACTTATGGCTGTTGAAAATAAAGAAATTTAAAATGTAACAATATACTCAGAAATTCATCCATTAAGCAAACACTTTAAATACATTTTAGTGGGTCCAGAAATTATAAAATATTACGAATACATTCACAAATTTCAGATTGAATAAATTTTGTCTTTCAAATTTAGTTTTTAAATGATATTATATTCTAACTGATAATACTTAATATCTTGCAAAGTTAATCTTAATGTTTTGAAAAAGATCAAGATGCTTAATAATAATATCAAAATGAATGCTCTTTGAAATCGAATAAATAATTTTTAACTAAAATAACTAAATTTTTGATTTGATTATTAAAAGAGTAATTCGCTTTACTCTTTGTTTCAACATTTATTTCTAAATAAATTTTTTATTAACTATAATTAAATTATATTTTAGTGATTATCATATTTAGCATATGAGAATCTAATTTTGTTATTAGTTCTTAATTAATTTTATTCCTTTTCTCTTTCAAGCTCGAGTTATTGAATAAAATTAATAGTTTAATACTTAACTATTTAAATCTATACTATCATAGGATATATTTAAAATAATACCTTATTTAAATTAACCCTTGTTTAATTTTATGAATAATATGTGATAAGGTTTGAATGAATAATATATTTAAGATAAACGAATTAAATTTAAATAAATAATTATAACAATTTCTAATAGGTATGATTGATGATTTAGAATAAACTTTGTATAATGACTTAAAATAAGCAGGTGTAATTTTTGTGATAAACTAGGTTCTTCTAGAATCTCAGATTCGTTTAGACCGTAACTGATTCACTTAGATATGTAAGACATACCTTTTAAGGAGAACTCTGAATCAGATTCAATACCATAAGTAAATTCAATACAGAACCTTCGTTTTAAAGATATTAGTATTTCGAAGAGCAAAAATAAAGATATGTATTCATTGAAGAGCTTCCAATATTAAAATAATTTCTTAGATAAAAACGATAAGCAAGGGCATCAAAGAAATAGTGGGATAACTAAAATGTTGGCGATCAACAATCTCGCAAAATAGTTTATAGAGAAATTAAAAAAGAAGGCTTATATATTTCCAAGTGTCCTTGGGGAGCAAATAAGAGAAAATTTAAGAGAGGTTATGCTCAAAAAAAAAAATTGGAAAAAGATAAAATAAATGCAGACTTCTGAAGAGAGTGTTAAAAATTAGATTTTTAGAAAGCTGCCTGTCTTTAATCCTGCAAGTAAAGTGATGTTAATATGGGAATTTTTTAGAGCTCTTTAATTAACAATATTATTGTGGTGGTTGCCATTTAAGATAGCCTTTACTCCATCTTAGAGCAGAAATATTGATGCCTTTGAGAGTGCTTTAACTTACATATTTGCAGCAGATTTAGTAATTAAGTTTAATAGAGGTATTTTTGATTAAGGTAAATTGATAAAAAATAGAATTAGCATTTTGAAACATTACGTTTCAAATGAAATGCATGAAGACATAATATATTTTATTACCTTAATATTTGTCATAAGTGATATAGGAATAAGAGCTAGTGGGTTTTAGGAAGTTATAGTACTGGTACAATTTGGTTTGAATTTTATTAAATTGAAGAAATACTTAACTAAATATGAAGAAACCTTTGTTGAATCTTCAATACTCACTGAGATAGTAAAGTTAATATAATTGATAATTATTACTTTTTATTTTGCCCATTTTATGGCATGTATTTGGTATTATGTTGGAGTCAAAAGTTCAGAATTGAATGAGATATCCTGGACTCAAGATCCAAAGTTTGATGATGCTGGTATTTTATCGATGTATGTGTATTCATTTTATTGGGCAACAACCACAATGGTAACTGTTGGATATGGAGATATATCAGGTAAGAATATTTACGAAGTATTATGTGCCATTGTGCTCATGATATTTTCAAGTGGAATCTTTGCCTTCTCTATGAATCAAATTGGGTCAATATTTACAAATATGGATGTCTAAAAATAACAATATAAGAGAACTTTATTGCTGATTAATGAATACATGAATAATAATCAGGTTGCAGAATAACTCCAGGGTCGAATTAGAAATTATTTAAAGTATCATTATCATAAATAAGAAAAACTTTATAAAAATGAGATAAGTGGTATCATAGAAAAATTACCAACTACATTAAAATCAGAATTAATTCAAGATGTATAATTTAGAGTTATGTAATGCATTCCTTTTTTTAACAAAAACTTTTCAGAAGAAATTCTCCCTTAAATTGCTTGTGAATTAAATCTTTAATCGTACACGCCAAGAGAAATCATCTATCAATAAAAGTAAATAGATGAGTGTAATATCTTCATTGTATGGAAAGGAGAAGTAAATTTAATTGATGACAACTCAGGGAAAGTACTCAAAAAGTTTACAACTGGATAGTGCTTTGGAGAATTAGAATTTTTGACTAATCAAAAGAGATTAGGTACTGCAATCAGCTGCGATTTCAGTCAAATCTATTATATATCTAGGAATTAATTTTTGAAAATACTGAATTCTTATAATAATGATTTTTAAAAATTTCATTTGTTGAAGGATTAAATTTTATTTCATTATCATTCTTCTACTATTGAGTGTTATTGTTGCCAAGAATCCCATTCTATTTGGAAATGTCCTTATATACACTATAAACCTGATTTAGAAAGAGTGATCAAGAAGAGTTTCTTTTAAGATTCTTTTTAAGAACGCTCTTAATTCAAAAGAAAGGCAATTCGTTAAGGTGTTTATTATTAAGAGAGTCTAATGTAAAGCTCAAAGCATATCAAAACATCCAATGATTTAGACAATGCGACTGGAGGAGATATCCAACAAATAGGATCTATAAATGAATCAAATGAATCAGCTGAAGAAAGTGTTAAATATGAAAAAAAAAGTGATTAGATTTTGACTTTGTCCTATGGTTTACCTAGTGAAAATAGGAGAATAAGTCAAAGATCAAAATTTATCCCTGCATCTCCACTTAGAACAGAATCTCCATTAAAAAAGCCCACTGATTTTCTTCGGTATGGTTAAAGACCAAGGAAAAGCTTTTTCTATGCTGAATAAAGTGCTTTTAATGCTAACTTAACAAAACGTCATGAACCTATTTAAAAAACTGCATCTTTAGGTTAATAGTAGAATTTAATCAAATAATCATCTAATTACGAAAATGATAACAATCCTGAACCATTAAATATAATAGAAGGATTAGATAAAATGATAATTTATTCTCATTATTTTCCAGATAATAATTTTGACAAGATCATAGAATCTTTCTTAAAATACATAAAAAAATTTAGATTAAGTCGACAATATATGATTCCAAGCAAATATTCTTTTGTAAGGCTATAAAAATATGATAAAATGAAATCCTAATGGAAAAAACCACTTAGTTTTAAATAACATGATTTTATACGATGAAATTTTAGATTTAGACAGTTGTTTAAATTGATTACCAATAAATTGTAAAATTAATATAATCATTTTGGAATTTTCATTATCATACTTTATCTATAAGTCTTATTTCAAATAAAATAAAAGAAATTACATAGAATATAAATATAAAAGCAGGAAAATTATCATTAATTGGTTAATATTTTTTCAAATATTATGTATATCTAAAGTTTCCCATTCAAATTTGTATATCTTAAGATTACTTTACAACAAGCATCATTAATTTTCATTAGAAATATAGATCAACCAAATAAATCCCTACTTTGATGGGTATTAAATTTATATCTTTTCTTTTTTCTTAAGGTTTTTTCATATTTTCTAGTTTACATCGTTTGTATCAAACCATCTGGTGCATCCTAGTTCCAAACATGAATATTCAGTTCCGATGTTACTATGGTCTCCATATTTATCTTATGGGATATGAGATAAATCTTTTGCTTTTATTCTAAATTCATTATCCTTTCTTGATTTTGTCAATTAAGTGCACCATTTGCTAACTATAAAAGCACTTTCCATATGGCTTGATCATTGATCTATTAGGTTGTGCTTGTTTGAACATAATTTCTTCCATAAGACTATCTGATAATAATAATAATGTATAATGCATTTTAAACTAAATAAATTAAAGATTTTATTTTTATTTGAAATATGACCAAAAAAACAAAGAAGGTGGGAATTACAGGTAAATATGGTACCAGATATGGTGCTTCTTTGAGAAAAATAATCAAGAAATTTGAAATTTCTTAGCATCAGAGATATTTTAACACCTTCACCGGAGCTGTATGAATTGAATTAGATATTTAGCATTCATTGAAAAGATAGGCTATTGGTATTTGGAGATGCACACAAACAGGATTACAAATTGCAGGTGGAGCTTGGGAAGTAAAGTAAGTGATTAATCTATTATGAGTACTCCAGCCGGTTTGTCTGCCAAATAGGGTATGCTCAGAATTAAGAAATTGAAGGAAGATGCAGAAGTTGAAGTCAAAGATGAAAAGAAAGATCAAAAACAAAAGCAATAATAATAGCCTAAAGAATAAAAGGAATAACAACAAACTTAAAAATAAGGATAAAAAGGAAAATAATAATCATAAGGAGGAGACAAAAAGAAGGTGCAGGCAAAAAAGCAATGATATCAAATATATTATTTTACAGTACACAATAATTGCATTTACATTCAAATAACTTCCTTAATTATTACCAACTTACAGAATTATTATAGATTATATAATTATACAAGAATATTATAAAATGATATTTAAATATCTGTGAATTTATTGATTTCTGATAATGGAGGCTTGATTTAAACAGTAATATAAAATTTAAATATATAATAATATTCATGAAAGCAACTAATGTTGGAATTGAAGCGATTGAAATCTATTTTCCAAAGACCTATGTTAATCAAGCAGAATTAGGTACTAAGAAATATTTAGTTTTTAGAATTATTTGATAATGTTTCGTAGGGTAAGTATACCGTAGGATTGGGATAAGTGAATATGGCCTTTGTAAGACCTTTTGAAGACGTAAACACCATGGCATTGACAGGTATATAGAGATCTCTATTATAGTTGTCACGAATCTATTAGAGAAATATTAAATTAATCCTGCACTAATAGGTAGATTGGAAGTGGGCACAGAGTCGTTGTTAGATAAATCTAAATCAACTAAAACTACACTTATGAGATTATTTGGTGATAATACAAATATTGAAGGAGTGACTTCAATAAATGCATGTTATGGAGGAACCAATGCTTTATTTAATACTATTGATTGGATGTAGAGTGACGCTTGGGATGGTAGATTAGGAATTGTTGTCTGTACTGATATAGCAGTTTATGCTAAAGGATCAGCACGTACTACTGGAGGAGCAGGAGCAGTTGCGATGTTAATAGCTCCAAATGCAACTTTTACATTAGAACCAATTAGAACTACTTATATGAAAGATAATTATGATTTTTATAAGCCAAACTTTCACAGCGAGTATCCTACTGTAGATGGTTAGTTGTCAATACAAAGTTACTTATAATCTATAGATAATTGTATTCAATCCTATTTTAGGAAGAACAATAATATTAATGCTGACTTTCATTGTTTTCACAGTCCTTTTCATAAGATGGTTTAGAAATCATTCTTAAGAGTCAAGTTGAATGAATCATTTGTTCAAAAAGTTGAGACTGAATTCACATTTTAAAACTTCAATGAAAAATAATCACAAATGCTTAAATTCTATTAGAATGATTGGTTGAATAAGGCTTTACCATCTTGTCTTTTGTCTAGAGAATTAGGTAATATCTCTACAGGAGCTCTATATGCAGGATTAGTAAGTTTGATTGAAACCTAAGATGATTTAATTAATAAAAGAATAATGATGTTCTCATATGGATCAGGCTGTGCAGCTTCACTCTTCTTTCTGAGATGCAACAAATCAACTGGAGTATTGAAATAAAAGTTGAAACTACAAGACAGACTCAAATAAAGAATCAGAATACCCTGTATTGAATATGATCACATTATGTAACAACGAGAAATCAATTACAATAAGAATAGCCAATAATATTAGCCAAAATAGGTCGATTTGTATCCAGGGACATTTTATTTGAAATCAATAGATGATAAATATAGAAGAGAATATCTTGTTCATAAACAATTTGAATTAAATTAAACTTCAGATATGATAGTAGTTGATAATTCTAAACCTATCAATAAGATCCAATAGATAAGAGATTAAATGACTAATAATAATGGCAATAATGATTAAAGTACTTAATAATAATCTTAAAAATAATATAATTAAATATGGACTGGATTTTATAAAAAAACAATTTAATAACGTTTGGATTAACTAGAAAAAACTATGAATGTAAACGTTGAACCATTTAAAGATGGAGGATTGTCATTATAGAATGCAAATTTAATGGTTGAAAATTGTATTGGAAAGATTTCCTACCCTCTTGGTTTAGGATTAAATTTCATGATTAACGGTCAATGCTATTCTGTACCGATGGCAATAGAAGAGCCTTCTGTAATTGCAGCAGCAAGTGCAGCAGCTAAAACTATAAGCGAAGCTGGTACTGGGTTCTAAACATACTCAAGTCGTCCAGTAATGATGGGTTAAATATAATTGTTAGATGTTTAGAACTTTTCAAAAGTTGAATGCTTAATAGATTCAAATAGACAAACAATTATAAATAGAGGAAATTAAGCATGTCAAAGTATGGTGAAAAGAGGCGGAGGAGTTGAAGATGTGAAATGTCGAAATCTAGGTAGAGGACAATGTAGTGTGGATATATTTGTTAATGTGTGTGATAGTATGGGAGCTAATTTAGTAAACACAGTTCTGGAATTTGTTGCTCCTTTGATAGCTGAGATTACTGGAACCAGAGTTGGAATCAAAATCTTAACTAATCTATGCACGAATAGAAAAGTAACAGCTTAGTTCTGTTTGGATATAGATAAGATGAATTACAAGCAGTTGACTGGCAAAGAAGTTGCCAAATTAATGATTGAGGCATATCAATTTGCAGATCTCGATATTTATAGGGCAGTGACACACAATAAAGGAATTATTAATGGGATTGAGGCTGTGTGCAATGCTGCAGGACAAGATGCAAGGGCAGTTAATGCATCCTTACATGGTTATGCATCAAATTAATGGATAATACAGGCCACTTTCATCCTATAAAATAGTTGACAATAGATTTATAGGTGAATTAACAGTTCCTATAAGTGTTGGAACCTAAGGAGGAGTGCTACCTTAGAATCCATTGTATTCATAGATTTTGTCTATATTGGATTATCCTGATTCTCAGAAGTTGGCTGAAATCATAGTATCTGTGGGTTTGGCTTCTAATTTTGCAGCATTAAGAGCATTGGCTGTTGAAGGCATTTAAAAAGGACATATGACATTGCATGCAAGAAATATTGCAATAGCAAGTGGGATACCAGAACATCTGGTTGATGAAGCAGTTCTATTTATGAAGAATAGAAATAGTTTTAATAAGTAAACAGCTTTGGAGTTTCTGAAGGCTTACAATATATTTTATGAGATTGGAAAGGCCAAAGGAAAGTAAATGAAAGCTTTCTGCACTTTTTCAGGGTCTTTCGATTTGATAGATACATAAGAAAAAGTAGATTTACATGTTGTCTTTGAATGTGATTAAAATAAGATCAATTTAAATTATGCAGATGACTCTCCAATTAATAGACAAATATTTGGATTGAAAGGTTAAGAATGGTTGAAAGAATCTGGTTTTCAGTGTTGAACACAGTCAAGATTAATAGAGAGCCTGAATTGTATAAGTCCAATAATTTAACATCAAAATTAAAGCTTTTAGCTATATTGATCAATTTACTGTCCTTCAATATGTTAAGTCTTGATTTTGATAGATCTAAGAATTTCATTTTGAATCAGAAACCATGTTTGGGGGGAGCAGTGTCTCTGAAATATGGATTGTCCTTAATGAATGAATTAATTCACATCTTCGAATACAATATCGATTAGTTTATTGGGTTTCCTGAATTGAGATAAGCTCTGATGGCTGAATTGAATAACATCATTTTGGCACATATCAAATCATTTGAGTTATTGTAACAAGCAAAACAAGGTTAATTCAGTTGTGATGAATTCTTATGCACTAGATAGAAACGATTGTCTTGTACAATGATGCTACTCTGTGATTGTATTTCTTTGAAGAATTTCAGTCCGTCGATAATTGAGGAGATCAAATTACTTGGAAGAGTCATTGAAATTTAGATGACTTTGACAAGGGACACATAAAAGTGGAATAAGTAAGATATTATTACTATAGTAGATCAACTCTATCCGAACCCAATGTGTATACTTACTGGCTGATTGCTAATTAGAAACTGATACTTGGGGAGAATGGGGAGGTCTTAGCTTCATTTTATAATGAGCATAACAAACTGCTATTGTCTCTGGTCTAAGAATTGGAACAGAAGATTACTCCGTAATTAAGTCATCTCAAGGATTAAGCCATGAATGCTATTCAACTATTTTATAAACCGAGATTGTGATAATTATATTAATGAGTATTATGAAACAAATATCTGATTCAAATGAATAGAACAGAGATCTCCATCCCAATGGTCCAAGATTGAAATTTGATTAAGATGAATTACAAAAATTCCAATTCTAATAAATAGACTCCAACTCATCTTTGCCTCCAAATAAAATGAAAAATACTACCCATTGTGAGTCCACAATTCTCAAATAAGAAATAAGCAAATAGGTATGCATGCCATCTCCTTTTTACAGTTGACAAGAAAAAGAAGATCTGAATTTAAGATTGGTTTATATCGAACAAGTTTCCTAAGGACAATCAATAGAAATTCCCTTGTTCAAAAGTTCAAAAACATTCTCCTCATGCGTTCCTATGTGTTGAGTAAAGAAAATAAGTATCTTTTACATCAAGATTGGTGGCAAAGACAAACTAAAAGTAAAAATGCATCATAATTTAAGGAAATCAATATACTCATAGTCGCATCCCATTCATTATCTCAGGTAGTCATGTTTCAATCATTTTAACCATATGGTCTCTCTTCATTCAGATAGTCACTTTATGGATTACACCTTTTATGATCTCATTTTAATGGGAAACTTCAATTTTCTAAGTCCTCTTTATTATTATTATATTTTAAGTCTTTTTTGATGTTTTTATCAAAATCAATAGTCCATTAATCGTAAATGGAGAAACCTTATATGATAAGACTGAAAGAATTAAGGATTTCCTTAAAAAGAACTTATTTGAAGATCTAATATATATCTTCACCCTAATCATTTCATTTTTTCCAATTTTCGATAACATTCAGTTGCAAGGCGCCTTTTGTATCATTATCATTTTCATTTCTTACAAAAAGCTTAATCAAAATTACGAAAGCCTGTATGACATCCTTTACTTGAAGGGACAATACCATTATGCAATTGATGTCATATAACTCACTATTTTGATCTTTTCATATGCCCATCTTATGGCATGCATTTGGCATTATGTAGGTGAAATTACCATAGAGCAAGGCCAATCTTGGTTGATTTAACGTAACCTGTAAAACGGGGCAATTTGGGAGAAGTATAACACTTCATTTTATTGGGCAACCATGACTATGTCTACTGTAGGCTATGGAGACATAACACCTACTAATCAATTCGAAACCTTGGCAGCTAATTTAATGATGATTCTCTCTAGTTGTATGTTCGGCTATTCAATTAGTCAAATTGGAATGATCCTCAAGAGTCAATATGAAGTCTAGTAAAAATATAAGTAATTATTCTACTTCTATTTTTAGGCGATCTATTATAATTATGAATGCGTTTATGAAGAATAGTTAAGTTGATTTGTAAATTCAGAGTAGAATCAGAAACTATCTCAAATATTAGTGTGAAAATGAAGCTAATGAGAATAAGGATGATATCAATAAAATTATAGCTGATCTACCAATAGGCTTAAAACAGGAACTCGTCTAAGATGTTCAGATGAACATTATGAAGAAGATTAAGATTTTAAATAACTAGTTCTCGTAATCTACTCTTAAACAACTTTCTCAGTATTTAATAGAATTTAAATTTACTCCAGGAGATGTCATATATCACAGAAATGATTTAAATGACCAAAGTCTCTATTATATACAAGAAGGAATTGTTAATATTTATGAAGAAAATAGTCAAAAACTATTATAATCTTTAAAAGCTGGGGAAACATTTGGTGAATATTAATTCTTCTCTGGATTTTAATCAAAAACATCAGTTAAAAGCCAGGGGTTTACCAAAATATTTAAAATTAATCGTTCATCGTTATTGTAGTTATTAAACTAAAACTCTAAAGATTTTCAAAGATTTCATCACATTAAAGACAATATTATTTTTAATTAGAATTTCTAAATTGTTTAAAAATCCTGTAATTACTGTAAAATGGCTGATCATCTTAATATTGATTGTCCACTTCTATCATACAAGCCAGACATCTTGCAGAGAATCAAGAAGGCTGATTTAAGACCATCTATATAATAAAGGCATTTTATCTAGAGAAACAATGAGAAAGTGCGATGTTTAATGATGCATTCAGCAATTAAAGATACTGTTGAAGAATACAAAGCGAACCTTTCTAATACTTAACTTGATGATATTGACATGAAGTTATTTTCAACTTACGCTACAAAAGATTTCAGTAGCCATGGTTAAAAAGAATCTCTATTAGATAAATAATTAACTAGGCCTCCTCCAGTTCCACCTTTAAAGAAAAACAGTTCCTTCTTGATCAGATAGAGAAATTAAACTTAACAGAAGAAGGTTGGGATTTTTTTAAATTTAAAATCAGTCTATAGAGATTCTGATAGGCAATTGAAATCTGAGTCTGAAGATGATCAACTAAATAATTCACCCAAAAATTAAACTTCACAATAATTTCAACTTGATTTTAATGACTTATAAATGAATTAATTTGACGATTAATTTCAAACAACTAATTTCAATATCGATAGATTAATGAATTACTTTGGTTATATGCCTACATCCAACGTGATTTATGCTTTGAGGAAGTACGAAAGACTCTATAAATATCAAAAAGTTAAGACAATTAATTATCATGAATCAGAACCAAGGAAATTTAGCATTCCCTTGTATTATAGTAGAAGGGATTCAATGAATGAATTGTTGAAAGAAAAGTTTTGAGTAAATAATGAATTAAATATATTAAAATGTTTAATAAAAAATTTAAAAAACAAGGTTCTATTTCATTTCATGATCAAGAAGCCAAAGAATAAAAGAGTAATACTAATGCAACTAATATAAATTAAAAAAAATAGACTCAAAATTGCTTAAGTTTTGAGGAGGATCAAAATTTTGATTTAACTAAAAAATATGTGAAAGTAGACAATTAACCAGTAGTGGACACTCGCATTGATGTAATCTTATTGGAGAATTACCAGTATTTAAAGGAGTTGGAGGAAGAGAATAGGTTGAATAATTATTTAACAAAAAAGAGTTTAGAAAATGTAGAGGAAATCAATATAGTAGATTTAGAAAACGATGGAATATATGAAGATGATCAATAAGTAAGGAGAAATAAAAAATAGCAAAATGTTATTATAATAGATGAAACAGATAATAATTTAATCACAGATATGGATGATAGGAGAATGAATATGATAGGAATAGCCAAATAGGAAAAGCTGTTCTATGAGCATAATTCAGATGATGAAGAATTCAATAGATTTGAGAAAAACATCATTAAATCTAATACTGTTTCATATGATTATGCAAACAATGGTTTTAAGTCATTCAAATTTAATGACTCCTAATAAATGCACTATTGTAGTTTTCTTGATAACTTCTCATAAATAAATTTGGAATCAATAATTGGAAACTTGTAAACACTTATCTCCTAAGAAATATTCAAAAAAGACAAATTATAAAAAGAAGTTGAAAGATCCACCTAAGCACTATAGTCAAGTGAAATGCTGATAAAAACATGGCTAGAATAAAATTAAGAACTATCTAAGCAATTAAGAGAATTTGAATTAGTTAATGAATACTTCCAATGTTTTAATGATATGATAAAATAAAAGGTAAAATTATATAAGGTATCCCTAGATACCAACTCTTTTCAAACTTTATGATGAATTTGAGGAAATGCATCATGAATATTATAATTTGATTGAAGCAAGAATTTAAGAATAAGAATTGAAATTTTCTTATTTATTTTAAGGATTACCAAATGAAATTATTCTCAACTATGCAAAAGATATTTGCTTACATATGAATGATGTAGATGAAGAGTACTTAGATTTAGAGAAGATTTGTGAAAATTACTTTAATATGATGTTTGTTGTACCAAATGCGAAGGTCTTATAACCAATCTTTGATTATCACATTTTATTGAGATTTATTGAATTGTATTGCGAAAACATGGATGATTGTGAATCCGATTTATTTGAGGGTTTAGTCTCTGACAAATCCTTACTATGCTAGTTAATAATGTAGTGCAGGTTCATAAAAGGATTATTAACATTAAATCCTGTTCAGACCAAATTTATTCAACAATTTTTTAGATCAATCTTAAAACATACCTATTAGTTTTTAAAATAATCAAATACAGAGGAAGCACAATAATGCTTGAATTATATTAAATCATTGCTTGATTCAGTTGTAAAATCAATATACAAAAAATCCTGTGCTTATGGACCATAAATAGTTGAATACTTACATTTGATGAAAGATATTCTACCTAAAGATACACTTGAAAAACTAGTTAAAACTTTTTAATGAATTAAAGTTATTGAGTGTTTTATATCAATTATTCTTAAAACTTAAAATTTAAATTTTTTTTGGTTTACTTTTCTAAAAACGCAATAGAATTTTAAATAGATATTAAATATCAGAGAATATGTATTAGAATCATTTATTAATTATTTTACATTGAATGAGTTGAGCTCTTATTATTTTATATCGATCTATTGTATTATTTGAAAAGTATCTTTTGTAGAAACAGCGGACTTCCAAAATTATTTGTAACAACTAATCAAAAAAGCTTAATTCAAATAGGACTATGAATAGTATCAAAGTAAAAGTAAAAGAACACGATCTAGAGTTAAATATAAAAATACAAGAATATTATTTCTAGTTAGGCACTGTCATCGATTTATTAGGTGTATCTTAACCCAAGAATTTTCCAAGCCTCTTAATATCCAAATCTCTAAAATTTGTTCACCTAATTCATAAAAGTTGTGTATACTTGATCAAATTCGAAGATCTTTTCTACTGTCGTGTTTTCGTAGAGCCCCTCCTCAGGATTTAATAATTGTTAGGCCATTTAGGAAAGTAAGAAGTTATAGGATTTTAATCCATATTTTAATGCCCCATTCAAATATATATCACAATATGAGAAATTAATAACTAAGGTATATATAATGAATTACTTAAATTTATAGAGGTACATAAATCTCCATTAAATATTTCATCTATTTCATCAACATTTGTTTCGTATAATTAAGATTGTGTCTCATCATTACTAGTAATGTATCTCAATTAAATTTCTTTATAGTGTTCGATATCTATATAAGTCTGATTGAAGAAATCATATAGAAAGAGTTCTTTGGATAAAGTTAATGATAGCAATTGTGTAGTTTCCTTAGTGAAAATATTTGAATTCAATAGATTTGACATCTAAAAATTGAATCTCATTATGTGAATAAAGTAGAAGTAGCTTAGAAATGAAATCAATGACATAAAAAATAGATATCTCACAATCATTACAACCTTATTTAATAAAAAAAATACTTTTATTCTTTTCCATCTCTTTGACCATTCATACTGCTTTTACTTTTATCTCTTCAAATTACTACTCTTTTCATCTTCCTCCATTTGTCGAATGATTGTTTGATTGGTAGATTAAAAGTAATCTAAATTAATTAAGTTATTATTTACTGTTTTATACGAAACCATTTTGATTGCTGATGCAAGAAAACTAAAATTTTAGATTTAAATAGAATTTTATTGCTTCTTCCACTTATGTTTTTTCAATACAAGATAATTGTTTAGCAACTTTCTACAGGTAAGAAATATCATACCTAGCATTGTGTAATGAGTCCAAGGATGTTGAAAATGTTGTAGATTAAATAAAATCCAAACATTGCTGTTGATGCCATTATTATAGTGAAGCATATTTAATCTTGGGTTTCGTATGTTAGAGCAAGGTTGTCAATTATTTAAAATATGTTTCGACTTTGATAATTAAATAGGAAGGGTATAAATATGGTTCTAAAGAAATCTAGCGATTAATCAAAATCATAGTATTGATCTATCGACTAAAGATTTCCAATATTTGAAGTGTATTAATTTATTAAATCAATCATACTTTAGTTGTTATCAAAATTTTTAGATCTGTAGACTTTTTATATAAAACTTGGCTATTCATATAAATTTTTTATTTCAGATAACTGATTATTGAAACTGCTTTGTAAGTCTTGATAGAATTCAGATTAGTTTTTAATTTAACCTAGGATATTACTTTAACAATAAAATGCATTAAGCAACTTGTCATACGATTCAATCATGATATTAAGAAAATCATATTACTTCTTAGCACTTTAAAACTTTGATAATATAATCGTATACCCCTAATTCATCTATTTCTAATTAATTAATATTAGGACCCTAATACAAAACAATAAGGTTAAATATAATTAAGAAGACTATGAAAATTCTATTTAGAATCTTAAAAAAGTTGAGTTACATATCTCGCTTAGCAGGTTTATTGTTTTCTTCTTTAATAAAAATATTATTTTGCGTCTTGAGACTCAACGTAGTTATTTTTTAAGTATTGAAATCAGACAGCACTTGGTCTTCAGACATGAATGCCCTATTTGTGGTGTTTCGATATGATTCTACTTCAGAATTTTACACTAGCATAAAATAAAATTTAACCATTTGATAGTAACAACTTTTAGTAATTCTAATCAATTTGCTGTTAAAAGTTTTATTCTAGGAATAACTAAAGATGCGATGATTAATGATTCTAAAAGACAGTCTGTCTTTATCGGACTACTTAATTTTATCTATTGAGCAACTTAACAGCCTAAGTTATAAGATTAAATTGAGTTACTTTTGATTTTCTGTCTAAGGCTTAGCTTTCTATAATATTTAGATTAGTAATTTTGATTATTTGATATTTGTCCATGATTGTATTTTTAGTGAATCGTATTGAGGCTTCAATCTTAATAACCGTCTTTAACATTCTGCTAGTCATGCAATACTTTTAAAAGCTGGTTTCTAAATATCGATAAATAATTTACTAAAGTGATTATATAGGGTTTCATAGTAGTGTTCTTAATATTAAAACAGTTTAGAAAAGAGGATCTTCTTATCAAATATAAGTTTACCGGCAGAATTTCTTTTTACAATTCTCTAATTTTTAATTTTATTTGATTTGATTGTTATTTGATCCAAGCCATTCAAAAATATTTCTTATTTGATTTGGGCATACTCCTCAATCAAAGGTTAGATCTTTTTTGGCAAACGAAAGGTTAGTTTAACATGATCTTCATCAATCACCTTATGAAATCTTCTAAATAATTAATCTTTCTCTTCCTATTGATCTTCATGCAAGGCATCATTTATCCAAAGTGGACTTTCCTCTACATTTTTTGAATCATCTTCTAAAACCATGCTTACAAGATCTTAAGTCTCCTATGGCTAAACATACTAATTTTTGTAGTTGGTTGGAACAATGGTAATTTTCTTATTTGTGAATTTGGCATCTACGATTGAATCTTGATTTGTATTATCATTTTTAGCTCTTTTTAATTTAAACAATTGAAGATCTTCTTCAGTCAGAAATTATGAATAATACGAATATTTTAACAATTTTGGACATAGTAAAAATAAGCACAAACCTGGCTATAGAAGGTCTGCAATTTATTCTGATACACAATCAATCTCCCAGTCGCTATTAACCAAAATGTAACTGACACTTTAATGTCTATAAATTGGTCTAATCATACAGATATATTCAATTTGAGAAAGTGGACTTACATGCCATTTCAAATACTTTTTGCATGGTATGAGATACTTTTCATTATTTAAGGCTAAAACCTTTCTCTTCTTGTATAAGGATTTGCTTTTACCAGTTTAAACAAATTGATCAACGCCAATTTAATGATTTCTAATGATAGTTACTGGCAGTAATTGGCTTATGTTATTAAATTGTTAAAATCCAAAAATGTCATAAGTGGATTCACTTACATTAACTATTTGTCCAGATTGAGTAGTGTGGAAGATTGCTGATGTGTAATTGAAAGGTTTGAAATAGGATAATTAATCAATTTAATTTTAATTGTCTGAACCTGAATCTTCATCAACTGGTTGTTGTATCATATTTTAAGAATCACAATATTCCAACATGGACTATTTGATTTTTTTATTGAGAACATACAAATGATACCAATTATTAACAAATTACCATTTAGGTCTTCTTGTTAGATAGTTCTTGACAATTTATTTATCTCTGTTTATTATCTTGTACTTGCTTATTTGACTCCACAGTTCATCTGATTTTTAGATGGTCATAATAATTTACTCATTCAAATTCCATAGATCCTACTCATAAATTACTTTTTATTTGACCTGTCTCCAAAATTTGATGCTAAATTCAAGAAAGTTAAGGATATTCTATTCTATGGACTTCATAATTTATTCCATCTTGACGACATATTCAAAATCTGAATCATTTTTATAGCTTAAACTATTGTTATCAATAATTTCATTTTTAAATTAAAGTTCTATTTTACTTAAGTCATAGTCTTATAATAGGTTCAATTTGTAAGTGCGAGTTAATTTCAGTTGTATTTGAGATTATATTTGATTATTCATTTGATAATATAGAAATACGGCATAATTCATTCTGATTTTGACGTCTTGAGGATGATAAAATAGATAAATTTCATACCAAGTTTTAATTAGATATTTCAAATATAGAGTTTTCTGTCTCAACATTGAAAACTAAATATTTTTGATGTCCTTATGTTTCTTTGGATCATAGAGACTTCTCATCATACAAAAACATCTTTCCTTTTTTTCTTAAGGACATGGATTTGAGAAGTGTTGAAATATAATACCCAAATAGAATGAATCAGCTTAGCCAAATTCATGATTAAGGTGGATCTAATTTGCAATTTACTTCAAATTAAAGATTTTTTGAATCAAATGATCTCCATCCAAAGCAGGTTAACAAATATGTTGTATTTACTGGTTGAAATAAAATTAGTTGAAAATCCATATGATTAAGCCAACACTCACAATACTAATTGTAATTGAATTGTCGCTTTTTGTAATGTTGAAGTGAATGGAAATTGAATTTATTGCTAGACCTATGGATATGCCAAATAGGGAGAATGTAAATAATTTAAACACTTGTCTCACATTTCGATTTGCGATAAACAACTTGAAATCACTTATCTTGAACAGAAAACAAGCTATGCAGGTTGATAGAAAAAGATAAATTAAAATTGTAACCTATTTTACTTTCAATACTTACATGCAATTCTTAACTCATGCCTGGGAATGCCAACTAGATGTTCAACAAAATTCTGAAGAGTTCCAAATATAACAATATAGACCTAGATCCACTAGATAAGGTATCTTTCTTGATGGAATGATGATTGATAAAAAATAGGATCATTACATTTTGAGATATGAATCTCAGGAACACAAAGCAACTTGAAAGGATTTATTGAATTTGAGTGCCTATCGCAATATTTAGACAATTATTATTAGTTGAACAGTAGACTATGTTTAAATAAACGAGCTAAGAGGGTTAACATGTGATCCATTAATCTATCAATAAAAGTTAGGTTAATATCTAAATTATGAATAATTAAAACTTTAGCACTTGACTAATCTATCAAATTCTTCTTGTTTTGATATTTCACCTAGTAGTAGCATATTCCATAAAGTGTGTATGTCACAATGCACTGAGTTGATAACCACCAAAACAATATTTATATTATTATTTGATTTTCTAAAATCACGCTATTGATATCTAAGTATTTGATTAGACTGATGATCTGAGAAGATTAGGAAAATTATAAATCAGGGTAATGATAAGTAATGATTACATAATATCTAGCATTCTACACATTAATCTTACTTTGAAAAAATCCCGCTTATTAACTGACAGAAAGTAATTGTAATCAGCACCACTGAATAAAAATAAGAAGGACGCTTTAGTTTCCCGATATTAAAATTTACCAACAAGTGCTCCATCATTATAATTTAAATAAATGAATGGATTATCAAATGAATCAATTAATTTAAAGTAATATATTCATAATTACCCAGCCCTTTAATAAGTAAATAAAAAATTAAGCCCATTAATTGACTCTCTGCCATTTTCTCTTTAGATTTCTATAAACCATCGGAGGCAACTCAAGTCTAGATCAGTTATATTAACTATTATGACAAACTCCCATTGTTATTTTACTTAATATTGTTTTATTATAATTTTAAGAATAGTATAAATCTTCTTTTTTCTTTAAAATTATCATTTATGAATTTTATAATTTGAGGTTCATTATAAAAATAAACATTACATAAGAAACCTAAATTTAAAGTTAATATAAATTCTATACACAATTATAAAGATTAATTAATAAAAAATTTCAATATACAATAACTAATCAAGTTGGAAATCAATATGTGAGTAATTATTCCAGTAACTAATGTTCCATATATTAATAATAAAATAAATAGAAAATGAAATCATAATTGGCTTTGATCGTTATTTGTTACATAACTATTCTTTATTTAATTAATTATGATAAGTATCCTACATAATGGGATCTATAGAACAATTCAATTTTCATATAAATTTAAAGAGCCATTTAATTATTTTCTTAATTAATATCAGTATCCTACATAAAAGATTAAGAATTTTTAGATAATAATCACATCGTGTCTCTTAAAGAAATAATAATAGATAGGACCAATTATAAATTAAATGATCATCAAATTATTATTCTTGCTTTTTGAATAAAAAACAAAAGTTGTTATAGATTGTTTTTGCAATCTAATTGAGAGAAACAATGGTTTTTTATTGTTTTTTTAAAGGTACATTTCATTTTCTAATTTTGGGGAGGGTTGAATGTTTTCATGTTATTTGTGATATTCTAAGGGCAGTAGTCACGAGGACGAGTTAATGTAGCTATTTATTGGGTTTTGGATATAATTGTCAGTTTTTAATTGATTAATAAATGAGCGAAACAAAATCAAAGGAGAGTTAATAACAATAGAATTTGATAATTATAGGAGGACAATATGCTTTGAAAAGTTGCATCTATCGGGGAGGGACTCATAATTTGTATTTGGGTAAGAATATGTGATATATGTTGACAGCGGTGAACAAATAGAATCCAGGGATTTACTTCGTCGTGCGATTAGTAATGTAATTAAGAGTTTAAATTTATTGTTAGTTCATTAAGCTGATAGGCTAACACAAACATAGATAGCATCTAAGAGGAGGAGAAACTGCTGAAGAAATTGAATGTTGGTATAAAAAGTAAGTTATGAATTTAAGTGACATTCATGCCAAACGTATTGGCTTCTGGGGATGTGCGTCTTCACAATATAAACTACTATTATTAAGTATTTGACAAATATGGACCAAGTTTGAAATTGTGCTTCTAATTTGCAAATAAGAACCTTACTTTGGGGACAATCTGTATGATAGGAATATAGATGGTAACCTTTAATTGAATATCGGTAGTTAAATATATTGGAGAAGATGCACGGTTAGTTCATAGTACATCGTAATTTGAGGCCTAAGAAAATATTGACAGTACCAGGCAAAAATGAATTTGTCTTGATCGACTTTTAACAATGCGTTAAATTCAAACACAAGAACGGAAAATACATAGGTCTGGGATCAAAGTTCTCTAATTAAACTAAGTTAACCAAATTTTCAAGTTTAAATTAGCATTTGGGATTGAGTATTTATAGTGTTGATAATGATTTAAGCTGCCTCTCCAAAGGATGACTTGGAATCCTTAGGGTTTATACTAATGTATTTTTTAAGGAATGGAGACATGTTTCGAGTCAAAGAGACCGGATCTAAAAGTAAGCAAATGGAAGAATAAAAGTTGCGAATGATTCCAGAAAAATTTTGTAAAGATATGCCTATAGAATTCCTTCAATACTTCCAATTTGTGAGATTGACAAATGTACAACAATATCCATTGAGTGATTATGAGTTCTTGAAGAAGTTATTCAGAAACATATTCCAACAACTCAATATAAATGAGAAGGAGTTCTAATATGATTGGGTATAGTCATTTGGTAATTGTTAGTTGAAGAAGATGAATCTGTAATCCTAAAATCAACAATAACCAAAGGAAGATGGATAAACCAAGATAGTGATCCATGATCCATCAAACTTAGAAGGAATCCAAGAGGTTCAAACAGAATTGGAAAAGTCTTCATTCAAAAGAGATTATTATCGTAAATCATCATCATTATGCATAAATGATGAAGATGATAAACAATTTGAGAGTGTAAGTAACAAAATGTTACAACTCCCAAATCTGTATGATGTGATTAAACTAAAGCATTGATATAACTTTGTGTTTCCATATAATATACTTTAACTCAGAATTCAGCACTACCATGATATCTTGGGAAGGGAATCACATCTCTGATGTTCTCAACACCTGTAACCATCATTACGAGTCTTTCAAATCCTAATCCAAAACCACAATGAGGAACTGTACCATATCTAAATCATAGGATAATTCCATTACTTTCTTAAATCCATGTAAGGTCCATAATCCTCCAATTTCAATCCACATTCCTTGATTCTCTGAGCCAACACATCATATCTTTCCTCTCTCTAAGATCCACCAATCAACTCACCTACTTAAGGAATGAGCATATCCATGGCTCTAACGCATTTTCCATCTAATTCTAGTATATCAATGTTTGCACCATCAGTTCCCACTTTCATGTAAAATGCCTTAATTTCTTTTGGATAATCATAAAGGAACACTGGTCTCTAGAATACTTTTTCTGCTATGAATCTCTCATGTTCACTATTCAAATCCATTCCCCACTTGATGTCACTGTTCTCGAACTTGGCTCCTGCCTATTATGCTTTCAATAAAATATCAATTCCTTGAGTGTAAGAACAACGAACGAAATCCTTACTCACAATATCTTTAAGATAATCTATCAGTCCAGGTTTGACTCTTTTGTCCAAAAATTGGAGATCATCAATGTTGTTTTACAAAATGTAATTTATACAGAACTTAACATAACCTTCTGCTGCTTCCATGTTGTCAAATAGATCTGCAAATGCAAATTCTGGCTCAATCATCCAAAACTCGGCTAAGTGTCTATGAGTATGAGCCTTCTCTGCTCTGAAAGTAGGGCCAAATGTATACACATTGGACATACTAATACAGAAATGCTATGATAATTAAGCCATCATTTTACTTCCACTTATAATTAACCAGAAACTGTAAGATTCACTTCCTTCTTAAAGAAATCCTAAGCGGTGTCTACTTTGCCCTTTATCTAAGGGATCTTTGAGATATCGTTATCGAAGATAGTAGAAATTCTGAACATTTCTCCAGCACCTTCACAATCACTTCCTGTAATTATTGGTGTGTGAATGTACAAACATCCATTGTTTTAGAAAAATACATGGGTGGCATAGGCCAGATTATTTCTAATTCTAGTGACAGCACTAAAGAAATTGCCTCTTGGTCTCAAGTGAGCTTTTTGTCTAAGGGTCTCTGGCTTCTAAACTCCCTTTGCCATAGGATATTCCTCAGGGTCAGCTTATCCAATAATGACAACTTCATGCTTTAGTAGGATCAGAAACAAGCATTTCTATCAACTATCCCTTGGCAGGACTCTTTACAATGTTCCCTGTCACTTTGAGTGAAAAACCTGTATTAGTTTTAGCAACTTATTCGAAATTGCCAATCTTATCTTCAACGACAATCTAAAGACCACCAAAACTTGTTCCATCATTCAATTCAATGAAACAAAGATTCTTCTAATCTCTCACTGTTCTTACCCAACCAGCTACTGTCACTGTCTAACCAATATATCTGAATAATAATTAATTATGATGCTTACCCTTCACCAGAATTTAACAATTCTTAGATTCTATATATTGTTCCCACATTATATTTTGGTAGATGCTTCTTGTACAATTCTTATGGCAAATCCCAAGAACGTGGAAGCTTATTCAATCTCTTGGTGACATCAAACTATGGCACATCTACCTAATATATTAGATGACTTTGAGGGTACTTTGAATCCAGCAGGCAAATGTGGCACATTGATTGGCTTCTCTATTTCTCCAATCAATTTTTCTGTTGTTTTCTTGCCCTATTTTTGAGCTGCTGCTGCTGCCTATTTGGCAAGGTTGGTAAGAGTTTTGACTCTTGTGAACAATTCATCTGATTCTAAGAATTAGTATTACATGTAATGATATTTCTAATTTAAATCATTTTTTCATCAGATTCATTTATTCTTACACAACATTCAATATTAAATATATTTAGAGAAGGCATTTATAGATAAATATTATTGTATTATTTATTTTGAACATCATCATCTCATCTCTTCTCATCTCCATTTTAAAATTATTAATATTTATTAAAATGGATTTTGAGAATGATGATGAATATCCTATCCCAAATGAGTAATAAATTTACTCATCCTTCCAGTCTGATAATGAGATTTCCAGACTTCATTTTCTTGCCACTACCTAATCAAGATATGAAACTCAGCATATACTTTATGTATTGATGTAGTTTAAACATTTAGCTCGCAAAGTACTTCCTAGAATTCGAATAAAAAAAAATAAACAATCAAACTGCGATCATTGTATCTGTTTGCCTCACAAAATTGACACAAGAACTCAAATCCTTAAATCCACATTTGATGACCAAAATCCTTGCTCATATTAGAAGGGTAATTAAAATCTCCATTTACGTAGCTAATAAAAAATTTATCATCAATTAACGAACTTCATATTGGCTTTTTGGAATCCTGCATATCGTCTTCCAACTATAAGATAGGATATGAATTCATCAAGTCCAAAATATTTGTACATGGATGTTTGGAAAAGAAAAGCTTGGTCATGATCGAATACTTTTATTTATCGGGTGTGATTGCCAATGCTTAGATGGTATGAAGATAATTAATCCAACATAGGATTTCGATGAGGCTTTGAGATGCTACAAGATTGCTTATAAATTCAATTCAAATGATAACTTTACTTTGGAAGCTCAGAAGATGGAGACTTTACTTTCCTTCAGATTGGGTTTGGAATTGAGGAATTGGTCTCATCCAGCAAATCATGAATTAGTTAGTAAATTATAGAGCCTTATCAACCAAAAGGAATATAAAGAATTAAAGGAGAAGGATTTTGATTTCCAAGATAAGGACGCTCATGTATTTGTCAATCCCTAAAATATTTAGTTATGCTTAAAAGAATGGTCCTTACAAGCGTAACTCTATTAATTTTTGAAAGATGAGCAAGAACTCCATTCTAAAGTATCGTTTGACTAGTTAATTCAACATTTTAGACTCCAGGGTTAAGATGCTCTCTTAGATCTCCTATTACAAATCAATAGGATTCATAAGATGTTCTTGATTAATGAGGAGAAAAATTACATCGAATTTAAATACAACAATTTAAATTATAAGGAAATCAATAGTAAATTGGAAAGCAGGTATAATCTGCTCAAATCGTTAGCGGATGTAAAGTGAATATTATCAATGTTATCAAAATGTTTATAAATAATAATAATAATATATATAGTCATGCATTTTAAGAGAGAGTTGTATGAATATTTGGACTTTGAGCCTTTTATTATTATTGATTTAATCTTGATTCCAAGTTGTAGGTTTCTGGTTGCAATCTAACTCTTTTGATTTTATCGCTTTAGAATATGTGCTAAAAAGGACGAATTGGAGATGTCTAAATGATGTTTTGCTTTAAGAATTGTTGATACTTCGGATTCAAGTATGGCTATTTATTCTGATCTTAAATTAATTATCTAAAATACTTAAGTACGAGACAGCATTATAAATTGTAAGCGATGATAAATCATTATGATAATCATGATCTTTGTCTAGTTTCTTGCTTTTATCTATTTTTGGGAAACTGCTCTTCGGAGACTATTCGGCTTTAAAATAGACAAATAAATCGCAATATTGTTCATATTCAAAATCTTTGGATTTCATTTGATAGTACAAATAAGTGAGCAGAGTTTCCAATTTTACATGCAAGGGCAATTATTGTCTTTGCAATACAGTATACTATTCTGCAGGTTCTTGGATAGGAGCAGGACTGATTCTCTCTGCAATTCTTCCAAGAGCCTCCACAAATTCAATGAAAGTCATTCTGATATTCCGATCTAAAGCAAGTTCATCAATTTAAGTCATCATCGAAAAGTTGTAAATAATGACTTAGAGTTTCTCGGACAAATATTCATGCAGACTAAATTGTTTACAGAATTCCTTGAATTCTCTAATAGATATCCATTTCAATTTAAAATACCACTTTCTATTTGTGATGTCAGTAACCTAATCATAGAGTCGTTTGATAAAGGGCATCTTGATTTGCAATAAGTGATCGCATTCCTTTGTCCACAATCTGCAAGATCTCCATTCTTGGATCAAATCGAAACGTTCGTATTGTTCTTTGAATTCTTTCAGCAATCTGAAGAGTGCATCTGCATAACTCTTATATATGTCAGTTCTGACGTACTTGTCATTGGCAATTCGAAAGAACATCTCTAGGAATTGATATCTAATTATAGCCTTCTCTGGATTGTAAATGTATTTGGGATCAACATTATTCTTTAAGGAAACGATGTCAATTTCAACATCTTAAGATTTCAATAGATCTCCATCAATGATGGCGAGTTTGTTGAGCAATTTCAAATATTGGGGGAATTGAATACAAAAGACATCGAAATTGGGTGGTTAATATCCAACACTCGAATAGAACTTATAGATATCTTTGATTAGTTAGTAGTGTTGTCTGAAATATTCCTTTAATTTCAATCTCTCGTATTCACTTTTTACAAATCGACTGATCTTACTGCTATTCCAATCGAATTCGAAGCATTCATTTAGTAATTCCTCAGTGTCACCAACAAACGGTCTAAAGATAGAATCCTCCTTGTGCCAAGTGATGAGATGAGCTTGTTTTCTAACTAAAAAGTTGGCAAACCTCCTCAACACATACTTCTTTTAGGAAGATCTGGGGAACACCTTAATCAAGGGTTTATAATTGTCCTTGTCATCAATGATATATTCTTGTCTTGAGAAAATGTAGTTGACTTATTGGATTTTGGTGAAGGCTAGTGTAGTGCCATCTGAGAAGATGTGGACCGAATGTTTAGGATCTTTGCCTTAAAGGATGGCATTATCCAGTGGAGCAGGCATATTCATAACTCTGGGATCGATGAAGTATTCTTCTTTGATTGGATTGGAGAAGAAGTATAATATCTTTCGTTTTGGAGGACACATTTAGTAAGTAGTATAGTAGAATTTACTTAATTCTTGAATCATTTATTTAGTTATTTCTTCGCTTTTCTTGTTTGTCTCCTCTGCATAAGCTTCGGTTATGGCTGCCAAGGTTATTCTCTTTTCAGTATTTACTAATTGTTTTAACTAATGAATTATCTCTCCAGTTGTCAAATCGAAATAATTACTCTTTCTCTATTAAGCTTCAATCAACTATTATCTTAACTCATAACTACTTGTCATAGGGATTGGTTAATAACTAATAGTTGTGACAGAAATTACTCTAAGAAATCCAGATGGATGAATATTGGATCTTAGTTGTTATCATTCTCAGGGTTGTATTAAAATCGATATTCCATCCATCCTTGACAAATCCAACAACAATCATTTCCGAATAGATTGTCTCCTTGCAATGGGATATAATTGACACCGTCAATGGCGGTTTTCTTTTATTAAACAACTTTAAATTCTTCACTATCATGAGTGAATTCTATGAATCCATATGGGTTCACTCTAGCAGAACATTTGTTCCCTTCAATGTGCAAACCATAGAGGGTATTATTCTTTTGTAAGGCTACACTAAACAAATAGAGTTGTTTCTCACTTAATTAATTGTAGGATATATCTAGATGAGCTAGAGTTATTTAAGGATGCGAAATTGTTTCACACAAAGACTGAATGAAATTGCTTCTTTCATTCTGTCCTAAGTGATTGTAACTCAAATCAAGAACTTTAATTGATCTGTTTTATTACAACCCTTTTGCTATCATGGTTCCTGCTGTGGGTCCCAATTGATTCCAATTCAAAATCAAAACCTCCAGGTAATTGTTTTGCAATAGAAATTGATAGAATACTGTGGAACAGGAATCTGTTATTTGATTTTCTGACAAATTCAATTTTAATAGAGTTATATTCTTTTAGAAGCAATTCAAAAGCACAGAGACTCCCTTGTCTGCCAATAAGTTGTTCTGCAGACTTAAGGATTTTAAATTTGGAAATTTCTAGATTTGATTGGACAATATTATTGCTCCTCTTCTTCCCAATACATTGTTGGCTAAATTAATTTCCTTTAAGGAAAGAGGGAATCCCTCAACAAGGTAGAGTAATGATTTATCATCCAATTGATTATTACATAAGAATAATTGTTTAACGCTTTTACTTTTGACTGATTGCAATAGGTTCTTAATCAACGGGAAATACTTTTCAGTCAAACCAAGATCAGAAAAATGCATCTCCTTATCGTTGACCAGGGAATTGGACAAATCGATCCTCTTCGGGAATATGTTATCATTCAAACAATAGAAATGGATTGGATCCACATTCTTCTTATTGAAATTAATGGCGAGATCTTTCAATCTATCTTATCGTTTGATAAAGTAAAAATAGGATTAATCTATTTCATGATCTAAATAGTATATATGAATCGATATTACTTAACTTTTATTAGATTTTCTTAATCTCCTATTGCATTTCAACTCCATTAAATCTTTTTGGTTCATCCTCACTACTTGCATTACTTATTATATCTTCAACATCTTCATACTCAAAACTATTCCCTCCTCGTATTGACTATTATTCAGTCTCCACTATTTCTCTTGAAATGTCTTCATTCATTTCTTAGGTTTCTTTCTTGCCCTTCTCGATCGGAGAAAACCTATGCTTCAATAATCCCAAAGGGAAATTCTTCTTCTTGTTTGCTCCTTGATCCGATTGAACCGAAGTGTTGGTCAGAATCTATCTCATCTCCGTCAACTTGTCCCCACTCTTGATATAATAAGCCATAAGAGTGTGATCATTCGAATATTAATTATCAATCAATAGTTTTGAAGCTTTGAATTTGCTCTCAGCTATTTTGTTGTCTGAAATGCTCCGATTCGATCTGAAGAACGATTTCAATTTCTGAGCTTTTTCTTTTGAGTAATCTTTCAAACGAGGTAGTTGGCACTTAGATCTCTCATTACTATTTTTCATTTCTTATTAATTTTATAAATAAACCAAGTATTATCAATTTAAATTTTAATGAATTTTAAATTTTACTCATAAGTAAACATTTACTAAATTATATCACATCTCTCTCACTAGCAAAACTCAATAATTTTATATATCGATTGATTTAAAAAACATTATGGAGAAAATTATATTCAAGGTTTCATTAATCATCATACTCTTCCATTACCGCTATCATATTGTTTGTTTACAAGGCTTATTGCTATTGTTCATAAATAGTTGTCCTCCCTGTAGTCTGTCTACTGAATCCATTATTGTTCAATGTATAAATTGTGTTTGGATTAATCAGAGTCCTCTTTTTAACAATCTATTACATGAAATTTCTATAATTTGGATGCAAATACGGTTGATGATGAGAATCTAATACTATTTAATAAATGCCATTACTGATAAATGATATCGTATTGTATACAGTTAATTGATTAGTTGTAATGATGAACTCATCTGAATTCTCTAACTTCGATTGCTTTTCATAGACCTTTGGCATAAAAATAATACGGGTTTCCTAAGCATCAACATTATCTCTGCAGAATAATTCTGTAAATTAAACAAATTCAGGTTGTCTAAGACTGCTAATTACAATTGATACCTCCTCAATTTGAGAAATATAAACGTTAACAATGACTCTAATTTTATATGCAATGGCAGAGTCTGTCTAGCTAGAACTGGCCATACCTAAGCATCTTCCCCTATGGGAGCAGGACTTATCTTTTCAGCCACTCTCCCTAATGCCTCCAAAAACTCATTATAAGTCATCCTTAAAAATCGATCTTAAGTCACCTCGTCAGCTTAGGTTTACATAGAAAAATTAAAAATTACTGTCACTTATTTTTCAGACAGTATATCATTCGCATATAATTTACAAAACTCTCTGAACTCTTTGATGGACACCCACTTCAATTTAAAGTACCATTTCTTACTGGTTAAATCTGAAGCTAAATCGTATAGTTTCTTTAAAAAGGCTGATTTAAATTACAGTATCATATCTACTTCCTTTGTCCAAAATCTCTACTCTCTCCACTTTTGACTGTTGTCTAGAATTTCATAATGCTGTTCCAGTTCCTTCAGTAATCTATAGACTGCATCAGCAAAATTCTTACATTATCCTGATCGAATAAATTTATCGTTAGCCAATCTAAAGAGAACTTCCATAAATTAATATCTAATTATAGCCTTGTCAGGGTTGTAAATAAATTTAGAATCTACATTATTTTTTATTGAAACCAAGTCACTCTCAACATCGGATTACTTCAAGTTTTCACCATCAACAAGTGAAGCCAGAATCTTATTGAATTAGCCATACTATATACAGAAAACATCAAATAAAGGTGGCTAGTATCCAAAACTAGAAAAATATTTATAGATGTCTTTTATCAATTGATATTTCTATCTAAAATATTCTCTCAATTTTATCTTCTCGTAATCACTCTTTACAAATCTTTAAATCTTAGAACAACTCCAATCCTGTTCGAATGCCTGATCCAAAATATCCACCGAATCCCCATTCATGCCCCTGAAAATGAGAGAATCATCCTTTGACCAAATGCCAACATTCCCTTTTCTATGTTTAAAATTCCCTAAATATTTCGTCAAAATATATCTCCTTTACACAGTCCTTGGTTTCACTTTAATTAAAGCCTTATAGTTATTTTTATCATCTATGACATATTCTTACTTCGTGATCAAAACATTAACAAAGTTGATTTTTTAAAAAGGAATTTAAGTATTATCTGTGAAAATATGCACCTAATGCTTAGGATCCTTCCCTTATAAAATTAAGTCATCGAGAGGACTTTAGATATACTCTAAACTTGGGTCTTAAAAGTATCTCTCTCTCAGAGGATCAGAGAAAAAATATAAAATCTTGCTTTTTGGTGGACACATCTGATAAGTAGTGTAATACAACTTATTAAACTCCTCTTTAATTTGGTTTTAGGCTTCATTTTTAGTATTGGTTTCAACATGGTATGCCTCTTCAATAGCTGCCATAGTAATTTTCTTTTCAGTATCTGTTATTGATTTTAATTAATGAATAATCTCTCCAGTAGTAAGTTCTAATTATTTATTGCTTCTGTTTTATTCCATCAGTTATTATTTCATTTCGAAGCTTGAAGTCAACGGAATGGGCTTATAACTATAGTTAATTATAAAAATACTTAAGGAAGTCCAAATGCAGAAATATTGGTACTTATTCACTATTTTACTCAGGAGTATAAGTAAATTGGTGTTCCTTCCATCCTTAACAAATCCAACAGCAATTAAATTACAGTTCTTGAGAGTTACATAACGGGATGTAATTGACTCCATCAATTTGTATTTTCTTTTGCTGCACCTACTTCATCAAATTTTCCTGTTTTGAGAATTGCAAAAACCCAAAAGCATCAATAAAGGCGGGGCATTTGTTCCCTTCTATATGTATACCATAAAGTGTATTGTTTTTTGCGAGAGCCTTTTGCAATAAGGCCATCTATTTCTCATTTATTTGATTGTATGAAATATCTAAGTGACACAAGGCTAAATTAGGATTTTCGATTAATTGACACCATTACATTATGCAATTGCTCTTTTCATTGAACCCTAAATGATTATAGCTTAAATCGAGCACCTTTAGATTCTTGTTCTAATTCAAAGCCTTAGCTATACCAATTCCTGATTGAGGTCCTAGTTGATTCCAGTTTAAAATTAAGACTTCAATCGATTGATTTGTGAGTAAGAAGTTCTATAATTCTAGAGTTGCATTGTCAGTGATCTGATTTTGAGACAGATTCAATTTTTTGACTGTTCGAGCTTCTCGTATTGCATTAAGAATGGTAATTGCTCCTTAATCGCCCAACAAGTTGCTTGCTATATTCAAGGCCTTCAAGCTGAATAGAGAACAATAGATTACCTCTTGTGTTTGTTGAATAATTTGGCAATCAGTAGGGCTCCTTGTCTTCCGAGTTCATTTTAGGAGATGTTCAAGTCTTTTAATGAGTCTGGAAAGGAATCAATAAATATTGATAATGAATGCTCTCTCAAGTGATTGGATGATAGGATGACAGATCTCACTTTTTTGCACTTTTTGGATTTTAACATTTGGGATAACAATGGGAAATATTTTGAATTGACTTTCAAATCTTTAAAATTCATTTCTTTTTATTCAATTAAACAATTGGAAAGATCAATTCTTTTGGGAAATAGGTTTTGATTCATGCAAAAGAAGTATAAGGGATTGAGAGAGTCTCTCTTTCTAAAGGTTGAGATTAAATCTTTCAACTTATCTTAATTCTTAATGTAACCGAAGTAAGATCTATTGAGATCATTTGCTAAGGATGAAATAAGAATTGTTTACATATTTTCTTCTATATCTTGTCTATGTCTTTCTCGAAGTCCTTGAATCTCATTTCCGAGATTTGATCAGAGTCTTCGTCATCTGAAGATTAATTGGAGGAGTACTCACAATCAGATCCAGATTCATCAAATAATTGAGTTTTATTTGAGGAGAAAGAGTTGTTACTGCTTTGATCGTAGATTTAAGCATTGATTTATCGATGAACAGTGGTTGGATTGATTTTCCATTTTTACAATAATAAATGTCTTTGAGTGGGTTGATCAATCTTTTAAAAATCCAAGATTTTTTCTTTGCTAAAGATCAACAATATCAATTACTAATTCTCTCGAGGCAATCTTTCGGTTTACGGTTGATCATTAAATTAAGGTGATTATTTTTTGGACGAATGGTAAAAATAATGCTATTTTGTATCGGATATACTTCTGTCAGTACGAAAAAACTGTTTTAATTTATCCTTCTTGATTTGAGAATAATTTTAATGGATTTTTGGTAGGTGAATGGACTTTTTTGTATGATTCGAACACTGGATTTCCATATTAGTAATTTAAAACAGGTATGAAATTATAAATTTTTTTTATATTAAAGAATTGTTAATTATGTTGATGTTTATGTTATTCTGTGACAACCTCTAAGTATAGATGCTCAATATCAAATGGTATAGTTTATTTCAAATTAAATATTAATATAATTCTAATAAAAAACCCCTTTAATAATGAACCTACTCAGTAAAATATTGAATCACTAAGGAAAAAGGAGTGAAACTTCGAGTATACCAGTTGATGATGTCAACTGAAGATATTAACAATTATAAAGCTAGGTCATTTAGGAGGGTGACAAGAATAATTTTATAGTATAATGTTGGCAAACTCTCATTCATTCAAAATAATTGAGAAGCAGCATAAAATAATTGAAATTCTCATATGAATATAACTTCTATATGTTCAAATCTATAATAAAATGTAATATCCTATTTTCATAAGACATAATTAATCATTCAATAAATTGAGCCTTCTTTAATAGATAACATCCATAGAAGATGAATACTTATGTTATTATAAAGTGATAATTTTGAATTGAAAAGAAAAGTTTGAGAGCTATTTCATACAAAATTAATCCTTAAATGAATAAATACAAATATATGACTATTTTGAATAGAATAGTTAACATATAAGTATATAAAATTGTTAACAGATAGTGAGATGTTCATATATGTTGCCATTAGATTAAAAAATAGAAGTGACAAAATATTAAAATACAAAATACAATTAGAAGCTATGTATGAATAATTTTGAATAGGTTAAAAGAGAGACAGAAAATAAATATTGAAATTGATAGAGGTATATATCAAAATGAAGAACTAGCAAATCAATTGAGAACAAACCTAGTGGCAATTTGAAATTTGGATTAGCTTCTGAGAAACTAGAATCAAAATAGATCCAAATTAATGAGTTAATCAGAATAGAAACACATTAGTCTACTTTGAATATAAATATTAAATAATTTTTGTATTTTATCAAGTGAATCGTTATCATCGAGCAAGATGATCAAATCCTTATAATAGTATACTTAATTATAAATATAATATTAAACAACTCAAAGAAAAATGAAAAAATTTCTTGAAAAACATATGAGCAATGATTTCAGTATCCGTATGAATAATTTATCATAAAACCATGGTAATTAGTGAATATTAATTGAATAGAGTATCAATTAAACCAATACAAATGCTCTTCTCCAGTAGTTTTTGGGAGTAGATTTGCATCACCTTCTCCATTCAGATCAGTTACTCCAATATAAGGATAATTGTCTCCGGCAAATCAATCTCGCAGAGAAAGTGCGTTTTCAAGAAACTCTGACAACTTTGATTTTTCAGTTAAAGAAAAATCAAAAATATTAAATAAGCCCATTACTTAATACTTTAAAAAACAATAAGAATATTATGATGAAGAAGAATGCAATATTGATTACTTTTTTGATAAAGAGCAGATCATTATCGAAGAGTAAGAACTTTTACATGCAAAGCTTAGAATGATTCGCGATGATTTCAATTTTAAAATCTAACAATTAGAAGATTGTAATTAATTATCTAAGACTTAAGAGAATACCTGAGAGAAAGATAATCGATTTTACAAAATCTTTCAATTTCTGTTAAGGAAGAGCAAGACAGATTTAATGAACATTCAAAATAAAGTAAAAGAAAAAATAAACAGTATGAAATGCAGCATACAAGAACTGATTCCATTAATAAACAAGATTCAAAAAGTGATTCATAGCCAATCCAAATAGAAATAATGAGAGCAGCTAGTTCAATGAAAGAATAGAGAGTAGATCCTAATCTTGATAGAAGAGATTTTTTAGATATAAGACGTGAATCTCGCCATGAATCTATTAATGGCTATAGTTCTCATCATCGAAGAGAGTCATCGTATAAAACAGTTAAGTTGAGGGAATCCAGAGTTAAAAGAGAAGAATCACTTAAAGGGGACTCTGTTAAAGATGAGTAACCATTGAAGAGTGCTTTAAAAAAGAAAGACTTCAACAGATAGACCTATAATTGTCAGGATGATTCATAAGATGATTGGAAATTTATTAAAGAGGCTAAAAATAATTTAGAAAAACAAAAAACTTAATTAGATGATAAATAGTCTCCTAATAAAGTTAGATTTGTAAATTAAGAGAAATCTTAAAAAAAATAATAAGATAAAGTAGTAAAATCAAAATATTTAAATGATATTGACATTTTCTTAAAATGTAGATATTGAATAAATATACATATTATAAAAAGCCTTTATTCTATTTAATTAATATTCTCTTTACTCTCTTATAACCATATATTTGATTATTTAGATATTCTAATATTTCAATATTTCCAATATAACGTGAATTTAGATTAAATTATATTAATTTATAATTAATTAATGTTACTAAGATACTTCTATCTTCCTTGTTATCAAAATTAAATGATAGGTTTTTATGATATGTTAATCTGTAATATATTTTTATAAGACTATATTTGAAATTAATAATTATTCTAAAAAATAATCATGTTTAAAACATATATATTACTTTTAATCCTAATCATTTGATCATCAGTGCTATTAAGATCCATGAATTAATCAACATTATTATATAAACAAAAAATAATATTCTTCTAATTATTAATTCAGTATTATTATTATAATTGGCAGATCAATAAATTATGTTATTATAGAAAATTATAACATCAAATTTAACTATTGACACGATACAATGACCTTTTGAAGGCATTTGGCAAGGGCTGCTTCTGGATAAATATAAATCTATATTTATTGGAGGAAATATTAATTTTATAGAGTTTTTGTAATTTCTACTATTATTAGTAAGAATTGAGAACATTTAATATATTATTGTGAGGGAAGTAGATTTGAAATGTTTCCATTTTATCTAATTCAAAATTGTATGAATGGAATGATTGTATATGTTCCAACTGATTAAATTGATGATTACTTTTTGTTTAAGAATTATTAGATGAGTTCATTACTTGTTAATGCAATTATTATTGATCACTAATTTAAAGATATTAGTTATTGACATATCTTTTAGATTGATCCTAAGAGGAGTTATATAGTGATTTTTTATATTGCTTAGTATTAGGACTATCACTATTGTGCCGATTAGATTTTTAGATAGACTCTAAGTTAATGAATTTTATATACTTTTTTCCTCCATTCCTGGTTATTCAGGATTAGTAACCCATAGAGAGATACGTTTTTTAATATGTTAGGTAATTTCATCGTTTAGTAGAATGTTTTGATGTTCACTTTCAAGAACACTAGAGTTTTATCTATTTTCGGAATCTTCAGAGACACTTTATTCATCCTATTGTTGTATTTTATTGGGAGGATCATGCTCTTCATGATTATTGAAGATTCTTTGAAATCTCAAATTTTTGCGAGTAAATGAAGATCTATCTTGTTTGGAATTGAACAATTCTCTTTTTACAAGGAATTCTGTATCGGGTTTATAAGTGATGTAATGGCAATTATTGATTAGGTGATCTCCTTAGCAAGCAGCACATTTAATTGATAAATCTTAATAATGAAATAAAATCTTGTCTCTCATTTCACAATACTTTTAAAAGTCAATTGAATTCTCGGTTATGATATCAAGAAAGGTCTCTCTGCTCATTCTATATATTGAACTAAAAGTAGTGCTAATAGCTTTTGTTTATCTCTTTTGGGAAGTTAAAAATTCAAACTCTCCGAAACATTAACCTTTCGAGCATTTCTATATGATTTTATTAGTTTTGTTATCAATAAGATTGATTTCCCCTTTTTGAATTATATATATTGAATTTTCATCAATGGAGTTTGATTGGAATATGATTTCTCTAGGTGTATATTGCTGAATACTCATTCTGCATGCAATCTGATGAATAGTGGATGGTTAAAAATTCTTAGTAAAGAAATCAATACAGTTAATTGCTCTAATTTAAACATCTTCCAATAATTCTTATTTTAGATTATAAGACAACTTCTCTATAATTGAATTAATTTCTTATTTATTCCCTTTTACTTATTGTTCATAATAATATTTTAAGTAGTTCCTGACTCTGCTTTACAATTGCAAGGAAACTTCATTTTAGTTCATATATTGGTTGATCAACATAAGATTCCTTTTATAAGACTACTTTTGTAAATCAATATTTGAGAATATCACCCCAATTGCATTTATTGAAAAAGCAAATACCACACTAGCAAAGAATATCATAATAATTGTACACAGAACTTCATAAATGTTTTATGGAGTCACATCGCCATATCCAACAGTTACCATTGTAGCAGTTGCCCAATAAAATGAGTAGCCATATTTATGAAATACTGCAGAATTTTCTAAATTCTGTTGTTGAATCCATGAATTTGAGAAAGAAGATTAACTCATGTTACCAACATAATACCAAATGCAAGCCATAAAATGAGCAAAGTAAAAGATTAAAATAATTAATTGAGACAGGCTGACAAATTCGGTAAAGTTCGATTGAATCGCAAACATCTCTCCATACTTGTTAATAGTTTTCTTGAGTTTAATGAAATTTAAAGTAAATTGTATTAATACTATAACTTCAGGGAAGAAATATATTGTTATGGGATCACTGCCAATAACAAAAGTCAACGTAATTAGATAGATAGCATCTTCATATAATTCATAGATGATGTAGTGTTTCATAATCTTAAGTCTATCATAGACTATTTGTCCTTGATCTATCATACCTCTATTCAATTTAATTAATAAATCAACTCCAAATAAATAGATAAGTAAATTTTCAATTTAATTCATTGCAGAAGTCTTCGGTGGATCAAATGATATCTTAAATGGTACCCACCATAGCAAAAACATTATTTAAATAAGTCTTAAGAATTGCCAAAACATATAAAATTTACCTGTTGGATTTATTATTGGAATTTTGTGTTATTATTAAACATTGTCTATGCTCTTCAGCAACTCCATATGAACTTAATCAAATCTGGATTCTTGTTATGAATTTTTTTGGTGATGCTGATTTTTGTGAATGTATTACTCTTCCAAAAAACTAAGTAATTATTCATTTGGATGACGAGGATATATGTGGGCATTTTGAAATAGTTTCTCCTTAAATTTTTTCAATTGGTTCTTCTGTTTGATTAATTGCATAATCTTGCTGCCTCTTGCATTTTAAATTCTGTCTTATGGGAATTAAGATGCTGTCTTACATATATACTAATTGATTTACATAATAATTTGATGTTTTCTTTAGATTAGCTCTAGCTTGTCTCAACTATTTATCGTGTGCTATTTCATCGTTTGATCTCTCGTATACAGGACTCATATCTTAACTATCCAATTAATTTTTTTGAATTTGATTAGCGTTCATCTGAATCAATTAAGGTTAGAATTTATCTGAAAAACGTGAAGAACCTATACTAATAATCAATTGAACTTTAACTTATGTTGATCGATCTTGCTGATTCCTGCTAATCCATATTATTTTATATTGATAGCGAATTATATAAATATTTATATCAATAATTAAATGCGATTCTTATTCTTAGAAGGAATTTATATTAACTTAAGCAAATTAAGGTAAAATAAATTTATTTCCTTGAATATCCTCATTTAATAAATACTTAAAATTGAATATGTAGATATTAATGATAATTAGGAACATCTGCAGTTAGGATATCTTAAGACACCAGAATAAAAGAAAATATTACATATTATATATTACATTCTCTTATTCTGCATATTTATCATAATAAATATTATTTCTTTCTTAATTCTTATGATCCTCATCAAACAAGGTTATTAAAAGGAAGTTTTTCAAGATATTTATCAATATTATTAGCTATTATTTCTCTTATAATAATGAGTCATTAATAAACTAATAATAAATTTAACTGTTAATGAGATCTACCTATTCTCCTGTATAATTTTTATCTTATGCCTATAGATTAGATCATCTCCTTGTAAATTCGATATTCCAATTACAAAATGTACAGAAATACAATAGAGGTTGGATTATCAATCATGGAGTGATGTCAAAAAAGGAATACGTGATAAAGTATAATCAAGAGTATAAGGATTCGAAAATCAGAAATTTATTTAGAAGAGTGATCTTTTGTATAATTTTAAGAATTCAGATTAAAAATTATCATCCTAAGCATTAGCATCACGCTCATCAACTTCTTATGTGAAAAATCACTTGGAAAACAAATTTCCAAAATAGGAATCTCCTATAAAAATGGGTCTGACTCATGCCATCTATTCTCCAAGTCAAAAACAATCGAACCCGGTTGATGATATTAAACGAAGTAATATATATCCATCTGCTTTTGGATCCTTTACTGAAAAGGATAATTATAAGACTCACTCATCAAAAAGAGATTTAATGGGTGCCTTTAAATCCAGTTCTGATATCATTGACTTTTCTCGAAAGAGTAAACCAATTACAGAGAGAGTATCTTTAACAGAAATAATTAAAATCTCTAATCACTTATCTGATTTATAATAAACAGACATTTCATCCTTAAGTAATGGTTACCTTTCAGAATTAGTAGGATTATAATCGAACATAAACAAACTATTAAAAAATGCAAATAGCAAATTCTACAAATGAATTATCTATAAATAAATATATTGTATTAATAATGACGTCTCAAATATTTAAGGATCTTTAGCCCGATTAAGAAATTAGTTGCTTGATAGGTGATGTGGGAGGAACAAATGTTCGTCTCCAACTCGTCAAGATCTCTCTCAAGTTGACATATCAAAAAGCTCCTTAACTTAAACCATATACAACCTATAACACAGATTTGTATCCTCAATTCCAAGACTACATTGTTGAATACTTGAAGGATGTATAAAAGGATAATCTTCCTTAATTTGCCATTATAGGTTTGTACTGATATCTATATCCTAGGCATTGCTGGGCCAATCAAAAATAATTCCACTTTGATGGCTAACACTAAATGGTCTTAAGTAGATGGAAATGCCATTGGACAAGCACTCAACATTAAACCATTTCTCTTAATTAATGACTTCTAGGCAGTGGCATATGGAATTTTGGGACTTTAGCAAACAGACTTGATCCAATTGAATCCAAAAAATCCAAATCCAAAAGAAAATTCAGTCAAAACTGTAATTGGTCCTGGAACTGGATTGGGTGTAGCAAGATTAATTCCATCTTTGAAAGAGAATCATGCATGGGAATACAATATTTGGTAGTGAAAATTAACTATTTTTTAGGCCTTGTGAAGGAGGACACGTAGGATATTCCCCATCCAACGATTTAGAAATAGAATATCTTTAATATTTGAGAAAGAGATTAGGTTTGGGTTAGATAGTTGCAGAAAAAGCAATGGCCGGTTAAGCTGTTCCATTTATCTATACCTTTTTAAAGGGAAGACTTGGATTGGAGTCTTAAATTGAAAAGGATCTTGATTAAGCCTTATTTGAAGTAATCCTTGCTATTTATGATTTCAGGATAAGAATGATTTCAAATAATTCCCATCGACATAAGTATTTTAATATGGTGTTGAGAAGAAAGATGAATTATGCTAAAAAGTTGTGGATTTCTTCTTAACTAGTTATGGAACAGTTATCGGAGATCTAGTTTGCAATACTATGCCTTATGGAGGTATTTATTTGTTTGGCAATATCTCTATTGGAGTTGCCAATTACATCATCAATAATCCATAAGTCAATTTTTTAGTAATTATTTCTGAATTATAGGTTTCAGTAAGACTACGTTAAATATAGACCTCATTTAGCTGAGATTTTCGATTAGATACCTATTTATGTGATCAAATAGGCTTCCTTAGGATTAGAAGGTGCTTATTAGGCAGCATATAGATTGTTAGAGTATAATGACTATGAAAAAGAAATTTGATGAACAATCATTATTTATCATTCAATCAAACGTTTAAAAATAATTTAGTTCCTCAAAAGAATTAAGAAATCCTAAATATTAATGTCGAATAATAGATATTTTATTACTCAAATAATGTCTTGAATGTGTTTGATTAATAAGAAACAAGGTTTATTAGCAAAAAAATAATAGTTAGCTATAATCGATAAATCAGATATATTAGTTTTATTGTATTCATCTTTTGACAACATGGCTTGTTTTGTTTTTGCCCTGATTAACATGAACAATAATTTTGTCTTCATCTTTTTTTACATGCTATAAGGAACTGACTTTATCTTAAAGTTCCCTATTTCTGCTACGTAATAAGTCTTCAAGTTATCTAACTTTGGCCAGCAGGATCTCATAATTATGTTTTCTAATTAGAAGTAAATTGATACAGATCATCTCTCTCATTTAGAGAATCGTCAAGTTAAATTTTAAGATTAGCAATTACTTATTGTAATTCTACAATCTTTCTCTTTAACACTCTGATTTCTTCTATTAATTCCTCATCTTCAGATTCACTTTCCACTTTCTTTTAAACATTTTGCTAAACAACAATAGGTTATCTAGCAGGCACTCTTTCTCTGATAATTCTTTCGACTGGAACAATCTTTTCGATTTCTATTATTCTTTCAATTGGTTTTTCCACAATCACTTATTAAGGCACATGTTGAATAATAGTCTATACTTTATCCTTCTTCTTAGCCAATTTAGCATCTTTTATTCTAATTTCTCTTTCTAATTATTCGATTCTTGATTCCAATACTCTATCTCTAGATGGAGAATGCTCTATAGCTTATGGTTTGATTGATTCTAAATGTTCCAATCTCCTACATTTGGTTTTCCACTCCTCGCACTCATGTGTTTTGTCTTAGAGTTGTTATTTGAGTTTCTATTATTTTAACTAACATTTCATACTTCTAAATCAAATAAAATTTGTTGATATTTTTCATCAAATTAAGCCAATTAAGATTTCAGTTTATAAATCTGATCTTCCAATGATTTCTTTTCAAATTAAAATTCTTAGAGCAATATTTATTTTTATTAATTCTAAATACAATTAAATAATATAGTACTAATTCTCTATTCAATCTTTCTCTCCAGAATTATTCTTATTCATTTAATTTCTGTAAGTGAAAGTTACTTTGATTTTCCATTTCTTATTTGTAATATTTGATCTTATCCTTTTTTTTAAATATGACTTCTTTTAATTTTGCATTCTCAGCTTGGAATTATTGCAAACCAGTTTCTGCTGCTTACAACTTTTGAGTTAATACATTAATTTGAGAATCCTTCTAATGGATTTAGGGCTCATATTGTTAAACCAATTCATTTAAAGATTTTTACTATAGAATTAGAATAAAGTAATACTAGAATCCTTTCACTTTCAGAAAGAAGATTTATTTTTAATTCTTCAATGTCAATATGATATCTGTCTTCCAATTCCATCAATTGCATTCTCAATTATTCTCTTTCATTGATAATAGCTCCATTAATATCAGGTTAAGTTGTCTGTACCAAGCATTACTTTTAACTCACACATTAAGTTAAAGGAATTTGACAAGACTGATAGGGTTAGCAAGTTGGATAATACATTCGTTAAAAATTAAATTATAATTATTAATCAAAACCAAACCTACTTTTAAGAAAATCAAACAAAAAATAGGAATAAAGAATAATCACCCTAAATTTCCAAGTACTGCCAATTGTATGATATATCATTCTTCGGATTAAACATATAATTAATATTTTAGACTTAATTATTTAACAAGGAATAATTAGTTATTCAAATTCAGATGGTATTAATGTTTTAGAAAGTATTTACGAATTATTGGGATTTTTAAATTATATTTAAATGCTGTTATACTTTTACAAAGTGTTTATAAATTCTTTTTCAAAAAATATTTAATATAGGGGTGTCTATACATTTCTTCTTCATTTTAATAATATTAATAAATATATTAAATATTAGTATGAATATTGAATAGTTTTGACTATTTCTCATGGTTTTATTAATTTTTATTAACAATAAATTATCAAAGCAGTTTAGAATTAAATGAGAAAAACTCATTCTCCATAAGGTTTCTAGTATTTTATGAAAAGAAGATATGAGTAAAGGTTTCCAAAATTTAAATTTTAAGAGCCAGGGGAAACATATGGATTAATGCCAAGAATTACTCCTAGTTCAAATCTTAAAACTGAAATCATTTAAAACAACTCCACAGAATAAATTTATCCGCATTTAAAGAAGAGAATTGCCAATAGTTAATCAAAAGAGAAAAGTGATGATTCATGCATTCTAATTGGTAATACATTAAAGTCACTTGAGAGAAGAGTAATGAAACCAAGGATATCCTATTAACCAGAGATCTCACCTAATAAGTAGGTTAGACTCAGAAGCAAATCCATAAAAAAATAACCGAAGTTTGATGGGATATATTATGAAGGGGAGAAATTTTGTTAAGAATAGGACTTTTAAGAGAAATATGCAAACATGAGATAGTATTATAATTATGTCAATATATCGAATGGCTTATTCATAAAGCCTACAGTGAATTACTATAAGGCAAATGTATCAAAAAGCAACAATGGATAGCTAGTTAGGACTTTACTGAAATAAAGATGGTGGTGGTTAGTTGTGGATAATGATAAGGATAATGTCAATTTTCTATGGGAATCAGCAAGAAATGACAATTTCATTATTTCAATGCCATGTTCAGAATAAGTAGACAGAAATGATAATTTTAATATTTAATAAGACTTTTTGGATGCTCAAACAGAATCCCATCCTTATGCAAAAATACTACCGAAAAACTTAGTAATCTAAATGAATCTCTAAGACAAGCAAATTGGGAAATAGGGCAAACTATTAAATTACGAACAATGCTAGTAATTTTGCAACAATATTAGAATCTTTGAAATTACTTCAACAACCAAAATCCATAATCATATACAAAACAACACACATCTAGGGTCTAAAAAGAACTTATTTCTGAATCTAAAGAAGTATTATGAATTAAATTCCTTAAATGTATTTGAGTTTCTTCCTTTAACTTATCACATTAAGAATAAATATGATTTAGAAAATTACATAATCCATAATTTTGATACCAAAAAAATTTGGATTGTCAAACCAGGAGAATTAACCAATAGAGGGCACGGAATTTAAATCTTTTAAAATGTTAATGAGGTTAACATGTTTTTAAAAGGAAATCATTAACATAGAAATGGGTCATCAAAAACATTCATCGTTTAACAATACATAACTAACCCGTTGTTATATAATCAAAGAAAATTTGATATCAGATGCTTTATTCTATTTACAGGAATCAATGGCCGATAAAAAGGATACTGGTACTAAGATGGTTACATAAGAACTTCATCTAAAGAGTTTAATTTAAATAATTTGTAGAACAAAATGATACATTTAACAAATGATGCTGTTTAAAAATATTCTGAAGACTATGGTAAATTTGAAAAAGGTAATAAAATATCCTTTGAAGAATTCAAGAAATACATAACACCTGAAAAATTCAATTTAGTATATTAGAAAATGAAATAAATTGCATTAGATTAGTTTAAGGCTGCTGCTGAACTATTAGATCCATTAAAGAGAGAAAATACATTTGAACTATTTGGATTAGATTTCATGATCGATGAATCATATAATACTTGGTTAATTGAAACTAACACAAACCCTTGTTTAGAATAAACAGGTCCACTTTTGACAGGTTTCATGCCATAGTTGATTGACAATCTACTCAAACTTGTGATTGATCCCTTGTATCCTCCTCCCTAATTTTACTCTGCTAAGAAATTTGTTTATGAATGTTTGGATAATAAATTCGAACTTATATATGATTCTTCAAAATTGAAATTAAATAGAAAAAATGTAATTATTGATAATGAATTATGAAAAAATAACAACTTACTTTTTATGTCATTTAATTAAATCTATATCATACATAACATATAATCAGTCGAAGTAAATCATTTTAATTTTTTTTGCATATATTTAAACCTTATTATTTAGACTAATTGTTAAATCTTCAACCACATTTTGAAAATTACTATCCCCTATTATTCTAATTATAAAGTCATCGCTACACTATCCTAAATAACATACGAGAAATTTTAGAACAACTTCGTTGACCTGCATAATTTCATCGTTCAACATAGAAACCAAGCAATTCATAAGTTCCTAGTTATTGAGTAAGGATGAACCAAAATTCTAGTCTGAAGAGACTAATTCCAAGCAATCCAGAATAGATATAGATATTAGATACGATGCATAGGGATTATTAAGAAGAAGATCTAAGAAGGCATCAATAATCAAAGGCAGAAATCTCTTCTCTCTTTCTCCTTACAAAAATATATAATTAAAGCATTCCAAAGATTTGATTGCTTATGATTCGTTTGCATACAAATTTTATCGCAAAGTTATTATTAATTCATCGTTGACAATCTTTTAATATATTTTTGGTTTAGCAATTTACATTAAGAGTAAAATCATCGAAATTAATAATTTACTTATATCATATTATTATTGGTTTTCCCTTAAAAATTGTAAAATGAGTGACCAAGCGCATTGATTTGTAATGTGGTACTCATTTAATTCTTTCCAAAAATATTCGCTCGCATTTTGAAATTTTTTCATCATTTTACTAATAAATAATGCTTTATCAATAGTTATGCCTTATGTAATAAATTCTTTGCAACAATATGTAAAAGACTATATTATATACTTTAATTACTTATTTTAAATCAGATAATTTTAAAAGATCCGACTCAATGATTGTTAACAATAATTGATCATATTTTTGTTTTTCTGTTGATTATGAAAACTTATGTTACATTTTCACTAAGAAACTTTAAAGCAAGGTTTTATATTTCTTGTTATCTTCAAAAAATTCCCTTAAATCCTAATTATTTAGGACTTTATTGATTAAATCTATACTAAAAGCAATTGAAATATCGTCTTGATTAAATATTTAAAATAAATATTCCTGGATCGTTTCATCTAAATCATAATCATCAATACTCAAATACCATAATCTTTCTATTTGGATTTCTCTACACTATTCTGTTCATGAATTTTCTTTTCTTTTTCTGAATCCAACTCAGAAATCAACTTCTTCATCTCTTACTTTAAAACCCGCTTCTAACAAAATAAATTATGCAAAGATTATCTTCTTATTTGAACCCTAAAATTTTCTCGTTTATTATATATTAGTTCATTCATGAAATTTAATTTGTTTAATTTTTGAACATTATATATAATAAAATCCTAGCTTATATTTGGGTGATAATAAATATAAGATGTATCATCAATTATTAACATCCAATAATTGATTATATTATTATATCTCTCTATCATTATAGTAGTTAACCTAAAAATACTATTTATCTTTATGTGTTTATTTATTTTTTAAGTTTCAAATAAAAAATTGATAGAAGCAATATATCTTACATTAGGTAGTTTTAACAAATATCGATTAAAAGTTGTAATCTTGATTAACAAAAATTAAATTAAATTCAAATAAAGCTCTAAATTTAGTACTCTTGTAAAATTAGTTTATTTTTAATGAAATATACAATTATTTTAATTATAAATCATTATTTTAATGATATACTTAATTCTTTTTATCAAAAAAAGGCTTTTGTACTATCAAGCCTGGATGATTAAAGATGAGTTGCTACAACTTAATTGGAATTATTAACAGGATTGATATTTATAAGATTAAAAAAGATCATATTTGTAATTAATATTTTTTATTTATTATTGTAAACAATCAACTATTCATTTGTTTGACTAATTAGTTGATCTTATCTTAGATTTTATTTTATCTCTTAATTGTTTTAAATTCTTGAATTGTGGAAAATCCAATTCCTGTTTGAGGATCTTTGTATTTTGTTTTTTGAGATTTTTCATTTTTTTTACTGGTATTGAGGAATAGCTAAGGGTATTCACCTTTTTCAAAATTAATAAATTATAAAGTTTTCTCATTTTAATTATCTAATTATCTTATAATTGGGCCATCAATCACATTTTCTCTTTCAACTTTAATCTTCTTCTTGTCCTCCTCAATTTGTATCAGGTATTAAAGTGAAACTCTAATATAATTATAAAATTATACTTATTGCGCAATTCTGTTTAGACAGCTTCTCGGATTAAATATTCTTGATTGAAATGATCATGAATGTAAGAAGTTTTACTAACACTACGAATAACTCTAGTTTTTTCTTTATCCACCTTTTTTGTAGTTGATTTATGAGATTGATTATCTTCCTCAGATTCTTCTGAATCAGATGAATCAATAAAATCTGAATCAAAACTATCCTCTTTTTAGTTTTCCTTTTATTAATAAGACTCATCATCATCAATATTATCTTAATTAAAATATTTGTTATTATTCCAAAAGTCGTCTTCTTCAGGTAATTCACGTTTCATCAAATAATTCATTTTTTCTCCTCTTCTTTTTCTAAATTCCATTTATTTGATTGCTGGCTCAATATTTTATTCTTGCCTTTTATGATTTCTACTCATTAATTTAATAAAACGAGAGTAATAATATTAATTTATAATTAAAAGTTTGATAAAATTTACATTTGAGAATATGAATATCTATATATAAATCGCTCCTTTGAATAAAAAATATTCAGATAGAAATTTTACTTATTTATAAATATTTACTTTATAATTATATCTAAATGACATACCAATTAGAAGTGACATATGTTCAACCTGGATCAATTTAATATATATGATTAAAAGTTCTAAGTTCTCATAGATTCATAGAAAGGTTTTTGGATTTCAATATCAGATTAATCAAAAATTATAAATAAAATTCTATAATAGAAATGATAAAACTATTTTGCAATCAAATCATTAAATCTCAGACTAAGGAATTTTTGGATAGATAATTTGTGATAGTAAAAGAACTTGCAAGTGATTCTAATGGAGCTATCTATGAGGCAAAAGCATAATCATCTTCTTATTGTTCTAATGTTGCCATTAAATTATCATACAACATCAAATAACAAGAAGAAAATTATATTGATTGGCTAATTTAATAATAAGCAAATAATACTTAATTGATAAGATTCTATGAGAAAATTGAACAAAAATAATATAAACTTACGATTATGGAACTAGGTGGTTGTAACTTAAATGAATATTTAAAGTCAAATTAAAAGTCAAATTCTGACAAGTTTAAGATTTTTATCTAAGTATTTTAGCCATCTATAACAATAGACATTAAAAGCCATTAAATTTTTAAATGAGTAATGATTATATTTGCGAAGACATCAAAACTAAAAAATTTGTACAAGTTTAAGATACTTTTAAATTAACTGGTTCTTGTTTTAAGAAAAGGTTATAATTAATGAACTCGAAATTTTTGAATAATTAAACTTCAAAAATATAGGATATTGGGCCTTTGATTTATATGTTTTGTGAAATTTACAAAGGAGAATAATTTTTTGAAGGTTTTTATTAAATTTATATAAGTGTAAAATGCATCAGGAATTAATGGCATAAAGTAAGATTGGTTGTTTAAGATACCCCAAATTTAACGCTAAGATATAACAGAGTTAATTAAATATTTATTGAGAAACCCAGATGGATTAAATTATGATTAAGCAATTCAAAAGTTTACCAACCTAAATTCTTTTTTTTCAGAAGCAAATTAATCATAAAACAAGAGTTTTCAACAAATTTAATAGCCCCCGGCTAGAAATAATCTCAATTCTTCCATCACTTCGATTATAAATGTTCCAACTGAATAATTTCCTAGACGTCAATTTATTTTAACTCAATAATTAGGAGCAGGAGGAGAAGGAGTTGTTTATAAAGCAACACCAATAAATGAATCTTTTTATAATGCCGATGTTGCCGTAAAAATTTAAAATTCAATTAAAAATGATGAACTCAATTTTATTAAAAGTTTGATTGATTATTAATGTAACTTAGAACCAAAGTCTTTGAAAAAAAGTAATCTGATCAGACTTTATGAATTATATAAGTGGAATAATAATCAATTAATAGTTATGGAACTTGGAGGAAAAAATTTGTTTAACTTTTTAACAGAGAAAAAATATTAATCAGAAATGGAGAAGTTATAAATATGTTAATAAGTAAGATTCATATTGAAATAAATTAGATTACTTAGGCTATTGCTTTTCTTCATGAAAAACAGATATTTCATAGAGATATTAAGCCAGAAAACTTTATTCAATGTGGTAATATATTCAAATTAATTGATTTTGGTTTAATCAAAAATAAAAACCAAAATGTGAAATTAACAAAAATGGTTGGAACTCCTCTATACCAGGCTCCAGAAATACTCTAAGGATCTGATGAATATTCATATTCTGTTGATATATGGTCGTTAGGATGTCTATTTTTTGAGATTTTCAAATATGAACCATTATTTAATTGTATTAATCTAAATTAAATCTAAAGGTACCAATATAGAACAAGTTAAAAATGCAGTTGTACTACATTGCAATAACCAGTAAACCCTCAATAATTAAATAGATTAATTATAAATCAAATAGGAATTAAAAAACCTAATTAAATAAATGGTTCATCCATTACCAAATAGTAGACCAACTATTCAAAATGTTTTAACATAACTCTAACCATCTATACCTTAAGCATAATCAATTATACCCATAGCATAATCAGCTTTCGCCTTTAAACCATCATTATCCTTAGTATAATAGTTCTAGCCATAAAAAATAAAAGGATAAGAAGATGTTAAACTACAGAGCGCAATAAATGATTATTTGATGTCTTAAATTAGTAAGTCAAACTATTCTATTTAAATTTTATAACCAAAAGATTTAGAATAAATATTCAAAAATATTTCTGATAAATGTATTACATTTTTAAATGAGGAGATAAAGAATTAGTTTCCAACATAATAATAGTTAAGTTGGCTGGGAAAACAAGCAGATAATTTTTGTAACAAGCCAACCACTAAAGTAAATATGCTATCTCCTAAAAATTATCAGAAAAATATAGTAGATGAAATTGACCCTAATTTTGATTCTGAAATTCACATAAATGAGGTTAAAAGCTAACGTTATAGCTAACACAATAATAAATAAAACTAAATAAATTATAATGGATTTGGGCAATCCGTGATAAATCCTTAGACTAAACATGGATCAATTACAAATAATTGATAATTTAATTAAAATTTTATAAATTTCAATAAATAAAAGCTTTTAATAATTTTATACCTCCAATGATTTGGAATATAATATTTAGAATCAACATTAATTAATAATTTAAATTAGGTTTTATTTTATCTAAATTATGACAGAATATGCCCTTAAGTTATTAATCTAATTTTTAATCATAGTTAATTAGATAGATCTAAACCTGGCTGGACAACATTCAGTTCTTTATTTTATTTTTTAGCAGTATCATTATAGATATCAATGCATAAAACGTAGTATTTTTTTAATTCATAATTTAATGTTGATAAATTTTCATGTAATGTATCAAGCAAAACTAGAGCTTGATCAATTTGTCTGAAAAGCATTTAACTATGGATAAATAATAGCATTTTTTTAATTTTCAGCAGTTTTAACATTAGCAATTCTTTATAACTCAAAGGTTATTAGTTTAAATAAATAACTTTGCTTATAATCATTATAGTCAGCAATCAGCTGTGATTGTATTATAATAAATAATTCTTTAAGTGCACCTTAGATTCAACTCCAATTTCTAAGGAACTTCGGCCAATTTCACATTTATTTCATCAGTTATATAAATAATGATAATAAAAATTAAGCAATTTCAGTATTATGTTCAGTAAGGATACCTCTGATTGTCAAATGAAGTTCACTATAATTTAAAATAAAGCTTCGTCATCTTAATTCTTTGATTTTTGCAAAAACAATAATTATAAATTTGCTGTTATGGTGAAATAAATTGTGTTTAGATTGCTGCTTTTAACATTTTTACTATTTTAATAAAATTCAGGATATGAATTTTTTAGTTATTATAATTTTACAATAGGAGTACTTATCAAATAAAATATATATATATATATCCATCAACATCAGAGAGCACGAATTTTTTCAATCATTAAAGATTAGTTGTACTAATTAACAAAAACTATAGTTTATAAATGCTGATTCTTTTCTTTTTAACTTTCTCTCGGCTGTTTCAATTCTGTAAACTATAATTATTACTACTCTATATTACATGCCCAATCATTTGAATGCCATTGCCATTCAGATACTAGCCAAATCCTAAAATTTATCCTTTTGTAAATGTTCCCGTGTAATATGAGCCATCATTCCATAAAAAGGTTCCTTCCCCATGAAAGAAATTGTTTTTGAATTAACCTTCATATCTAAACAATATATATTTTCATACTTGCAGCCATCATTTAAAATTAGGATTCCTCTGCCCTCTTTTTTACCATTTTAAAATTAACCAAAATATTTTGTTCCATCACTTTTGATTTCTTAACCTTCCCCCTATATTGTATTATCAATCCAAAGTCCTATAAAATACTTCATTATTTTACCTTTAACTATTTTCTTTTACGATTTAAATATTCCATACCCATTAGTTTTCCCCTATGTAAATTAACATTCAAAACTAATTTGAAATAGAAATATCTCATACCTGTCTCCATTTGCATAATTCATTCTACAATATCCCTCTAATTAATCATTTTCCCATTATCTAAATATATTGAATATTCCATACCCTTCTAATAAATTTCCTGCTTTCGGCCATATTTAAATTCCTTCTCCCTATTTTTATAAATTCTCCATTATTCCATAATAAATGCTATCATCATTTTGTTTAATCAGTTGATAATTTGTTTTAGGAATTAAACTGTCCAACTTGTATTTTAAATGTTGCGGTAACTCTCGAATTACTTCCAAGAGTCTTGAGTCCAAAGCAGGGCTGCCTTGCCTAGAATTGTCATCATCAGCTAAAATTATTTAATATTTTTGAGTACTTTCGATTAATTAAAGTTGACTTATCTTTGAAAGGATTTCTTCTTACACTTGCTCATTACTTTAAATATTAAACATTTTAGTTTATGAGAAAAGTTCCAAGATTAATAATAATTATTAATTAAAAGATTAGGAAAAGAAATATCACTTATTAATTAATAAAATTAATGGCATATTTTGGAAATTTTACTTTTCATTCTTACTAGAAGATCAATGCTAAGTTCTGAGAGGCTTACTTCCAAACGATATCTCTTTTTATGTCTTTTTACGTTCACTATTTTATGATAGTGTTGATTTAGAATCAAAAAAGATTCCCATTTTTAAAACTAATACAGCCTATTTTTAAATTACAATGACTCAAAGCTTAAGATCATTGAATATTCATGTAAATCAACTTACAACTAACTTTAGAATTACAGAAATAATCACATTAGTTTTTGGAAGGATAAAACTAATCGGTATAATCGTAAATAAGGACTCCTTAAAAGTTTAATTAAGGATAAAATTCTAAATTGTCAATAGATGTAAATTTTAGGTTATTTGAAATCTGATTGCTAATTAGAGTAATTTAAAAACTTGTATTCAAAATTATTAGAGGTAAACAAATAATGAATTAAGCAATATATTTTTCAAACTTTAATTAATTTGATTATTAAATTATTCATGATTGTAAATCCGTATGATGTTGATATTCCAGAAGCCTGGAAAAATGAAATAATTTATTAGAAATATATTGCCTATCAAGCTTTAAGATAAACAACACTAACCCTCAATAACATTCAAAATTAAAAATTAAACGAAAATGATTTTATATACAGAGATATATTATTCAAGGGATAATTGCCATCTGAAGAGTGTGACACATATTTTGATTATATGAAACAACATTATAAATCAAGGAAACAATTGAATAGCAGTGACTTTTTAAAATAAAGAAGGGAAGAATGCTAAAATAAAAAATTTAATTTTTGGTAAAAATGCAGCAAATTGCCCATTAATACCAAATAAAAATTAGAGACAAGAAATATCGTTAGAGATATTAAATATCAACATTTATTTGTTCCATAAATTTTATTTCTTTCTGGTTCTATTCTAATAGCTTATTTACTAAAAATGTATAGAAATCCTATTAAATTTTAATTAATTACAATTGGATTCGGATCCTCATTAGGTTACTTCCATGGAGTTTACAATTGTATAATTTAAGATATATATAGATAGCAACCAAATATTTAATGACATTCCATATTTGCCAGACCCAGAATTAGAGCTAGAACATTAACATATAATGAACTATTGCTTTTCTTTAGACCAAGAGTAAATATTGATATAATATTCTTAGCCTGATTGCAAGATACGTATTTAGTCATGAAAACCTACATAAGTGAATTAAATTAATTGAAATTTTATTTAAAATAATGTACACTCTTATTCTGCTATGCGAAAGCGTTCATCATATATTCTGATATTATATTCTTGAATAAATGTTAAAAATAATTTCTTCAAACATTAGATGATTGAATAATAAATTAATTAATCTAAAATTCTATTTAGAAATTCAGATTAAGTTTTTTGGAGTAACTTGAGTTGGAGTAAGGAATTAAATAAATTTATTTATATTATTATTATTAATGTGAACAGATCACTTTCTTCCAAGGGAAGTTTATGAGGCCAATGATCTGACTTAATCTTTGAAGAGTTGAATGACAACATCGATAATAGCGTTTTCCTCTAGAAATGAAATAGAATGATACCTTATCTTCTAACAGTTTCGGAAGCATAGAATTCTCTCTTTTCTTCCAAATCAGCAGTAGCTCCGGCAACTGCATTCAAAGAATCTTTCCATAATTTGAGTGCTTTGGCTTATTAAGCAAGGACGGCTGGGAGTTACTTGAGAAATAGATGTTAATTGATACTGTTTCTAATTTTTCAACAAGATTTGTTCTTCTTTCGTGTTCAGAATTTAACCAGGCGACTTCAGCATTGGTGTCTGATACGTATTTAGCAAGTGCGAAAGCAGCATGGATTTCTTGTTCTTAGAGAGTTGCAAGGGTGGATTCTAATTCAGCTTGTAAGTCTTGTAAGATAGCAAGAACTTATTCTCCAGTGGTTCCATCTCTTTTCACTTCAGCGAGGGATTGGAATTTTTAGATGGCATCTTATTAGAAAAGGTGACTATATGCAGACAATTTATCGGCAATGGTTTAAGCTTTTTCGACAAGTTCGACTCCAGCATTATTAGTGAGAAAACCAGCAACATCTTATTCCAAAAGTTACACAACACCAATAGCATCAGCGTGATCAGCAAGAGACTTAACAAAAAGTCCATTTGCCCAACATCTTTAATCTTGAAGTTAAGCATTTCTTCTTTCGATTTCAGCAAGTCTTGATTCAGCCCATGCTAACCATGAATATCCATCCTAAGATTATTTAAAGAGTATATACTCTGACTTAGGCTTCAACATCTGTTCTGACAGCACCTAGAGCTTCCCATTATTACTTGTTGAGTGAAGCAACATTTGTTAAGTCACCAATAACTTAAGAGAAGATTTCTATAAAAATATATATTTGAAAGGATACCTTCGTCTGTGTTATTCTTTTTATCGGCAGCAGCTTGGACATTAACATTCTCTGTTTTAAGATCTCGCAAAAGGTTGTATACTGATTCGACAGCATCATTTCCTCTTGTTCCTGTCTAAAGAAGGACAGCAAATTTGTTTGTATCTAAGGCAAATACGGCAGCCACTAAGCAAATTATGGTAAGAGCTCTCATAATTTTAATTTTTATTATTGTAAAAAACGGGCACATTATTCATGCTTTTAATAATTAATCATTTTATATTCTTAAATCGTCAACTTATTTACAAATTTCTTAATATTCTTAAAAGAAGTCCTGTTTTTTAGTCCATTAATTCATTTATTCTAATTAGGATTTCAACTCATTGTTTGCAGATTGTTTAATTTCTATCTATCTTTTTAATTACGATAGTTCATCCAATACACAAAGATTGGCTCTTGGTTTATTTGATTTTTGCTCAAATTTGTTCCTCAACTATTCCAAGATCTCTTTTTTTGATTTCACAACTAATTTAGTACTTTCAACTCTCTCCAATAATTCACAATATTTTTCGTAATTCTATTTTATAAATTACCTCAAATCAAAAATATTATTTTAGAACAATTATTAACTATTACAATAAGCAAATCTTTCTAGTGTTTCTTTTTTTTGTTTGATAGCATTTCCACTCTTCGCTGATTAGGGTTGCTATTTGAGCATAATCGTTAAATATTAATTTATATATGAAATAAAATAATTACAAACCTTCCCAAGTCGATCTTTCTAGTATTGCTGAATAATCAAATACTCAGTCAGATGTAGAATTGGAGTAGATTGACATGGCTAAAATGAATTGTTACGAGTATTATACAGCTATGGATCCTCAAGCCACCTAAGTTTTCTAAGTAGAAGGGGAACTCCATATTAAAGAGCTGTTTCATCGCTTAATAAAGAAAGTCATAGATAAAGCATAAGAAAATGAAATCCTCAGAAAGTTGCCTACTGTCTCTGCCTCTAATTCATTAAATCTTTTGGTAATGCCTTTAGCACAGGCCTTCTATAAACCTGAAAACCCTATAAAAGACGTTCAAAGTGGTGGGTTAGAAGAGGACTTCGAACCTGTACATAATTTATTTAATTTAAGTTACACATCTAACATGAATAATGGCTGACATCTAAAATTAATATGGAGATTAAACCTGAAATTAGGCCTGGTACTTGTTAAACATCAAGTCCAAGGACATTTGCAAAATCTAGAATTTAAGTAATTGAATTAAGTAATGTTAGGATTAAACATCACTAATCAAAGAAAAGAAATAGTTGGATCCTATGCCTATAGACTTAGTTGATCCATTAGACATTAGTATAACAGAAGAGTAATTGAGAAATGAAAAAGAAAGACAAACAAAAGAGAAATTAGAATTGAATGAAGCAGAAAAAAGAAGAAAGCTTAAAGAAGAGAAAGAAGAATAATTAAAATATGAATTGATGGCAAAAGATAAGAAATCAAAATAATATACGTATGATTATGATGGCAAGCTGATATCTGTAAATCCAGCTAAAGGAACTAAATTGCCACTTCCTGCTTCTACTTTGGCGTACAATTCAATAATTTTTAAGATCCAAATTTGAAGAAGATCAAGCCGCGAAAGTAAATCCAAAAAAGAAATACAATAAGGTTCCTTGGAATAATAAAAAAACAGATGATGAGAAGGATAAGGAAAAGGATACATTCAAATTTAATTAGATAGCTCCTTTAGTTGTAGAGAATATGAATTTATAACCAGGAATTGTAGTTATTCATGAGGGTAGAATAAAAGAAGGCACTAGACCAACTACTGTGGATTTATAAAATATGAGCAATCCTGCACTAAGAATGGCAAGGAATGAATATCTTAGTCTTACTCAATAAATGAATTCCTCAATTAACCAAAATGTCTAAATGAAAGCAGAAGATAAGCCAATCAAAGAGCTGGATAAAGGCAAGGGATTCAATTATGATAGATTCAAGAGATTGAGTCAGTAAACTAATATTTAATTGGGAGTTATAAAGTAATCTTATATTGATACGCAATAGAATCAACTCAACTAAAATATTTGAACAATTGGCATAAGCCTATTTTGAAGAAGCTGAAGAATTACCGAAAATTGTTAATTAACAAACGCAAACATCTAAAAGTTATTAAGAAAACACTTCAAAGGGGATAAAAAGTCCAGTTGATTAATTTAATTTATCCTTATATAAAAATAATGTTGTGGGTAGAGATCAACAAAATGAAATTGGAATAAATTATGAAAAGTTAAAAACACAAAAGGCTAATTCAAGGTATTTTTTATAATATTTTAAGAGATTTGAAATCCTCTATTGGTTCAAGAACCAATAGACCTAGAGAAAGAAAAATGTAATCAGAATAAAGCACTCTACCTACGGTAAGGAGTCAAAAAGTCTTTAAATTATGATCACTTTTGTTGTATATAATTTATTCACAATTTGTTTAATTATTTATTTATATATTATTATTATTATTATTATGGAATTATTAAGGGACCCATCCAAAGATCGTGTTGTTAAAACTCTGAAGCCACCTCCTCATCGTCCTCTCTCCAATTAGCTCATGTTTCCAGACAAATTGAAAAGTACAAAGTTTCAATATTCAGATAAACCTGACTGGAGAATATTATAGGATCATCTATCTAAAGAAGGAAGAATTGCAAAAGAAGATCTCATCAAATTAGTTACAGAATGCAATAAAATATTAAGTATTATTTGTTTAACACAACAGAAAATGAGGGAAATCTCATATACTTGCATGATCCTTTAACAGTTGTAGGCGACATTCATGGCCAATATTATGATTTGGTTAAAATGTTTGATGTTGGAGGCAATATTGAAACAACTAAATATTTATTTTTGGGCGATTTTGTTGACAGAGGCTCATTTTCAATAGAAGTGGTCGTTCTGGCATATGCAATTAAGATCAACTTTCCAAATACTGGTTTTTTTTCCTAAGAGGAAACCATGAATGTAGACAGCTTACAAGCTTCTTCAATTTTAAGGACGAATGTATACAAAAAAAAACCCTCTCATCAAGGCCTCTATAAGTATGACCAAGAAACCTACGATTTACTGATGGACTCCTTCGATCTCTTTCCCCTCGCCTGTGTAGTGAATAACAAGTTTCTAGCTATCCATGGAGGTATCTCTCCAGATTTAAAAACGGTAACGAGGTTCTGTATTTCCGATTTTAGCTTGAGGATATAAAAAAAATTGATAGATACCATGAACCACCTAGAAGCGGACTATTTTGTGATATCTTATGGAGTGACCCAGTTGACAATGATTAAGGATCATTAGATAATGGATGGAGAGGAAATGAAGTTAGAGGATGCTCTTGGTTTTTTGGAGTTGAAGCTGTGCATAGATTTCTACAAAGGAATAATCTCATTTCTGTAATCAGAGCTCATGAAGCATAATTGGAAGGGTATAAAATGCACAGATGGAAAGGGAGCTAAGATTTTCCAGTGGTCATTACCATCTTTTCAGCTCCCAATTATTGCGATGTCTATAAAAATAAAGGAGCTGTTATCAAATTTGAAAATAACACACTAAATATCTAACAATTCAAAGATACTCCTCATCCATACTTATTACCAAACTTTATGGATGTCTTTTCTTGGTCGATACCATTTGTTACAGAAAAAGGTAAATTAATATTCCTTCAATTTTAGTTACTGAAATGTTATATATGCTATTAAAACACGAGGATTAAGACCAAGAGAGCGAGAATGATAAAATTAACTAATAAGATATAGAAAAATTTAAACAGATTACTCAATCCGAATAATCAAAAACATATGAGAAAAATAAATCACTTCAAAAATAACTCTCCAGAAGTGGAAAAGAAAAGCTTAGATCTAGACTGAAATTTGTAGCTACTATGATGAAAATGCAAAAAACTCTAAGGTCTTCAAATATATTTGTATTTTCAGAGAAGAAAACGAAAGCATCGTTTAACTAAAAGGAGCCTGTCCAGATAAAAGATTGCCGAAAGGATTGCTACTGCAAGGCAAAGAAGCAATTACTGATGGTATACTTTTTTATCATTAAGCTTTATAAGAATTTAATTACATGAAATTAGCAGATAGCATTAATGAAAAAATGCCAAACATTTAAATTCCTTAGCAATCGATTTAAATAAAAAAGCCAGGATAATCCTCAAAAAAAAAATGAATATTTATTTGGTTTAGAATTAAAAATAAAATGATTTTTACTTATTCAAAATATTTCCAAGTCTTTTCATTGTGAAATAATATCATTGTTAAAACAAATAAATAATCAGAATAATCAAATATGATGTGAAGATAAGACGATCATGCTCAAAGAAATCCGTATTATATAGTTGACCATAGTTCCAAGAAGATGAAAGAATAAAAGAAGGTGTTAAATTAAACTGGTAAATTAATTATTAAAATTTAATAATGAATTAATATTGATCCTATTAATTACGCAAAGTTCATGACAGAGTTTGAATCATTTATATTTTTATTTCTAAAAAAGTGGAATGAATATTTAATCCTTCATTTCAGATCATAATCATATATTTAATAAATTCTGATTTGATTATGATATCTCGCATATAATAATATTAAAAAATTAATGATTGATATGAGAGCCGATAAACTTCTATTTTAATATATTTTCATAAATTTGAAAATATGTTGAATCCTTTGAGATATATGAATGAACACTAATGGATAGCTAGATTTAATAAATAAAATGTTAGTAACTTTAATTTATTTTTAACTCCCAATTCTAATTTTTATGAATTAAATAATAATTATGAGATGTAATTCTATTAATTTCAATAAGAAACAAATTTCTTGAGAAAATACGAATAAAAAATAGCATTTAAATAATAAATAATTAGCAAGAAGAATTTGAAGCTTTCTAAAAGAGAAATTGAAATATTTCTAATGATCTTTGGTAAAATTTTGCATCTCTCTATCTCTGAAAAATCTTAAATATAATAACTTAATAAGGAGAGAACAGGATAAAATTGAAGCATATTTTTAAAATTTTTGAATGGATTTTATTTAAATTGTTCATCAAGGCTTTTTTTAATTTCTTGAAAATGTTCCTTTAGGTTTTCTTTTCTGTTCAACTGTCTCCCAACCATCGCTGTCTTCATCCTCATTATTTTATTATTATTATTATTGTTATTATTGTTATTATTATTATTATTATTATTGCTATTACAACTACTATCGCTATTACTATTACTATTGTTATTATTCTTATTATGAGACTACTGGTGGATTGCCCTTAAATAAGAAGAATTAGATACCTTAGCTTTAGAGTTGGTGAAAGTGGGAATCGATTCTTCGACTTTCACTTGCTTCACTTATTCAATGGGGGCTTATTGGGATGCTGCATTTGTATTTCTCGATAAATTGACTTATCTTTGAGGTGGGTTAGATTTTTATGTTTCTTAAATTTGTGGTTGTGCCTAGGGTGCTGGCTCTTATTGTGTTTTTTTAATTTATTCTTATTGTTGCTATTAGAAATAGGCTGAGTTTTCTGACTTTTTTGTATTTGTGAATGTCAGAGATCCAGAATTAGAGTTTGATTGTGTATTTTTAGTTTAAACATTATTTGTTGTTTAGGTTTATGGTTTAGAACTAGAATTAGTGAATAGCCCTGCATTGTTAACGACAGGCTAGATTGGTTAGTCTTATTTTGGTTGTTGGTTCATTTTTTTTTACTTTTTAGTTGGTTTTGACATATCATCCACAGAAGCAATATCAGGAAACTCTTCATTACGTATTTCAACGGCAGTCTCATCCTGCTTTTTATATTAGGCAGTTGGCTTCTTACCAATACCATTAGTAGGAAGGTCTTTAGGATCATCTGATTGTTACCAACCATCATTTGTATTTTGTTAGATAGTGGGTTATCTAGAAATGAAATTGATAAGATACTTTTTTTCTGGTTTTTTGGCTACCTCAACTAGATTGGTTTCATCTTATTCGTCATCATGATCATTGGAAGTCTTTGGGTCATCCTTCTTAACAATTTTGGTATTCTAAGAATGAAGTTACAGTTTACCTCAGGCTTGGGTGCTTAATTTTTGGTTTGTTAGGATGTCTTGAGTTTCAGCATTGATTGGTGGATATGAGTGGAGTGAAAAATTTAAAAGGTATTTTTAAAAAATATTTAGTGAAGAATAAGAGAAGAGTTTTATTTAAATAAAGAAGGAAATACTCACATTTAATGAGTTATTTCGATCCGTTTTTAATTCAATATTAAAATATAGATGTAAAAAGTAGCCATCTTGGCATTCATAGTAGCAATAACAGCTGCTAAGTTTGTTGATACTCATACAACGTTAGCTCAAATAAATGCTGACCCATTCGGACATGTTGTATTATCTGCAATAAAGGCTCATCTTCAAGCATAAACACCAGCAAATGAAGTTAACATGTTATTGAATGCTGTAGGTGCAGGCATCGTTTAAGATTAAAATGATCATGATCATGCTTTTGAATTGGATACAACAACTAACAACAGAGTAATGCTTTGTTTAATTTTCAGATAGTTGAGGACTTAGAGAAGGAAGTCTTGTATCACTAGAATTAAATAGCTTCTAACACATAATTGAGAGACGACACAATTGAAGCTCTTGCCGTTTCAGAAGATGACATCAGAGTTACAATTCAAGATATTGCAAATAATGAAGCTACTTATGCTAGAGAAGAGGCTACAAGAAATCAATAACATGAAACCTTCGTTGCTAAAGTTGCTGCCATTGATGATGTGATTGATGCCATTGATGATGCTGCAAAACTTATTTAACATTTAAGTTTAGGTGCCTCATTTGCTTAAATCAAGACCAAATTTGACACACTCCACAAAAAACTCTCTGATAACACATCACATTCTGCTCTTTTATAAGTATTATTTAATTATAATATTTTAGCCAGTCATTGCAGCTTTGACAGAACTTGCTACTCATGGAGTTAACTAAAAGGCTTTGACCAAAATTGCCCAACTTTTGAGCGAAATCAGATAACAATTAGTTTAAGAAAAGGCTACCAAGACAGTAATTTTAATTTCTATAAATTATTTTAGGATGTTGAAGAAAGATAAGCTGCTCATTGGGCTGAATTCTCTGCTCATTTGGCAAACGAACATACCAGATTAGTTGAAAGAAAGGCTTAGTTGGAAGTTCAAATCTAAGAACAAAAGGATACTATTGAAGATGCTGTTTCATGGATTGAATTCCATACATTGGAATTGGAAAATAGCGAGGAAAGACTTGCTGGATAATAAGCATGGTTTGCTGTCTAATCATAAATATATGAAACTTAAACAGCTGAAAGGTATACTTATTTTTAATCTTGTAGAACTGCTTAATAAGATATTGTTGATAGACTCTAAGAACACATTAGTGAAAAATTATCAACAACTGCATAATTTATTGCCAGCAGAAACTGATTTCATTATCCAATATTAATATTCAATAAAATATTTCCCAAAATTATTATTTTATATTCCATTTTGTTATTTCATTTTGCCTTCCCTAAAATTCATAGTATTAAATGATATACATAATCACTGCCAAATTTAATAATAATATTTTCCATATATCATTCATTAATTTATGGCTTTTTAATTTAAACTGTTTGAGAAATAGGTCATTTTTATGCTGTCACACCTTTTAACATTAGAATACAAAATGCCGTAACTGTTTTAATCGCTCATAATAATTTATACGATCACCTAATCCATTTCTTATTCATTTTACTACTAATATACTTAAGATGAAGAATTAAAACATAGCCTCACTAAAATTACCCTACTAACAAGACTCTATTTATATATTGATAATCCAAATATTAAATCAGCACTGTTTTGGCTACTTGCAGTCGTTCAAAATTTAATATTTCTAATGGCTGGCTTTGTTGCTTACAAAAATCAATATTAATTGGGCACGTTATCATTTTGGACTCGAAATATAGCTGTACTCTTCTCCTTTTATATCTATTATTTCTCAACAGCATTTTTTCCTCTAATATTTGAAATTTGCCTTATTAATTCATCGGATTTAGCACAATTTTTAGTTTCAATCGTCATAATGCTCTAAGCACTCATAATTATGATATTGGGAGAGCTTGTTTTTAGAAGAGGCCTAATATTTAAATCAACATCTCATTTATATATAAATATGACAACATACTCATTCGTAATCAAAATTCTGAAATTAATTTAAATCATAATTTTTTTTTACTTAAAATCACAATTTCTCTCACAAATGATTTAATGTGTAATAAACATCATAATATAATTGTGTCTTATTGCAGAATAGATTAGAGTCAAAGTTTATGCAAAGAAGATCTACTCGATCACAACTATTACCTTTGGTTCTATTGGATTGGTCCTTTCCTTTGATGTTCTTCTGACTTAATCAACCAACAATAACAATTATTGGATATTGATTTGCATAATTGTGATTAAAATATTACTATATCTTGATGAATTTAAGTTTGACAAAATATCAAATTATGGAATCCATGAATTAAAATACCTCTTTTCCTATTTGGATTTAAGCAATCATGAAAAAACTGTTACTAAACTATAAATTTACATGCTTTTCAAGAGTCATTCTCAAAGTTGTGATAAAAAGTAAACATGTCATTGTACAAAAGAACCTAAGGATTATTATACATCTTTAATAAGGATTATTGAAGGTAGAATTGAGGAGAAACTCCATGGTAAAATTGAAATATCTAGGGATTTAATTTGTACTGATTATGCTTAGATTTTATTCAGAAATTAATAATATGTACAAGCTTAATAACATATAACTAGATTTTTGGCCAAAGAATCCTTTAATTATGAAAAAAACTAAAATCCATTATCAACAATTACAATATTTTTATTAGAATATATAAAAGCTGAAGTGTTAAATTAGGTATTAATTTAAATGACGGAAAAAATAGTGTTATCCAATTAACATAACAAGTTGTTAAATGAATCCTTAAACTCGTTTGTTTTAAATGAAAATTCGGATTCGTAAATAATGGTGAATTTAAAAAAAATAATTCAAAATAAAATTTAATTTTATTCTAATTTTGTTGAACACCAAAATAATTATTTCGGAAATGTTAATTATGCATTGCAATTTATTAATTAAATTAAATAATTTAAAGAGGTTTTATTAGATCGATATAATCAGTTTCCAAGTATATATGTAATATAAAATTAGCTAGCAGTAATCAAAACATATTGAAGTACTTCTCCTTGAATATTCTAAATGATTATATTGATTCCTTCAATATCAACAAGGGCAAAGCTTTTGAGGATGATAAATTCAACCAAATATCAGGTTAGATGTATCATAAAATATTTGGAATAAATCCTGCCTATTTTATTACTGAACTCAATTCTGAATTTGATGTGATAATAACTAAGAAATCTTCAAGAGCAATATACTTATTGTAATAATGGAAAGCTATATAATCAGAATAAAAATATCATTTAAACACTGAGTTAAATGTCTTCTTACCTGAATATGTCTCATAAAAACATGGTAGTTTAATAGAAAGATTTTTAAATGACGGACAAAATAAATATTATCAGCAACAAAATCTATCATTTTTAAAACAATAAGATAAGGTAATGATGCCAATTCAAATTATGATAAGCATGAATTAAACAAATTATGACAAGTTCTCCTTTCTGACATTTTTTTATGAATCCTAAGACTATCGATCATATTTAGTCGTAGATAAGCATCTTGAGATTTTGAATATAAGTTCTAACATATCAGAAAGCTTGTCTATGAATGAATCAAAGGGTCATCAAAGCTGTATAACTAAAATAATCCCTAATTTTCAACAACTAGTAGCCACACATTAACATTAATTTTACAATTAAGAAATTAAGTTACTTAAGGAACATAATCATCAAAAGGTCCCATGTTCATTTAATAGTAATATTAAAATAGAGAGAAAATTTCAGAATCAATACAAATGTTATTTTGTTGAATTAGATAACATCCGAGCGATATCAAAGAAGGTTCAAGGGGACAATTCACCAGTATATTTGTCATCATTGACTTAATTCCCTGGGTCAACTTATAGGATTCTCAATGTAAACAGTGAAATAAATAATTCAGAAGAGAAGAGGGTCCCTTATTCTGATGTTGAAAATCATCTTATTCCTGAGAATTCACTTTGTTTAATATAATAAGACAACCATCGATAAACAATAAATTAAACTGATACAAATATGGCTTGCACTTTGCAAATGATGGAATTTGGTAAGAGTCAAAATATGGTTGAACCATTATCATAAAAACGATTGTTGCCCAGTTCAAAGTATTCTCATGACGATGATGTGAAGAAATAGGTCAATAAAATAGCCGAGGATGATGAATTTATTGAAATTGGATCTACATCATCAGTTTCTGCAATTAGAAGATCGAAATACTATAAAAAGTTTGAGATCATAACAATTTTAATGAGGTCAAAGAAGTAATCTGAGAAAATAATAAAAATGAATAAATTCATATTTTTGTACTCCATTGTGATATTACTGGGAATGATAATAGTAAGCTATAATTTAAATATTAATAGTAAATATTGATGATTCAAAATTTAGAACAATTTGTTGAGGATATCAAATCATTATCAATAAGGTATGATGTAGTAGAACCCTATGAATCTTTTTATGTTTCAAGATTCTCTTAGGTTAATTACAGAGAGTAATTAAGTGGAGGTTATCTAAATGCTAGTTTGTATGCTTAATTGACAAAATATCCATTCTCCACATTCGAGTTAATGTATAACCATCTGAGAGATAGTATGTACAGAGTGTTAGAAAGAAGGGAGATTGATTAATTATCTGATAATGAGTTTATCTCAATCTACTTTCTGAATACCTCTTATGTGGGTTACAGCAAGAATGTGACACTAAGATCATTAGCTAATATTTTGATGAATTATTAATATGACTTTAAGCTTGGATTAACAATTCGTAGTGTTGCATTTGATAGTCCATTTTTTTATTTTACAAGCAAGAACTATTTAACAATTAAACACACATTTGATGGTCTGAATAAGGTGGTTTTGGATGCTACATTGTAGAGATCTAATCTGGAAAGAGAAAAATGGTTATCAGTATTATTACCATTTATAATAATCAGTTTGTTATTGTGCCTAATAATAATAAATAGTTACAGAGAGTATAATTAAATAATGAATTCAATATTTTAATATCTGATGGATTTGGATCAGTAGATATTGGATGATGAGAAAAAGAGACTTCAAAAACATTTGACTATAATTAATACTGAGATAGAGAGAGTGAGGAGGTTTGAGTTTGACATTGATGCTATCGATGTCGAATTGGATGAATCTAACTATTAAGTAAAAAGAAACAATTCAAAAAGAGACTCAAAGAAATTCAGAATAACTAACAATAATTTAAGGACAACAACTACAATAGCAATAGTACATTATTTGTTGTTCTTGGCTTTCTTTCTAGTTATATTTTTCCTGATCAAGAGGTATTTTGAGAAATATGATTAAACTGCTGTCATTTTTCAGAGGATTAGTGATCTTGGAGTTGATATTCCAACTCTGTATGCACAAAGAGAAGTATTATATAGGAGGAAACTAAGATACTTTTTCTTAACAGATCAAGAAATAGATGGAGTATATGATGTATTTTTTTAGGCCTATAAAAAAGTGGAAGAGTATTCTAAATTAAACATAGATTTAAGTTCCATAAATTATTTGTTTGATGAAAATTCAGTCAACTTTTATTAAAGCATTAGCACAGGGAATTTGTGTGATTTTCAAACGGATTAATTTAAAGAGTTGTCGAATTCTACTTGTGAATTGGCAATGAACGGTAACTTACTTTAGGGGATGTCTCAAATTTTACCTTACATTTTGTAGACTCTGAAAACTTAATAGTTGGATAGCAAAAACTTTACTATTCTACCTACAAACACAAGACTTGAATTAGAAGGTGCTACCATTATTGGTAATGTTATGTCAACTATAATATCTGAACTCTATGATAACTTACTAATTTCATGTTTAAAGCTAATGAATTTCACTCAGACTCCTTGCATCATTTTTCTATTGTTCCAAGGCATTTGTATTGTACTTTACATCGTGATTATGAATCAGAAGCACAAATCACAATTTTAGTCGATAAAGCAATCCATATTTCTATTCCCTAGATATACATTAATATTTGATGACTAGTTTTATAGGAACTTCAGATCTATTATAAAAGATGAGGGAATTTAATAGTGAATTATATTTTATATTATTTATAATAAAATTTACTTGTGATGTAATTTAACTAAAAATTAATTTTATGTTTAAACAGGTTACCTTCTTTGCTTATCTAATACACTTGTGTTTGGGAGATGAATTACTATCAGTGCATATCATGTGGAGACACGGGGCTAGAAAACCTTATTTCTGCAATTGGGGTTGTGATGAGAAAACCAAATCCTCTTTGTCTGAATTGACTCCGGTAGGAATGAGATAACATTATGTCTTAGGATAATGGCTGAAAAAGAAGTATATAGAAACAGGATTTCTGGATCCTATTTTTAATGAAAATTAAATCTATATAGAGAGTAGTAATACAAATAGGTAATGCTCTTTGTATAACTATAAGAACAATTATGAGTGCTTACAGCAATCTATAAGGAATGTTCCCTAAAGGTCCTATAGTACCAAAAGTATCAAATGATCTACTATTACCACCTATGACTGATGTTAAAACCCCAGAGGGAATTTAGGATTTTGCATTACCCAATTAGATTCAGGTTATTCCAATCCATAGTTTGCAAGAAGAATTAGACTATGTAATGTACATGTACTGTCCTGCCTTATGGGATGGTGGAGCACATAATTTACATACTGATGTTTACTATGATATTAACAATCGTTCCTAGGAGTTGATTAAAAGATTTAACAAAGAACTCAATCAAAATTTAACAAACATAGTGGAACTATATGAGTGGAGAGACACCTTTATCAGCAATGAATATAATGCAGGAGAGAATCCACGTGAATTAACTCCAGATTTGATGGCAGAATTAGATAAAATAGCAGGACTTGGATTCCTTTTATATTATACTTAAGACTATTACCAAGCAGCTCTTCTTACAAGTGAATTTTTTAGAACTCTTCTTGATGGCTTTGATGGAGTTCTAAATCGAACATCAAAAATAAAGTATCATGCTTATTCTGCCCATGACTCTAGTATATATGCCTTATTGTATGCATTGAATTTAACAAATGTTGAATGCTACAATCAAAGTTATTTCGGAAAAGTTGAATCTCATACTACTTGCATTACTACTTATCCTGATTATACCGCCAACATTATTTATGAGTTATACAATAGTTCCACTCTTGGACCTTATGTTAAAATCATGTATAATGGTACATACGTGAGTGTTTGTCAAGATCAATCATTAACCTGTTCGTACTCTCATTTCAAAAGTGTTATCAAAGGGATTAGGAGGGATTACAAAAAGGAATGTAAAATTGAAGAAGTATCGATCCCTGTAGACTATTAAACTCCATGGTGGGCTGTTACATTTTTTGTTTTAGTGTTGGGTTTGTGCGTTTGTTCTTTTTCAATGGTTGTAATCATACATCAAAAAAAATAGAGATATGTGAGATAAAATAATAGATATGGAGTGTGATTGATTTTTATAATAATGATCATTATTTTGTTTAAAGTAATTTAGAAAATGCATCCATGCTATAAGATGACATTTTCTCTTTTTCAGCTTCCAAGTCCAATAGTTTCTTTTCTAGTTCATCCATCAACTCAATCGTGTCTCTTTTTGGTAATTTGCATCGGTTCATTTGATTTCTTGTAATCAATACATGTTCTTTGATAGTGTTTTTTTATCCGATATTTTTATTTGAACCGCTTTGCAATTACATTTCCAAATATTCTATTCTTTCTAAGGCCTCTTCGTATTTCTTCTGAAAATCATCCGAATCACACTTATCTTTTGTTCTTTACAACTAAGCTTAAATATTATCTAACAATTTAATCATTAAATATACAGATTACTTGTTATGCTTTAAACATTTATTATTATGCTGTCCAAATTGTTAGATTTAGGCCATTACAACAGGAAGTCCCATTGCTCATAATTCTGTACCACCAATGATTTTTTTGGCACTCTCAATCCCAATTTATTAATTTACAGTTCCTCATACATCACCTAATCCAAAGTATGTTAGGCATCTTCCAACAGATAGGACAGCTAGTCAATAGTCAATTACTTTAATTGGTTTCTACTCTGATCCTCATATTAACTCACTGGAACCAATTAAAATTATTAGATTGCTTCGTTCAACGGATATTTCTGAATTAACAATTCCAAACTTTATTAATTCTTATATGATTTCTCAAGAATAGAATCGCATATCTCGACTGAAATAATCTATGTTATTAATACATATTTCATCTATTAGTTGCTTTTTGGTAGCCATTAAAATTTATGTATATATATATATTTATAAATATATTAATCTTAACACTTATGTTTAAGATTTATATGAAGACAGATCACTGCTGATATGTCTATTACACATCTAAGTCTTATTAGATCTACTGACTGTTATTTCTTTCAATATCTGATTGATTACTATATTGTTGTTGTAATTCTTATTCTGGATCATTCAGATTCAATATCACTTAAGATTTCTGTTACTACATATCTTGTTAATTAAGTAATCGCTCTAACTCTTGTATTTTTTATTAATATCTCTAGTTCTCTTCTAGTAATGCTGTATAAGGGACATTTTGACTTTCAGCTTCTTTTTCCTCTGATTTAGGGTCCTGCTTTTTTTGTAAGTCTTCCTTGCCTTTATTCTTGTTCTCCCCTGTCTACAAAGTCTTCATTAATGTTTCAACAACCTTGTGTATTTCTTACACTGCATTTTTAAATTCCATATCGATTTTATTATTTTAAGTTTTGGTTGATTATTCTGATGTTGGTTTCTACTATTAATTTTAAGCAGGTGTTATAGTTTCACTAATCACTTTTATGATTTATTTAGAAAATTATTCAATAGTCCCTTGTTGAGATTATGGCAATTATTTCTGTCCTTAAAATTAGGATTATCCTGGAATTTTTTATTAGGGTTAGAAATTTGATTATAGAACATGTGCTTTTTGGATTTGTGGTTGTTAGGAAGGGAGAGAAAAATCTTGGTATTTATTAAAAGAATCCAAGGCCTCAAAGACAGTTAAACGCTGATTTGGGTTTGGTTCCAACATCTTCTTTAAAGCCGCTTAACATTCTTGAGGGATATTAATTTAATCAATTCTTTAATAGTATGAGTCTTTTTTGTGTTTAAATTGCAAGATTTCCTATCTTATTTCATTTTCAACTTGAGCTAACATCTAATAAAGGATTGATACATTAAATAAATGTTTCACCAGTAAATATCTCATAAAACACACATCCCAAAGCCCAAATATCTACTTTCTCATTGTAATCGTTCCTTTATTCAATAAGTTCTGGAGCTGAGTAAAAGAGAGTTCCAATTCCCTTAGTTCGATTCAAATCTTAAGTAAGCCCTTTTGTTAGCCCAAAATCGATTAATTTAAATCGATCTTTAACTTTTATGAAGTTCTCTGGTTTGATGTCTCTATGAAATAATTTTTTGGAATGGAGAAAATAAATTGGTCTGAAAAGCTACAAAAATGAAGTATATTTACATCAAGACAAATTCTGAATTTCTCATTAATTGGTATATTCTTCTTGGTATTTATATAATCAAATAGATTTTATCCCCCAAGCTCCATAATCAATACCTGATAGTTTTGATACTAAAATTTCTCGTAAATAGTTATTATCCCTGAAGTTTTAATGGGATCATGATCAAATTAATTTTAATATTCCATCACTGTCTTAATAAAAGCAATTTCTGCATCTTTCATGTTCAACTAAAGTTTCAAGGCAACATCTGTATTATATTAGCAATTCCTTGGTTTAGCTGCGTAAACAGCTCCTTCCCCTCCTATTCCCAGAAGCTTGGACATCATAAATTCTCTCTTTTAATACGATGTAGTTGGATGGGAGATAACTGAGTTCACTAAATATAAATGGTCTGAATTCTATTAAGCCATCCTCTAAATCAATTATATAATTTTTTTATTAAATTGTTAATTATCATGCATGATTTAATCTTACCAATAGTCACAATATTCTTAAGTGTATTGTCAATTATAAGTTGTGGATTTGTAATATATATTTATGGAACCTTTAGAGAATTAAGAAATGATCAATTTACTATTATATTATAGATTATTGTGTTCAATCTGATATTTGACCTTATACTATTTGGCGATTCATTTGGATATTTATTTTTGAGAAACTCTACTTTTCAGATGAGTGATAAACCTGTTTTGTGTTAGTCTTAGTCCTTTTTCTCTGTTTATAGTGTTTTGTCAAGCGCTCTTTGGACTTCAATTCTAATTCATAGTTTGTATCATTCCATAAAAGAGAGAGAAGCAAATCAGTATATGCAGTCATATTATCCAGGATTAGGCTATGGAATACCATTATTAATATCTATAATGTATGTATTGTTTGTGAAAAAGACCAATAATAATTGATGCATATGGTTAATACAATCCAATGCCTCAAACAAATTGTTTCTTTGATGTCAACAACGTTAATGTGGAACTCTATACAATGATATTCTATAATATCCCTATTTGGATTATGTTTTTATATAACCTTATTGTTATAATACTGGCAATTAGAATTAATAAAAATTTCACTTAATCCTTGTATTCCATATACATCTATTAAGGAATTTTGGCTGTCTGTTGGATAATTGTAAATTGTATTTCATATCTTTTAGCCTAGTATTGTGAACCTGTTTGGTTTTACATCGCTTGTATGGAAAACAATTGATTTTGGTTTGGGTGGTTTGATTGGCTTTTTGAATTCCTTTTGGTATAGTTACACATCATTGGCAGATAGATTGTCTTTCGAAAATGGATAATTGGTATAACGCATTAAGGAAACTACTGCTGAATAAGAATTAGCTAAAATTTGATGTTTGATATTTGAAATGAAAATTATATAAGATAATCCTATGTAAACTATAAATTTCTAGATCATTTATCACATTTGTGATCAAAGCTATTTGATTTATAATTAATAGTAGGAATTCCTATTATTATTAAATACTTAATTGTGATTATTGTTAAATGTAGATATTGACTTGATGGAATATGTCTATATAATTTCTGATACGCAGAATTTGATATGGCTTTAATTAATTAAATCAGAATGTCTATTTATATACTATGATTGATAATTACAGATATTATTAATATATAAAATAAATATGTAATAAGTGACTCCTGCATATGTGAAATCGTTGACAGGGCCTACTGCTAAGTAGATTGATATTTCAATTTAGTTTTCTGTGTCCAGTAAATGCAAATATTTACAACATCCAATTTTTGAAATTTAGAATTCGAGATATGGATTCAGGTCAAGTGTTGTTTGAGGTGGAGAGAGATCCAGATGAATAGCCAATAGGTAAGAAGTTGTTAAAACGCAAGAATAATTACCCGTTGAGTATTAAGATGAGGCCAGAAGGATTAAATATCAATTTGGACCCTAGTTTTTTGAATTGAAAACAGTAGGTGCTTAACTCACGTTCTCAGTTGGAAAGGATCCAGTGAAAAACTTCACGATTATTGAAAGACACTATTTCAGAGATCACTTATTGAGATGCTACGAATTCTAATTCCCATTCTGTATTCCCAATTCAACTAACACATGGGAACACATTTACACAATCCCAGAAATCGATGAAGCTATGGTATAATGTAATACTTATTGAAAGCGTCAAGAAATGATAGACAATCCATTCGAAACGAAATCTGATAGTTTCTACTTCGTCGGAGATTAATTAGTGATGCATAATAAAGCAGAATATGATTACTCTGAATGAAATAATTATATTGACATTTATGTGTAATATGAGTCATTCATTCTTTGCTTTGCCCTTCTTCTTCCCTTATTTTTGATCTTTCTAAGTATTCTCATTGCTCTTTTCCTTTTCTTTCGTCTACTCAACCTTCTATGTTGTTTAAGCCTCACTTTTCTGTTCCTCCACTTTTGAATCCTTCTTCTCTTACTTTGTTTATGGCCAATTATTAAAGGCAATAACACTGAATATTCCTGCTTAGTATCCAAATCTAATTCTACATCTAAACCATACCTTTCAAGTCTCTCCGATTATGTTTACCCAACTCCATCAAAAAATAAGCTTCCTATTGTTGATACTAAAAATAGTGCATAGACATTTAAACAAACGAATTTCAATTACTCTTACTTTAGGATAAATGCAGCCAACAAAATTAGATGATATAAACCACATATTCTTAATCCCTAAATAACAATTATTATCATTTATTACTAATTCAGTCTAGAGTAATCCTGATAAATAGACGTTGATTATTGATTATTCTTATTCAGAATCCCCCTTTTTAATGAAAGAAGATGGAGTGACTATCAATAATACTGCCATTGTTGATATATACGCTAGATATCCAATATTATTTAGCATTAATTAATTATTTAATATAATTTATAACAACATGGTTCTTATCTAAACCTACCATGTTAAATCAAAAGGAGCTCACCATTCATTTTCTGTCAATTAATTAGAATTTTTAGAAATTGTACTTCTATTGTTGTCTATCTCACAATCTGAATAGTCGTTAACATCTTCTACTTAAAATAATTCATTTTGATCTGTTTCAATCTCTGTAGTCATATCTAGCGATGTGTTATACATCCTCGCTGTGAACAATAGCTCTCCCAATTTCACTTTGTCATTATTTTTATCCTTAAAATATAGCTTAATCCATTCATTTTCATATTTGTCCGTTTCAGTTTCTATGAATAGTGGATTAAGAAATACTGTATAATCCAAGGTTTTATCCTTTAATAGCACGCCAAAAATTTAATCAAGAGCCTCCTTTAACCGTTACTCTATTTATACAGTATCCCAACTCTCTGCATCAATTTACCTTCCACAAACACATTTTGGATTGCTATCTGATTTAAATAGAATTTTGTGCTGTAAATCTTGCTGGTAATCGCCAGTTAGACATAAATTGCTTTAAATCTCAATAGGGTTTCTGTAAATTAATTGAAAACAATTTTAACCTTTTATACCGTACTTTATTTCTTGTTAATCTATTAAATTTTTATCCATTTTTTCTCTCATACTTAAGTTTTAACTTACCCTCTTATCTATTAATTGACCATTCTGTATGGTGATATCAGATTAGTAAATTTCAAAAGGATTTATTTCTAACTCTCGTAGTGTCTTTGCATTTAATGCTTCAATAATTTTGTTGGATTATTTTTGAATTTTGGAAAGTGAAGGATACAATAATAATTCTTTATTATTTTCAATTTTACAAACCTAGAAAGAATGTATTTTAGGAAATAGTATTAATTCTACAGATACCTAATTTTGATATTTTTAATTTATTAATTCTCTCAACCTCCACAATAGTAGAATTATAAAACATTCATCAGCATCAATATGGCTTTTATCTTCATAATCTGATTCTGAATAATTAACTGTACTTTAGTAAGTCTGCAAATCGCAAAATAGTGGGTTAAGTATCAATATATCTTTATTTAAGGTTTTGAAGGGCATAATTATCTTCTCTTTTGTTACTTGGTCAATTTTGAACTCTAATTTAAAGCAATTCGGAATTATTATGTTCGTCTCTCTTTATACCTTTTATATTTGCCGTTCACATAGAATCGGGAGAGCAATATGTAAAATTTTAATGATTTCCATAATTGCCTCATTATCATTTAAATATCCATTAATTAAGTAGATGTAAGCGCTATTCCTATCTTTATTGCTAATTACCTACTCATTGATTTTAATTTCAAATGAGTAAGTTCCCTTTAAATGAGGCAGAATGTTATTGACTGCTAATAGATTTTAATTTTTTATAATTTAATTCATAGATTAATTTTCAAAGTATTTAATTCTTATTGTTGGTTGCTTTTTAGTTGAAATTCATAGTATTTGTTTGCATTACAAAAGGGGGAGGCATTATCTACGAATTTACATACGGTTTGAATAGATTTGGGTTTTGTATTAATGATTATATATCTATTTTTAGTTTGAATTATTACTTTAAGTTATTTAAAGCGCGCCTTATAGTTGTTGAGGAAGTACTTTATCTTGCTATTAATTAAACTCAACAGTATTTTTAGCAAATTCCGACTATTACTTCAATTGATTTGAATCTTGGTTTTAAATTTCTAATTTTATTTTTTGATAATTATATACACTCTTCTTTTTCTGTGTAATTAACTATTCTATATCTTAAATCTAAGAATTAACCAATGTATTATTATTTTAGAGTAGTTATTAAATGCTTTTGAAGCTCTCTAATGATTTTTCTAGGTTTGAAATCTCATTATCTAAGTCTCCGATTAATTTATCCAAAAACAATATTTCTTTGCTAATATCTACTACTTTACTTTTTGCATTTTCCTCCTCTTTAATTTAATTATGCTTTTTTAATATTGTGCTGTTTTCTTATTCCAAAACCTAAATTCGTATTTTTAGATTTTTAATCTCGTTTTCATAAATCTATTTTTATTAATTAAATTACGAGGCTTGCTAATTAGATATTTAGGATGCTTGATAATTTAAATGATTTTAACATTGTTAAGCATACTATTAATATTATTATTAAAATGATTCTTCATTTTTTTTCTTTTCTTATTCCAATTTATTCTTTTCGAACTCGAATTTATTAACTTTTATTGTTAATTATTCAATATCTTCTAAATGTTATTTAACCTCATTTTCTTTCTTCTTTAGATTATGTTCTAATTATTAAATTATTTATTCCTTTTCTCTAAGAATCTTATTGAATTCATTTTATTTCTAATTCAATTATAATTCAAATTCAATCTTGCTTATATCTGAATCAAGATTTAATTGCTGCTTACTCGCCTTCAATTCTATTGAACCACCAGAATTCTCCTCTTTAACTATGCACAATTGTACTATTTTTATAGCTTATGCTATTTTTATCCTATTAAATTAATTGGGATGCAACATTTATTTAAGTAAATCCCTCCATTCTTAACATACTTTCAGCCTATCTATCAGTTAATAAACATGGTTTTAATTTGTTTTATGATTTTTGATTTATTAGATTGATAAATTCATATTTATACATGGGAATAGTTCTTCCCCCTTAATAATTTCATAAAATACACATCCAAGTGACCATATATCTAATGATTATGTATATTGACCTTGATCTTCAAACAATTCAGGAGCTTAAAATATACGAGTACCTGGTTTCGAAGTCATCAACCTTTCATTTATACTGATTAATCCAAAGTCTATGAGTTTGAATTCTTCATTTACTAAAATAAAGTTTTCTCCCTTTACATCTCTATGTATCAATCCCAACATATGGATGAAGTTAATTGCATTTATTAGCTAAAATCACTACATTAAATACTTATAAGCATATTTTAAATTTCTCAACATTAGTCATCCTATTGTGATTAAATGATGTATATTTAAAAAGATTAACACTCCCTACTTCCATCACCTAAACACTATAATATTAGATTTCGAAAATTTCGTATATTCTAATAATGTTAGAACATAATTTGTTTTTAGATCCCTATTTATCGTTTTCATTCTAAGCTTCTATCAAATTTTGGATGAACTCTCGTTCTGTTTCTTTAAGTGGTTTCGAGAATTTTAAAGCAACTTCAAAATCCTTATTCCAATTTTACGGTTTAGCTAAAAATACTTATCCTTCTGCTCCTTTTCCCAATTAATGCTTTAATTAAAAGCTTCTATTTTTAAATTATTGTGTTGGAGCATCTATTACAACCCCTGACTACAAATTCATCAAATCCATCATTTTTCTAATAGAATTAAGTAAATTGATATTAATTATAATAATTTATATATTAGAGATGGTTAGACTACTATTCATTCAAAAGCTAAGTTTACATCTTCTTTAATTATTGTAATATATCAAAATGATCTTAACTTATGCTAAATATCTATATTATATTTTATAATATGGTTGAGATTAAATGATAGTTAAACATTAGAGTCATTTGAACATGATTAAGTTGTTATTAAGTCATATTTTCTATTAAAATTCTTTTAAATATTTTATATTAACAATGTAATTAAACGATTATAAAATCAACCGTAAACTTTTAAAGTTTACTAACAATATAAATTTCATTGGAAAAAACAAATACCTTTCAAGAGAATCAAGTGCTAATAAGATGGAGTAATCATTATATAAGTCTCTTTCATCGAGTTAATTATTAAGCAAATCCCATAGAGACAACAATCATGCGAAAAGTAAAATACAAGAAATATCTACAATTGGCAGTATTTACAGCAAGGATTCAGCATATTTTAACAGTTTATCAAATGAACAATTAAATATTCCTCCTATCCGATCCTTAAACAAAGATGATGGTGATAAATTAATTGCAAATCTTAACAAACAAATAAAGCAACAAAATCTTTAAATATCTAAATTAAAATAGCAAATCATTACTTAATCTTCAGATCTTGATAATATGTCTAAATTAAATGAATAATTTTTAGAAAAGCAATAATCTTATGAAGAAATTACATAAAGTTATCATTCCTCTAATTAAAAAAGTATTAAAACTTACTAAATTTAGTATTATAACTGGCGTAAATTAGAGAGATATAGCCTTGCACTAATAATTATTTAGAGATCTTAACACAAATATATACAGATGATTATTAACTCTAAGTTGCAACATAATGGAGAAATCAAAAATTAAAGCTCCATTTTCTTAGAAAATGGTTAACAGCTACAAAGGCTTTAAAATAAATTGACATCTTAGCTAAAAAATTAGAAAAAAATAAGTTGTATTAATATTATTATCATTGGAAACGATTTTTAATATTGAAATCAAGTCTTTTTGAATTTAATTAGGTTAAAGAATTAAGGGCTAAGATTTTGCATTGGAAAAAATGGAAAAACTATATAGTAACAAAAAAGCAGTACAATAAAAATTGTATTTAAGCAATTTAGTTCTATTCTTAAAAAATGCTATTTAAATATTTCCAAAGACTAAAATAACTTTATTTACAAAATAATTATTAATTAACAGTTTTCTAAAATTTATAATAAACAGCTGGATAACAATTAGGTCTATTGAGATAATTTTAAGTATTAAGTTAAACAATATATTTAGTGCTTTAGTAAGTGGAAATCGCAAATATTAAATAGGAAATTAATTTAAAATAAATTAACAGTGTATTAAAAATAAAAATAAGTGATTTCAAGACAAAAAGTTTTTAGATTTCTTTAAATAAATTTGAAATATTATTAACAAAGGAATTAAATCATTATACAAGATAGAAATAAAAATAAATTACAAAAAATATTTGTCTAAATTAAAGAATATTGTCATGGTATCAGATTCAAATAAGATTAAATTAAATTAAATATTCCTTACTTTATGAAATATCATTTTTGGAAACGATGGTCTCATTAATTTAATACTCAAGTATAATTAATGATGACAGGGGAGAAGATTAAAGAGAAGAGATATTTCAAATTGATCTAAAAATGTATTATATCCATATTTATTTCAGTATTCAATGTATTAAAAAGAAAAGCAGCTTACAAAAAATTCTAAAAATAGAATTCTGATTTAATTATTTCATAATACAATAGAAGGATTATCAATTAATCTTTAAAGATTTGGCTGAGTAAATTGTTAAAATAAAAAATTCTCCTTGATTAAGAATAAAGTTGCTGCATTTCTTAATTGATAGTCATAGATCAATAGCAATCAGTTGAGGTTATTGAACTAAGTCAAAATTATCAAAATAAACTAGAATAGCTAAAATTATACGAAGAAGAAGTCAATAACTATTAAATGATACAAGCAAATTAAAATTAAATTTAAAAGGAATTACAAATGCAATAGTATATATTTATCTTATATTTGTGATCAAATGCAATAAGAGTTGATATCATATAAATAATTGTTAAACAATTATCCAATTGATTAGGATGAGTTGCAAATATTGAAAGAACAGAATAAATTAATTCAAGAATAAATACAACAATACAAATAATAAAATTGTTGTAAAATATAATGTTATTTATAGATCCTATTGAAATTTGTAACTAAGAATAAGAAAAATTGAAATTATAATTAGAGAACAATAACTCTATTTTTAATGATCAACAAGAGAAATAAATTGCCTTATAAAAAGAATATTCTTAAATAGTAATTGACTATGAGAGGAGAATTCGAAATTTAGAAAACCATTACTTAGAATAGAGTAAATAATAGAGAATATAAATATAAAATAGTAGACTAATTATTTTTTATATGAATTATAGTTTTGAAAGGGAATCCTGATTTTGAGATCTAATTAAGCAGACGTTAGAGTTCATAACCCGAATAAATATCAGAAAGCAAACTATCAAATATCAATAGATAAAATTTTAATACTCAAAATTCTCCCAATAAAGATATTTTAAATTAATAGTATTAATAGATTTAAATATAGAATAATTTAAGATGATACTACAATTAATTTGAGGGAGGATATTAAAAAAAGATTAGCTTATTTAAAATAATAGATGGATTAACACAACTGATAATACTTACTTAAAAAAGGATATACATAATTATATCTATATATCATTCTTCAAATAGTTCTGGATGCTATTCTCTAACTTTTCTTGTAATTTCCTAATCTAATTCTTCAATTGATTAGAGAGGTTATGTTTGCTATTCAATTTGAATTTGAACATTTTCATTTTATTCATCATCTTCATTGATAGTAGGCAAGGAGAAATCTTAAGTGAATTTTTCTATAAATTGTTGGACTTATTAATATTCATTTTCTAGATTTTAAACCCTCTGTTACTATTCATGCAATAGTTCTAATTCGTTTGATAGATCTTGTTCCTTACTCTAATTTAACAATTCATAATTCTATTTAATTGCTACGTCTAACTATTTTTTATATTCAGAGAACTCATTTAAAATTTAATTACACTATATAGTAGTTAATTCTTAGGCACAATTTTTACTATTTTTGGATAGATCATCGAATTGCAACATTTTTTATTTCAAGAATTCACTGGGAGTGTATTATGTTTTCTTTTTGATTTATTCAATTAATTGTTACATCTTAGGTCTCTCCTCTAGGCTATTACCTTTTGAAACCAATTACAAGATTTCTGCATTGACTTCTTGTGTTTTAATTTCAAGGGATTCTATCTATCAGCCTCTTTTCTTAAGATAGGATCTTTTGGTAACATGCAATTCTTATCAAATTCTAGATCAGCATCTTCTACGAACTTAGGATTTAGTTTTTTGATCTTTTTATGTACTTCAATCAACTTTTCTTTGGGAATTAAAAATGGATTTGAATAGTTTTTAATTGAACTTTGTTTAAGATTATCTATATCTTATAATAATGATTCCAATCTTAATTGATATTCATTAGGTAATTTAAATTTGGCTATGTTTTCCAAGGTTTCTTATTGTTTTTCAATTTTCTTTTCAATTTATTCAATATATTATTCCTAATTATCAATTTTCTAAAATTTAATTGGAGATTCTGATTCTGATTGGTTGTTATCCAGTGATTTTAACCTTAAATTATTCTCTGTTACGAAGTAATTCTGTGATAAACATGGATCTCTGTTTAAGTGATAATTATGAGAACTGTGAATCATTATCTAATGGTTTATCCAATAATTGTTAAAATCTTTGAATGTCAATTTTAGTTTTTTATTCCAATTCAATTTTTTCAACTTAATCCAACTCTACTGCTAACATTTGAATTTGATTCTCCAATTCTTATTCTTCATTAAGTTGTTACTTAGTTTGAGTTCTAGATGTCTATCTACTATCAATATAGCCTTCCAATTCTTTTATTTACTTTTATCGAGATTATTCCCTCGATTCTACCAATTGTTCAACTTGATTCATAATATCCTTGTATTCTTTACTTTGTAATTTATATTTGGGTATTTCATTTTTAACCCATAGATCTGAGTCAAATTTAATTTCCTATCTTTTTTTCTTGACATATTTAGAACTAGAATCAGGTAGATCTTATGAAGATTTGGAGATACTAAATGTTTCGGATTTGACACTCTTATTATCAATATCATTAGAGACTTCTTCTGATTTTTGAGTTGAAACGTAACTATGATTTTCTTGTTGTCTTTTCTCTGATTAAGGCCTGGGAATGGAATCGTTGACGGTTCTAATTTTAGATTATTCATAAAATTAATTAAAAGGTTTCTTGGTTGAATTAGCATTAGAGGTGAAACTGTTAGAAGTTTAAGATTGCTTAATTGAAAATGGTTTCGATTGTTATTGTTATTATTATTGTTATTATTACTTTTGGTCTTCAATTTAGGGTGCTGGAACTTTATTAGCTGCATCATCATAGACTTTCTTGGTTTCTGGGTTCTACATTAATTGTTTCATGTAATCAGAAAACATTTTCTGAGGTTTTGGTGGTTATTTGGCTGATTGGACAGTTTACATTTGACTATTAACTTAAGTCAAAGATTGGGTTTGTATTTGAGGTAGTTAATTTGAGACTGTAAAACTGAGTGTTTACATGGGGATTGCCTTTCCTTTTTTTTAATTCATTAATATTAATATATTTAATAATAAATCATCATTCTAATTTTAAGGGCATTTTGACTGACTTTCTTCCAGCACTCATTTACAAAAATGACTCCCCCAATTTGGATCTCTTTATTTTATTACACAAATTAAAAGCATATAAGTTATATCCCGTGAATGCAGCTGGGAAAAACATACATATTGAAACACTTATTTGTAATTATGATGCATTGATTATAAACATCCCAACGAACATCAAAAACATAAATAACTACACAAACCAAAATATTCTACTATGAATCCTTTGTACTTCTCCTTTCTCTTAAGTTGAAGTTTCAAAAACCCAACTCTCATTTCCGAAATCGTTTATTTCAACCCACCAACGTAGTCCAACTAATTTTCCTAATTTATCTATTTACATACCTTCCACTAATGTTTTTGATTATCCAAAAATCTACTGCTCCCAATATAACTATGGTTTCGTATAGCTTCATTGTTTGGTAGTAAGGAGTTAAGAAATAGAGAATGAGAATGATGAATTTTATGATGAAGCACAACACACATTAGACTGGATTTGGAGATTCAGAAATATCCATATTTGCACTTTTGAAAAGTTCATAATTTGCAAATGCCAAAGGATTCAAATTCACACTCAATCTCAGCCAATTCTACTCCTTCTCATTCCAATATTGTCTAGTATTATCAATACCACCTCCAATCCCATTAGGTTATTGATTGATTATAGATTCAGCTATACGAGGACCTTGGAATGCTCCAAGTTGAGGTGGTCTAATCAAATTTAAAGGAGGCTATTCATCTCTAATTTAATTGATCATAACTGTTAATTAATAATATTATATGTATTTTTATAAGGAAAATATGAGTAATCTAATTTGGGTTTCTTAAATTATCTGAGTTTCAAGGGTTAGCATTCAACGATTCGTTTAAATTTCCATATATAAGCAAAAAACCATCGATATATGTTTTAATAAATAATTTAAAAAATTATATAAAATTCATCAACAATGGATTAATAGGCGCAAGAAACATAAAGTTAATATGAGAGCATAATCAATGAAGTAATAGGAAAGCTAAAGAAAAATTCAGATAAAGGACAATTGTAAATGAGTGAATCTGAGATTCAAACTTTTAAAGATGTATTACAATGAAATACTTTCTTAGCTTTGGTAAAGGTGTTTAAAAGCAATTTAAGATGGCAGCGATAATAGATTCAAATAACATATCTAACCTCAAATAAAGCAAAATATAGACAACCCTATCGAATATGACCCTCCTATAGTAAAGAAAATTAAAACTAATGTAGATACTTAAATCATAAAAAAAGTTTATATTTTAACCATCCTTTTATCTTAGGAAGAAGATGACGATTAAAACAGAGCTGATGTTGCCTTCAGTGAGGACTCAGGAGACGAAACTAGTTCAAAAGAACCCAAAGTTGATGACCAGAAAGTATCCATTTCTATTAATAAATATAGAAATATTTGGATTATCAGAACACAAAAAATGAGAGTCAAAGAGAGAAAACCTTATTCGATAAAATCAGAGAACTAGAACAGTTGAAGAACCTTGTAAAAGTGGAAGAGGAAGATGAAAATGAATCTGAAGAACCCAGAGTATTTGATACATAAGTCTATGCTTAAAAAATTAACACTGAAAATTAAGTTAGTCGTATAAGAGTATTCTTACATCCTTATATAGCCAAATAAATCTTAAAAAATGAGTTTGGAGAATGTTCTCATCAAGGAAAAAAACAATAAGGAAGCACTCTATCCTTAAGCTCAACTATTATTTAATTTCAAAACTAGTAAGAAAAAAAACTCTTCATGAGAATCGTGTTTAAATTTTTGTAATTTCTTTAATTAGACAATCCTTTATATCATTAAAACTGCTTTTATTCACATTCCTTTTTCCATCCTTTACAAATACTCATTACGCCTTCCATTCCTTCCTCACCTTTCAATCCAGTTTCTAATTTTTGCAAAAATTAAGTTAATTTGTCATTCTCATCCTTATTTAATTCTTTCTTATATTCATACAAATGATATTCCTTTCCATCCACTTTCGCTGAGCTTATCTAATACTTGATCTCATCTATTTAAAACTCATCATCCTCTTTTTTTATTTATTAATCCATCCTTAATTTAATATTAAATTATATATTATTAATAGTTGTGTTTACAAAATTAATATGCATATTCAAATTACTCTATATAACCAATACTATTGAACATAATTTTAAATCAGATTTTATTTTCATACTAATTTATTTTATTTGATACTCTATTTATTGTTACATATCAATACTTAATGTTAATCTAACAGATTAAGAATGGATTATAATTGATATTAAAAATCATAAGACAAATATTGAGATCCCATTAACTATTGTGTAATTGAATTATAATTTATAAACTAAGTGTAAACAAATAAGACTAAGGTTTTCTAATTAATTCAATTTCTATAGAACCTTCACTAATAATGAGGTGATGCGAAGATCTATTGAATTATTTTATTTTGTTTGATATATTTATTTTTCTAGTTCCAAAAAGTTAATAATAAATTAGTTTAAAATAAATATTCAGTTAAATGCCACCTGTACTTATGAATGTAGATTACATGAGAAAAAAGAAAAGAGCGTAATCAGCAAAACCAGAAGAAACCATATAAAGAGTCCTTAAATAATTTAGTGTGAGTCCTTAGAGATTTCGATTTACCAAATTTAATCATAAAAAATTAGGTGTTATACATCCAATTCCCAGCAAATTAAAAAAAGCCAAAACTTAAACATCTATTCCTCAACCTGCAACATATCAATATGGGGATAAAGAATTTATGGAAGTCTTAGGAAAAAAGTGTCCAATTACTGATGTAGAACCAGACATTCATTATACTAAAAACGACAAGAAATAGCTCGATGAACATTTGGTTCAACCGTTCTTTTATGTGTAAAAACTGTTTCCCAAGGGAGGCCAATCAGTTATGGAACACGATGATGTATTTGTACCATTCCAAACACTCAAATAATCGAAAAGAAAAAGGAAAATGGTCGATGAGTAATACATTAAGATATTGAAAGAAATGAACAAAGAGGAAAGATAAGAATTTTACACCAAAGGAATTGTATAACTATATCGTTATTATTAATTAGAGAATGAATGTTGAATATGCAATGATATTTAAGAGATTTATGAAAGGATTGATAAAAAAAGGGTTATACGATTAGGATTACAAGTTTTCTACTGAAAATCCTAAAATTCATAAAAAAGAATTGCTAAAGAAAGGTTAAGAAATGGGTTTAACACTATAAAAGTAAAACTAACCCATTTAATAAATTGAAATTTCACCTAAGAAGAAAAGGTAGTCCAAAAAGTAAAAGCAATAATATCACTAAATCTATATATCCAAAGAAAACATGATGAAATTTCTTAAGTTTTGCTGTTATGATGAATAATTCTTAAAAAGCGACATAGATATTCTATTTTTGAATGTCAAAATGGGGGATTCCCCTAAAGATATGCTTTTAGTAAAACTAGCAAATATGGATTCCTTTCTATTAGATCTGAACGCATTTCTTCATAATGCTTAAAAATATTTTAAACTTAAATACAAGATCAAAAATTTACTGAGTGTTAACGCAGCCAAGCAAAGAAATGTTTACATTAAATTTTCTCTCTATCCTTTCCTAGGAGAAGGATGGAAAGCTTTTAAGGTTTGCCTTAAACAATTAGAAAGCACAGAAAAATTGATTCTTTCTAAGACTAAATTGTAATAGTACATCGATTTGATATAAGAGAGGGACACTCTTATCAATATGAAAAGGGTGTGGTCTAAGAATTTATAAAGAACACCTTTACAATATATCTTGTTAAAGTTCCAAAAGGTTAAAGATATCTATGTTAATGCAATTAATTACAATGCTGAGAGAATCGACTTCTTTAACCAATTTCAAATAGATTTGTTTTTATATAAGGAATAAAAGGTTGATTAGATCAATAATTCAAGATTCTTTAGAAATTAGAATATATCAAGTATATCTTTAGATGTGAGGACAATCACTTTAGATGAAGTTGTTGAGTTTTTAGTTGAGAAATAGTTCAACAAAGAGGAAAGTGATTAGATTGTGGATATATTTTAGAAGATCTTAAAATACTATGGGTTAAGAAAAGCGCCAAGAAAATCTAAATGGCAATTAGCTCCTGAAATAGAGCCTAATAAAATCTTAACCTAACAATAGATTGTTGAATACTTGAGTTATTATTCATAAAAGTAATTTGAGGAATGGAAAATATTTAAGACTTTTATTTAAGATTTTCATAGATTTCAAATTAAGAAAATTAATTTACCAGAAGGACGACTCTAACATGTACGTTAAGCATGGGAATGTAATATAATTGGAGAATGGCTGATTAAATAACTAAGAAAACTTGATAAATCAATTTCAGTTCTATTATTCAAGAGTTTAGAAGTTTGTAAATTAATTGAAAAAGAAGGAGAACTGACAGATTAAAATATTTTACAAGCTATGGAACAAGATGGAAAGTGTTCTTTTGATAAATTTATAAATGAGAAAACATAATAGCAGCTTCAACGCCTTTTAAAATTGGCTGAAAAGCAATAATAATATTTAAATTCAAAATCAATTAGTATTGATGATTGGGATTCTGATTTAACAAAAGCCATTTCTAATTATCAAGTGATTAGTACAAAATTATTCTTAAATCAATAAAAAGTCTAAGCCAATTAAAAGCAATCTCCAAAATAATAACCTGTATAACATGTTTCGAAAGATCAAATTGTCTCTGCAGCTAATTTTATTGATGATAGATCTATAGTACATGATTAATAATAGATCCAAGTACTACCCTAAACAACATAATAAGTTTCATAAATTATCAAAAGTCCAAAAATAGAATAGTAAAATACCACATTATTAACTGTTCCTGCCAAAACATTTTCATAAAATAATCTGACAAAACCTGGAACCTCTCATGATACAATTTCAAGATCCAATTTATCCTCTAACACTCAGATGACTGAAGCAGAACTTGATATGAAAATTTAGAATGCCATGAGATTACAAAACAGAATCTTTAGTGAATTGGGAAAGTAAATATTATAAATTATCTTAGTATTAAAGATCTCTCTTTTAGAAGTCTTAAGTGAGAAATACTTATCATTATCATATATTCATTTAATAATATAATCAATAAATAAGAAAAAATACTATTTTTCGTTATATAATTATACTTTAGATGTTAGTTGTAATATAAATATTTGAAATAGGATACAGACACTATAAATCCAATTTAGATTCTTACTAATATATCTTCATTAAATTATAATAATATTATAAACATAATTATCAAATACGACATGAAAATTTTATCATTTTTGAATAGTTCTTGATGATGAAATTGATTAGGTTCTTTCTGATTTAACATCCTTGTGCAATCTTTATATCTATTCAACAGTCAACAGATCAGGTTTTCTTCTCTATTCTTCTAGGACCTAGAATATATTATGATAATTACTTGTCTCTCTATTTTTTCGAATTCCTTTCTTGTTTCAATATTTTTAATGGTTTTAGGATTGAAATATTCTGGACACATTTCATAAAGCCATTTACCTTCTATATCGGTTACTGTTCTTAGATAGTTTTTTGAAGTCAACACAAATTCTTGATATAGGATCCATTCTGGTTTGTGATTTAAAACAGAACATGGATGTATGGCAACTATTTGACTATCTTTGACTGTCATATAGGCTCCATTTTTAGTTAGATGAGCTGTTTGCATAAACATACCAGCAATTAAAGCCTTTTTGATGTAGGTGTAATATAATGCATTCGATGGATCAGTTTTAGTCAAAGGAACTTATTGCTTTTACATGATTTGTCTTAGTTAAACCTTGATTTTATCTGCTGATTTCAAACTTCGATAATTGATGAAATTTTGGTAACACCAGTCAGAACTTTCATTGTGTTCTTTAAATGATTTAAAAACATTTAAGAATGTAATGTGATCTCCATCTTAATGGACAAATTGATATCTGGCATCATCAGCTTACTATTATTAATCCTTTGGTCTTTAGAATACTTATTAAACAGACAACAAAGCCACAATAGTCAATATCTCATCAGTAACATAGAAATCTTTACTGCTGAGAAGCACTTTTGATAATTATGGATCAAGTGGAAATTCTGACATCTATTATCCAAATTTAGTTAGATTGCCTTCCTCATCTAATGCACTTAAATAGTATAATTATTCTAGAGCTCTCATTAATGTTTCTGGAGCGGGTGGGTCCATAAAATCAAAATGTACTAAATCATCAATTCCCAATCTCTTCAATTATAACACAACTGCTGATAGATTACTTCTTAATATTTCTGGATAAGTGTTATCAATCAATTCTGTATTAAATGATTGTTCAGTGTATAATCTATAACATTTACCTGGTCTTGTTCTACCAGCTCTACCTGCTCTTTATTATGCAGAAGCCTTGGAAATTGGAGAAGCAAGTAAGGATTCCACTCTCAATCTTGGATTGTACACCTTTTATTTGGAAAATCCAGGATCTACAACGTAGCAAATTCCATCAATAGTGATAGAAGTTTCAGCAATATTAGTTGCCACTACAATCTTTCTACCTTGAATTCCTTTTTTATTAGGTTAAGGAGCAGATTCAAATATCTTTTATTATTAGTTTGGTGGTAATGTACTATAGAGTGGTACACATCTGACTGGTCCAACATCGTCTCCCAATTTCTATATTTCAGAAGTGATCTTTTTACAGGCTTCTTCGATTTCCTAAAGAAATGAATAGGATTTAATTATATACTTCTTCTCCAGTAAGAAATACTAGGATGTCTCCTGGATCCTCGTATGCATGAATGTTGATTGTGGTACTAATTGCTGCATCAAGATAGCTTTTTTCAGGTTTTTGGGTGTAGAATATTTCCACTGGATACACTCTTCCTGGAATGTCCAAGAGGGGAGCATTGTGAAAATACTTTTAAAATTTCTCTGCATCCATAGTTGCAGACATGATCACCACCTTCAAGTCTTCAGGTCTCTTCAACATGATTTCCTTGAGGAGTCCAAATAATATATCGGTGTTAAGAGTTCTTTCATGAGCTTCATCTAAGATCACGACTGAATATCTCTCTAATTTTGGGTCATGCATGGCTCTAATGAATATATATTGATTTTATGTACTCTCTTAGAAGCATACCATCTGTCATATATTTCAGGATGGTTTTATTCGAAGTCTTCTCTTCAAATCTGATCGAATAACCAACTTCTTCTCCAAGTGCCACATCCATCTCTTCTGCCACTCTTTTTGCTACACTCATTGCAGCCACTCTTCTAGGTTGTGTACATGCAATTCCTCTGCCTTTACTGTATTTCTCAAGTAAAAATTGTGGTATTTAGGTGGTTTTACCACTTCCTGTTTCTCCTTGCAAAACTATCACTTGATACTACTCCATAAGCATAAACAATTATTCCTTGGCTATAAAGAATCAAATCATATTATACCATCCCAAGCAGGTAACTACTTTCTCACAGTCAAAATTTTATAATAATCTTCTGAATATTAATTCCCTGTGTAGGGGTTTATGTTTGCATTTTACTTTACTTTTTTTTTCTAGACTTATTCTTAAATTATATCTTTTACATACCTAATTCACCGATATCGATTTTCTATTGCTTTTATTTAGTGGTCCCTAAATTCTTATCCACAAACATTATTTAATAAAAATTATTAATTTATAATCCTTTTTAGTATTTTTAATTATTTTTACTCATATTCAAAAATCAATCTACTTCAAAGCAATTGATTCTAATTATGAAACCAAATAGAAGAGATACAATTAAATCATTATAAATACATCAACCAATCACTCTCCATTAATTTCCATATGAGCTACTTTCTGTTATTGCTGCTTCTCAATTATTTTTTGTAAGGCACACTGAGTCCCTCTTAATTTTCTAAGTGTTTATTCATAAATACTACTTTCGAATTTACAAGTTGTCTAATTTAATCTCATCCAATTCGTGAATCAAACCAGAAACGAATTAAACTGTTTCACTCCTTGGATTAGGACTGAAATATGTATGAGTTTTAGAGAGTGTAGTTTTCGTGCTTATCAGTGGAGATGATTGCATAGTAAATTACTTGCCAAAAGCAGTCAATCCACAAACATCTGGAAGACTGGAAGCCCACTTCTTAATGATGTCTTTCCTTAATTTCTTATCAGCGTCCTTTGTCTCCATCTTCTTCTTATACTCAAACTCTGTTTTTGAGGTAAATTTATAAGAAGGAGGCACTTCCTTCCTTTCCTCTTGTTCTTGATCCCATTCCCAATGAGCATACCTTCTTAGAACTCTTTTTGAAGGTTCTAAACTTTTTTAAGTTGATATATAATTACTGAGATTATTTAAGAAATTTATAAAGATCGAACTTCGGTATTAATTCAGTTATCTACATAGAACCTATTCTAGTTCTATTGCATATTCCTTTCAAGACTGGACCTAGTTTCTTGTCATCAATCAATTCTTGTTAACGAAATGCAAATTTAGCAAAAGTAACTTTGCGATCCTAAAGCGTAGACTTCAATTGATTGAATTCTTAAACATTCTTTTTAATATGCGAAAGTTAAACAAACTTTTAAGCTGATTTTTCATCGTTGCTTGTCTTCCCTTCAATCACATCTTTCAATCTATATTTACTCTAGGATTACCAAAGTGTATACCTTTTTAATGTTATGCATATTTTTTAATATAAATTGTTATAATCATATTATTGCAATCATAATTATGTTGAGCATAAGTATAATACTATAGGATTCTGTGATAATTTACAATGAGGCCAATTTCTCTAAGTATTTGGCGAGTGACTTGCAAGGCTTACAAATTTAGGCTGCGTCGTCAAATGTATGAGCAGTCATTTTATCACAGTCTTCCTTTCGAATATCTGCAGATAAGGTTGAGTTGCATTAAGAGTTCTTCAAAGAGCAAATATGAACATTGCCAAAAGAATCTACATGTTCTTTGTTACAGAGGTCTGTTGTAATGGTAGTGCAATTTAAATTTACACAATTGTTGTCCTTCCATTGACAGCCGTGAGTCTTACAGAGATTCTTATTTTTAATATTCTTGTTCTCGCATGCTCCAAAAAATCTAGTAGATGTCATACAAACATCTCCTGCCCAATAACAATAGGCTGATGGCTAAAATAATGAGGGGAGCTCATTAATAAATAAATTATTGCATTCATCTTCAGTTGTGATGTCGCTGCAAGTAGAAACTGATCTACATCCTTTTGAAGTTTTGTTATATCCACAAAAATTAACCTTACATACACGTCTCGCATAAGATGGACTTATTTTTGATACATCTAATTCCTCACATGATGAAATAGGTTCACAAGTTTCCGTCTATACTCCTTATGGATAACAAGAAGTTCGATTAGTTGAATAAAATTAACTTGGAGCCACACATTCAGCCACCTAAATGGATTTATGGATTGTCTCTTACCTTATTTCCTCTTTCAGAACAACCTTTAACTCTACATTTCTTGGTTCCAATCTAATTCTCATCCCATAAACATTTATGCCATTCACAACTATCTTGGTTATCATGTTCCTAACAATCGCAACTATATGGATAATCTAATTATGCTTTTAGAACAAGCACTAGAAGAACTTAAATCAATAAATTCATTACTATTATATTAAAATTATTATATTATTATCATAACACTTTTTATATCATTCAAAATAATCAAGCTATATTTACTTCAAATATGAATCTGTTAACGATTCCACTTGTTTTATCTACTAGAAACTTATAATATTTTAATTAATTCAAATTTCTTATTTACAATATATTATTATAATGCAATTAAATTACGAAATACTTCAAGAAATCTATCAGAGTAAAAAGGTGAGAATAGAGAAAGTAAGATCAATGCAAGATAACCAGACTTATATTTAAAAAACGTATCTACAAAATAAAAATGAAGGTATGGTTTATAATGATTGTGAGGATTGAATGCAATTAAAATGTTAGCATAGATTAAGAATCAATTTGTATTGTAAGTAATCGAATACCTTGAAAATGAAGAACAACAATTGGTTATAATATAGGAATATTGTGATTAAGGGGATCTGAAAACCTTTACTCTACAACACATCGGTTACAAAATGCAAGAAAGCATAATTTGGTCACTCTTCCTATAGATGGCTTATGCTCTCCTACAATTAAATGAACTTGGAATACAACACAGAGTATTAATTCCTGAGAATATTCTACTGCTAGTAAGAACTGAAGGATATCAAATTAGAATTACAGATTTCCACAAATCTTCGAGACAAACTCTCTGTCAATTACCCTGTGCTGCTATATACTTACCATATGAGTACTTTTTTGAAGGACAATACACTTAGAAGTCACACATTTGGCAGATTGGCCATATCCTCTATTTTATGGTTTCACAAAAACTATTATTCCCAACAACCACCCTAGAGAATCAAGTCAAAGAGCAACTAAGGAGAGGGCGAATACAAATTAATATACCCGAGGTCTATTCTCAGGGACTAAACAAACTAATCAATGTCTGTTTGACCATAAGAGAAAATTAGAGACCCAATATTCTCTAAATTTTGAGAATGAAAGAAGTTAGAGATGCTCTTGCAAGACCATACTATGAATTTTCATTAGATCAAAGGAGACATCTTATGTACTGGATTAATAGTTCTGAAACTGCTATTTCCAATCCAGTATAGTTTACATTCAATGAATTTGATTTGCATTCTCCAAGACAAATTCAGAAGGATGTAGTGATCAAAAAGAATTTCAGAAATTCAAAGTTGCCAGAGATTTTTCAATAAAATCAGCATGCCTTCAAATCATCAACTGATCGCCTTCCAGAATCAGATAATATCAAAACTGAAACCAAAAGAAAGGAAGATTTGTATTTACAATAGCAATTGTTGTCAAAAACCTATACAAATAAGTATTTCTAAGGCGTCGTCAAGCCTATTAGTTTTCATAAGAAAAAATAAGTCATTAATAATACTGAATTGCCGAAGTTCTCTATTCCTTATCAAAAACAACTAGACCCTGTATTTCAAAATCTATTGGAAAATAAAAAATAAATATGTGATCGATGGATTGGAGAAACCGAGTATATGTTCCTAAGATCATAAATTAAATTTAATGTAATGTTTCATTATTGACAAATAGAAAACAGATAAATTATTGAGCTATTTGTAATAAAGGCACCCAAAAGTTGACGGCAGTGTTATTTTGTAATAAATCAATGATATTGCCCATTTAGAAGACTAGAGAGGTTTTTATAAAAAATGTTGAAATTTATTTATTTAAATATATATATAACAAAGTAATTAAATAAGCTTATTGATTATTTTAAGATATAACAAATTTGAACTAATTCTATTTTTAAAGTAAATGAAAATAAGACAATATTTAAATTAAAATGAATTAGTTTATGAATAGATATTATATAATTGATTGTAAGAGCATTTGAAATTGAAAAAACTCATAAATTTTAGATAGGAATATAAAACATATATATAAATATAAATGTATGGTCAATTTAATCAAGATATAATCTTAGAAATTAATTGTATGGGAGAAATTAAATTAAAATCAATTTTTAATTATATGTTCAAATTTCTTCTTAGGCCCTCGTTATTGTTTTCCAAAAGAACAACCAAACTTAAGAATTTGATATAATCAAAAGATTTAGAGTTTATAATGGAAGCTCATAATGGACTTTCAGCTCTTATTGTATAAGAAGCCGGTTTTAAAGGCATATGGGCTTCTGGATTATCAATGTCAGCTGGACTGGGAGTTAGAGATTGTAATGAAGCTTCGTGGACTTAATTGTTGGAAGTATTAGAGTTCATGGCTGAAAGAACTACTATTCCAATATTAATGGATGGAGATACCGGCTTTGGAAATTACAATAATGCAAGAAGATTAGTGAGAAAATTGGAAGAGAGAGGAATTGCTGGAGTTTGTTTTGAAGATAAGATCTTCCCTAAAAGAAACTCTTTAGGAGATGGGGCCTAAGAATTGGCAAACATTTAGGAATTTTCGAATAAGATCAAGGTTATGTAAACATTTATTTTTAGGCATGCAAGGACTTTTAGAGAGATAAAGACTTTTAAATAGTGGCTAGATGTGAATCCTTTATTGCTGGATGGGGATTAGAAAACGCATTGGAGAGATGTGAAGCTTATAGAAAGGCAGGAGTGGATGCCGTGTTGATTCACAGTAAGTAAAGTGATTTCACAGAAATTGAGTCATTTGTTAAGGTATGGAATAATAGATTACCAGTTGTAATAGTTCCTACTAATTATTACAAAACTCCAACAGAGGAGTTTAGAAAACATAGTAAAGAATGTTGAAATCATTATTAGATATAAGTTTAGCAATTTGGGCGAATCATAATTTAAGAGCAAGTCTTAAAGCGATGCAAGACACAAGTAAACAAATATTTGAAAGATAAAATTTAATCGGATTAGATAACATAGCCAGTGTTAAAGAAGTTTTTAGATTGTAGAATGAAGAAGGATTAGAAAAGGATGACAAGAAATACTTATGAATAGTAATTTACATAAATGTTCTAATAAATTATTCTATATTAAATTTATTCCATAGAAAAGTAATATTCCAATAAAATCATTTTATTGGGAGTGGATTCGATCTTTTAATTATTCATATTGATTTAAATCATTTAATATTCATATTTTGATGATTGATTCTATATGTGTACAATTTATAAATAATAATATGAGATTCAAATATTTGAAGGTTGTAATAGGATGTAATTGGAATGATATTTATTTTTCAATACAATATTGAAAAATACAATTAATGACCTAATCTACATTATTGTATTTTATTTTACAATATTGTTGATTCTATAATTTTATTTAAAGTATATCTATTAATAAAATTATTGAGTTGGTTTTATCATAAAAAAAGCAACGTAAAAAAGTGATTGTAAATTTTATCAAAAATTAGAAATGATTTGCTTCTTCAAAATAAATAAAATTCTCTATATTCAGTTTTTATTATACAAATCCACAAATAATAATAATTATTTATTTTATTAAAAATGGGATATTAAGCTTACTAGCCTCCAATAGATACAAAGCATTATAGTAATCTAGCGATTGTACTAACTTTTATTGGATTCTGTTTCCTATCATATTTTGTTATGTAATTTGCATTAATTAATTTAGTTACTAAGTTACATAGAATAAATAATAAAGATCATTGGCCAAAGAATTATCAGTCGGTTTGTTTGCTTCATTATTTTTATCCTCAGGAACATTGTTTAGCTTCTTAGCATTAGGATTATTTTTTTGAATGAATATTATATGCAATCTAATAGAGATTTGGTTTATCACACATCTAATTAAATTTTAAGATTATTATACTCATTAATAAATTCTAAGAATATCTTATTATACTCCTTAGTTTTACATTTCATTATTACCACATGTTTATTGTTAATGTGATATTTGAATATAAGTAAGGTTTTGCTGTTTTAGATATGTAATTTTAGAATAAACTTAGAAATGAAATAAATTATAAATTTGATTGATATCATACTCAAACAGATTGTATTAAATTACTTAGCAACTCTTGTTGCTATTTGGTTAATAATTATTAAATTGGTAATTGCTATTATACAATAGGATTGCTATAATATGTTTTGAATTAGGCACTAAACAATTTATCTTCATCATTTAGTATTTTGTCAGGATTCTAATACTTGTGAATATAAAATTGATTACATTTCTAGCAATAACAGGTTTCAAGGGTTGGAATCCTGAACTTGATGTCACTTCCCTATCAGTCACTCTTCCCATGAACTTCAGAGGATTTCGTTTTTTAAGGGTTATGTTTTCAACCATAGCCTAAAAGACATGATTCCATGATTGTTAAGTCAAGAATCTAAGTATTAAATGAATAATGTACTATCCAGAAAACAATATGGCAGATAACATAGTAAATATAAATTTTCTTTCGCTTCTCTAAGAAATAGACTTTATGATTCCTAGTTCATTAATTAAAAAGCTCTCTAGTAATTGAGGAGAGATCTTAGAGCATTCATTGACAAGTACTTCTACTCCATAAGTTGTAAAGACATGAGCTAGCAATAGAAATACTTCCTTATTGATTAATCGCTAACTCAAATGGGTTGCTTTTGATTTTGAGGATATTTAAGGTTAAGATTGCTGTTGTATATTGTATTATTCAAAAATGATAGCCAAAACTATGTTTGTCCATTGCGAATTGGATTTGATGAGGAATTTGGATAATTCTGTGTATGATGGTGTGCTATGAGAAACAATTGATTTTAGGATTGTCTGTAATTAAGCTGTGGGTAAATTAGTTCCTTAGAATCCAAATTGGAAGAATATGATATATGCTTAAAACAAGGAGGAGTTCGACTCATTCCAATTTTAAATTTCAAGGAAGTTTTGTAATAGATTTTGATAATACGAGGAGGCATTAGTCTAAACCTATAAGAAGAGTGAGTAAATTTGCAAGACGAAATTAGTAACGTCTCCCTTGTTTTCTCTTAGTAATTCGTCTAGCTAATTCAATATGCTTTATTATAACTAATTGGCAGCTTCGGAGTTCTTGGCAATGATACACACATCAATCACACTTGCTATTATCTCAAAAACCAAATGGACATTCTAAAACTCATATTCTAATTTGATATTCTTCAGCAAATCTTAGAGTAAATTGCATAATGCAGCAATGGCATTGAAAATCTCTTATTTCAATAAGTTAATCAATGAATTTGTAAGTTTCAAACTGTATGTTTCTAATTTCTATTATTATTTAATATTATTATAGCAATCAGTCAATATCAATTGCAAATATTGTGAAATGTTGACATTTTCAAAGTAAAGCTAATGATTAGCATAATTCTTGACATCCTGTCTAACATTAATTAATGAATAAGCAGTATAACAGGCAATGTTGGATAAAGTAGTCTTTTTGCTTAACTATAGTTTTGAAACTAGAGTGGCAAGAGTTGGTAATTCTACCTTGTCAATCACATTTCTGAAATAGAACAAGTATCTACAATAGAATGCCAATTGAATTGGAGTGAACTTAGATTCAACTGATTAATTCTATTATTGCATTTCAAATATTTATCCTAATTTAGGCTTCAAACAGTGAGTATAAAATCCAAGGACATTTTCTTGTGATAGAATGATATCGATAGTTCCATCTTTTGAAGTGAATGAACTGGTGCTGGCTTCGATAATCAAGTTGATAAGAATTATTTCATTATCGACTCCATTCATTCCCGATTGAATGTAAGCCTATCTAATCAATTTAATATATAAATAATTACAGGTATTCTTAAATGATGAGATTGACCTATTGATTAAAGTGTTTAGTGACTGTCTTAAAGAGTTCGACAGCTTGTGCCCTTCTGGATTCTAAGTCGCTTTACTCGAAAAACTTCTCAATGAATTCTTATGGTTCATCTGAAAACATCCCGATTTCATCCTCTAATGTAGAATATTAAGTCTGAATTACTTGACAAAGATAAATTCCTTATAATTAGACTCTCTATAAGAATCTTTATGTTCTGCTCGAAGAAGGCCTTCATATCTTACCAAGCTATTAGGGTCTTGAAGTATCTAAGAGCACATAATACAATCTAAAACTTTATTTGATTAAAGTAACCTTGTCACTGTCTCTTCCAGCACTGGTCTGGGTGCATACATTCCAGATTTCACTCGAGAACACTTGGATCAAGTCACCAAAATCATCACGATACTTCATCGCATACAATAACACACATTTAAGAGCTTCACCCTTGCATTTGAATAGGAATTGCTCGACTCCTTGGACTGGCTAGAGTCGGAGAACGACCTTCATGAATTCCATCCAGGATTAGAGATTGTCTTCGAAATGAGGATGCAAGTCCTAAAATAATTATTATTTTAAATTACTTAAAAATTTAAATTGTAAAACACTTTTAGTAATGTTTTCAGAATTTCATATGATAATTACAGGTTTTGAAGGGCTTCTATTTATTGTATCAATGATTTAGCCAACAATAATAAATTGTGATGGGTTGTGTCGCATGTTATAATGATTTCTTCATAGAGAGGATCACTCCTCGATTGATAAACATATTTTTCAGTCAATTTGTAGATGAGTTTCAAGGTTTTGTATACATAATCGGGATGTGCGAGGAATTGATTTAGTTCAGCCATTAGATTGGGCCATTAAGTAGGAAAGTCCCTAGAAGCAACGTAAACAATTGCATCTTTCAATTGATGAATCAATGGTGCTTCAGAGACTATATAAGCACTTATTATGTGTTGCTTGATGGTTTAGACCACATTTTGAACGTATTAAGCTTAGTAGTCATCAAAATTACGATACTCTTTGAACCATAATTTTAACTCAATTGCCGCTCGAAGACCTAGACTAATTTCATAAGCTTAGAAATAATCGAATAACACTTTGGGGTATTGGATGTCACCTCGTATTTGTTATAGCAATTGCTCCCCTTGTCTTATTTTATCGTTTGTGCCCATATTGATGAGTTAGAAGGCTGTGTTCAGATCATTCACTATATTTGAAGTGACAATCATAAATTTTAAATTAAAATATTTTCTTTAAGCAATTATAGGGCATGGTATTTAAAATGATTAACACAAGGAATCCCACAAATTATCAAAGCAAGAAATGAGAGAATGTCTGCAGGTATCAAAATCTGAATTCCTTGAATAAATTAATTTAGAATGTTCTGGCTGCATATCAGCCCTTAAAGATTTTATTGCCCTCAACCGAAAAGACAAATACATTACCATAAACTAAGAAATTGCCATCAATGACGACTTGATCGATTCCCAAAAGATATCCAAGACTCTTGCAAAGCTTTAGAGTTATGGAGAATTAATCAAATCTACAATATCTAGCATTTTTAAAAAGGCAACTCCACAAAACAATAAGAAAAGATGTCAACTGCATTCTTTGAAACAAGTCCCAGAAATCAACATCTAGGAACATGTTCATCACATTTGTAATGACATTGTGGAACAAAATGAAAATTGTATTATCTAAGATAGAGAATTTGATTATCATTTATAAGTAATCACAAATTAATTGGATTTAGAATTACTTAAAAACCAAAAAATTCTGTCCATCTTGCAAAGAAAATATTTAGGCGGCTTTAAAGCATTTTAAATTATAAATCCCATAACCTGATTGTGCATGCAGTATTATTTGCTATATTAAATACGATCATTAGAAATGTGAAATTCAAATTCCATATGATGTATAAATTAACTCTTATTCTTAGGCAATCTTATTAAATGCATTATTGAATAAGGCACAAATTCAACCTTTTTATTAACATGCCTCAACCAAAGAAGATGCTTAAGAGGAGTTGTTGATATGCTTTGGACTTCTAATTAAGGAGAAACTAACAACCCTCTATAGAGAAAGGTAGTCTATGGAAATCATTAAATACACCTTCTATCAGTAAATAGGAGAAATATTTAAAAGGAGATTGGAAAATTATAATAAGATGAAGGGGGAATACTAAAGTCAATTGGAAGAGTTGGAATAGTTTTTAAAGAATGAAGATGAATAAAAGGATAAATAAAGAAAGAAGAGACAATTAAAGAAAAAGAAGAGAAAGGAACAATAATTAAGTTCTGATGGATCAGTTCGTACAAACTATATGCAGGAATCCTCAAGAAGGTCAATTTCACCTTCAAATAGTGAGAAAAATTTATTGAAATCTTTTGGATGGCAGGGAAGTCCATCAGTGTCTCCATAAACAAGAAAGGAATTAGAATTCTTGTAAAAAGAACATCTACAAGAGATAAATAATAGAAGAAAATAATTAAGAGAATAAACTAAACAATGTTGGTGTGAATGGTGTCACCATCATAAATAAAAATGATAATGTTGATTTACATATTTATAAGTGCAATTTAACATTCTATCCCCTTTTTTTTGTAAGTTTGTAGTTTGTAAAATATTAATCAAAAGATAATTATCAGTGTTTAATAGCTGTTCACTTCTCAACAATGTCATCATATCTTAATATTAATTCTTTTTTTGTGGTGTTCTTCCTCTACTTACAATTCAATCAACTTCTTCTCTAATACATTCTCTAATTATGCAATTAATTATTCATATTCCTTTTACATGTACATTATCAGTTTTCCTATTTACTTAATGTAGAATTGCTAATATTGTTTCATTATGAGCCAATTTTCTCCATTTAGTGAAGACTTATCTTGGCAATCTCAATTTAAGCTAATCTTCTTCATTTTTACTTTGAGTATTAAGTTGCTAATAGCAAAATTCTTCGATCACCTACTCTCTAAGTGTCTTGAACACGCTTTTTGTAAATTTTTCATCTCTAATCACCTAGCAATAGAATATGAAATTCTCAATTTGTACATATATCTCCCTTTGTTTTTTTGAAATCTAATTTTCATTTCGTTTTTATACTCTTAAATAAATTCTCGAGTATTTCTAATTGCTCCAATGTGTCATTGTATCCATCATCAACCATAGGTAGATTTCCTGAACACATTTTTTTTGTGAAATTTTTCTACTTTATTCTAAGAATGCCTAGACAGCCTTTCTTGACCATTCATCCAATAATTATTTGTTTTTCTTGGTAAAATCAAAGATAACTTTAGTTTTTAATTGATTAGTGTTCATTTACGATTTAATTTAAAAATCTAATTTTATAATAATAATTGGAAAATGAAAATAAAATGTTAGAATATTCATTAATTAAGAATTATCATTACCCGCATTCGAATTTGAATTCACAGTTTTTGATTTCTGTCCCATCTTTATTTGTAGCAGTAGCATAAATACAAGTATTGCCAAATAGAAGTGTAACCTTAACAGTTTTATCCTCAACAGATTGGAGTGGTTTACCAATATCAATGCACAATTCACCTAATTATTGCACTCCTTATTCATCAACAAATTCTACTTCTCTCTTCTCAGTCACATAAAAGATTATCCTCATTATAGTTTATCTTGATCTTACTGGGCAATATATTTTAGTATGTACTTCATCACAACTAAATAATGATATTTATATTATACCCAACAGCATCTCCTTTTCTAACAAATGCATCAAATACATCTTCACTAAATTCCTCTCCTTCAATAATAACCTTCTTTTTTATCGGATGTCTCTCTGCATCAAAGGTTGTTAAAGTATTGATTCCATATGTCTTTTTGGCTATTCTACTTGTAATAGATCTTGGACTCAAACCAAATAGACATGCCCCTCTAATTACAGAAACCTAAGGGCGTCTGGGGACCAAAATTTGAATTGCGTTATTCTCAAATCTTTTTATGATTTCTGATTTCAAAAATGGAGATTCACTAAATCCTCCGACCATAAAAATGAAATTCACTTTTTCCTTTTTCTGTTCAACCTATTGTAAGAGTTGACCCACTTTATTTTTGATATTTTCAAAAAGAGTCTAGAAGAAAGATGCCATTAAAGCTGATGGAATTTCTACATTGGAAAGACCTTTCAACTTAATCTAATATTCAGCAGCATGTTTTGAATTATGTTCTTTAACTAATTGTGTTAATTTGGCAGTATTCAATTCTTCACCTAAATATGAGAACTTTATCATGCATCTTTCATCTTTATTCCCTTTAAACTTCCTTTTTAGAATTTCGAAATCTCTCAATATATCCAATCTAGCAATTGCATTCAATTAATAACATCTAAAAAGTTTCTCGCCAAGAAATTCCTTTAAAAATTCTTCAAAGTATAAATCCACATATTTTGAACCCCATTCACATCCTCCTGAAGAAGGAATCAATTCATTACATAAGAATTTCTCATTAGGTTCACATAATAATTTATGAACTGTGATATCTACTGTTCCACCTCCACAATCAAGTACCATAACTACAGAACTCTTTGCCATCTATTCTTTCAATGTTTGTTCAGCATCTTCTCTACATTGGATTGATGCTCCTTCAGGTTCTAAACACAATAACAAATTAGGAGAATTAAGATTTTCTACAATTCCTGCTTCTACAGCTGCTTTTCTCATAAACTATTTATGTTCTTCACTCCATAATGCAGGAACTGTTAAGACCCATCTAATTTTAGTGGATATCACTTTGCCCACTTGTTCCTTTAATTTTTATATTGCTTTATTGCTTATGTATTTGAGAGTCTCCTTTATCAATAACATCAAGGGCAACTCTCTGTTGTCAAGTGATCTTGCGTTGTTGTGCATATGATAGAGATGCATTTTATACTAATAAATTTAGATGTTAAACTACATTTTAAAATAGATAGGCTGAATCCCCATCATCTAATATGCTGGCGTATTTTTAAAGAGCTTGTGATCCAAATTCAATAAATTAACCATTGTTATCAAACAGAATGGCTGTGGGTGTTTTTTAGTCATCTGAATCATCGCAAGGGTTAAATACTTCGATTCTTGGTTTTCCTTCCTTGTCTAATACTTTTGGAGCTAATCCGAATCTGAATTAATTTAATTAGTACCCTGATGCTCCTGTTCCAAAATCTATTGCAATTACATGTGTGAATGCTGTATCATCCTTTAATAAGGCCATTATTATTAACTGCTTTGTTTATTTAAATTTAAAATATAAAATATACTTTTTAACAGCATAATTTAAATATGAAGAATAATTATGTCAAAGAAAATTTCTCAAAACCTAATGACTATTTGGAAGGGACTCAAGATGAATTGAGAGGCAAAATTAAGGTCTTGATGAATAAATTGCAAGTCACCAAGAAAGAAAAGGAGATTTTAAGCAAGGAGAATCAAAATCTACAATAAGAAATACTACAGATGCAATCAAATCTTAGATGCATGGTTTCTGGATTTGCAAATACAAGCATCACATTTCCCATGACAAATGAATTAAGTAATTCCATAGCAGAATTTTACAAATGTGAATGTTTTGATATTTTTTTTGATGTTCTAAGTCAGGAATTAAACATGAAGGGGATTATCTATTTTTTCTAAACTGCCATGTATCGAATAGATAAAATAATTAATGACTATTTTACACCCCTATTCAAAAATATTAAAGATGTAATTTATTATATATATAGTAGGTTGGCTGTTTAACTACAATTGAGGGACCCATCATCAATGTACTGAGAAAATCATTTCAGAGTAATTACAAACAAATCTATGAAAAATGCATGGTGAATTTAGGCAGTGTAACAATAGAATTGTAAAAGAGTCTAAGGTTAAACAATGGCGATATCATTGAATCTTTTTTAAGTAACTACTCAATTTAATATTGATAGACAAATTGTCAGAAATAATGTTCAATTGTTACATAAGTGATCCAAATCTATAGTTTGATATCCAATCGATTGGTCAAAAACAATAGTTTAATTAATGTAAGAATGATCCTATTGATGGATTCATCAAGAATAAAGAAGAATGTATTATATTAATGCCTGGAGTGTATAAAAATTAGGAGTAAATGGCGAAGTCTCTAGTATTATCATATTCCTATTAATTAGAAAATAACTGATATTTATATAAATATATCTTAAATAATTAGATATAGGTGTTTATCTTTAATTTTGCAAACATATAACTATATAAGGCATAAATAGCGAACATATAATCAATATTAGGACAATCTCATTTTCTTTTAATAATTCTTATCTCCCATTTTGATCAATTCATACACCATCCACCATGGACACAAAAAGTCAGAGTCAAAATAGGCAGTCAAGAGTAAATAAGCGTTTTCCATATTGTAAATTAACACAAAAATTCTCCTCTCTGAATTGTAAGTCTTGCAATGTATCCAAATAAATGTGAGATAAAGTATATTGAAGATGAGCACTGAAACCAATTATTTGATGGGGAAATAAAAGAATGCCCACATAAAACAAGGCACAATAATTGCAATCATATAATTATAATAGAATACTTTAAAATCCAATATATTGTTAATGCCAATAACATCGCTATTTTTAAGTTAATCCTCCTATTTCAATTCATTAAAATTAGGTTAATTTTTATTTGTGATTTCACTCTTCTGCCCCTTAGATTTAACTTACTCTTATTCCTTCTCGGAACTATGTTCACTGGCCTCTTCCTCTTATTCCTAACTCTCATTCTCCAACTACTTGAGATCCTCTTCTTGTCTACTCATCAATAAGTCCCAATCCTTGTCTACTTATGGTTCATTCATGAATTCTTCATTCAACTAGAACGGATTCTTCATTTGATTAATTTCCATGTACGTATGATATGCCTGCTGCAATACTTTAAATCGAATGTAAATAATTAAGGAAATGCTCATTAGATTGAGTAGCAAGAACTTTGATATGTCAAAATATTCGCTTATGAATAGGTAGACAAATATTCTTCCGAAACTCCCAAAAGTAAACAGCAATATATTGATAGGAAATCGCTTGGATGTATTTGGTGACAAATTTATCTAAAACGACTCAACTACAAGGATACTATTTTTATTGATCAATTACCTCCATGAAAACACATAGATTAAGGGACTTTCTATTATCAATGCTCTAGGTATTATCAAATAAGCCATGTGTATCACAAAAAAATACATCATTTACATGAAGAGGAATATTTGTTAACATCTTGTGGTTATTGACAATTCTGGACATATAAGAGTTTCAACAGAATCAAATAGTTTGAGATCGTATTTAATTGGTTTGAATGCCAGATTACCCTTATATTCTATTGTTTCTCGAAAATCCGGAGTATCATAAGAATTTAGCATTATTAATTTTATTATATTTTTTAACGGAATGAATAAAGAAAATAATAATACTAGTCTTACTTAGAATTAAAATGGTAGAAAAACCATGAAATTAAACTCAAATGACATTGACTAATTCGTCGATTCAAGAATTGTTCAATTATAAAAATAATTATTAGAAAAAGAAGTAGAAATTGAAAATTTGTCAAAACTAAACCAAGATCCGAAAAATTAGAATTCAAATAAGTATCGATTAATGGAAATCAAACAATAAACTCTACAAACTGAAAACTAATAATTGAAAACTCAATTATAACAATATGAATCCTTAAATAAAACTCAACAAAGGAAATGTGAACAATATTAAACATAAATTGAATAATTGACTGCTGTTTTTGAAGAAACTCAAAAACAATTAGAATAAGAAAGACAAGAGAAATACAACATTCAATTTTAACAGTCATCCAACCATATGGATGTTCAATAGGAAAAGATCTTAATCAAAACTCAATTAGACAGTCTACGTAAAGAGAAAAGCTAATTGATCTTAAAGGTCAAAGAACTAGAAAACTCATTACAATTGCACGAATAGAATACTAATTCAAATTGTTCAGAACTCTCTTCATTAAAGTAATAATTATAATAGTAAATTTAAAAAACATCTGAATACTTAGAAAAAAATCAGGCTTTAGAAGTCAAAAATACCTTATTGGAGGCTTAAAGTAAATCCAATCATTCTCAAAATGATGAACTGAGAAATTTAAGGTCATAGGTGATCTAATTATAAAAAGATAAGAATTCTTAACTTGAATTATAATAAGATTTGGAAACTAAGTTAAGATTGCAAACTGAACATGTTTTAAAATTATAAAATCTATTGAATGACAAAACGAAATAATTAGGCAAATATTAAGAAAAACTACATTAAGTTGAATCAATTGAAGAGGACAATTCTATTTTGTAATAGGATTTAGAGAAGATGACCAATTCATTAGAAGAAATATAACTAGAAAATTAAAGAATTGTCAGATTTTAATAACAAAAAATTGATCAATTAAAAAAAGAGCTTTAACAGACTGAATTTATAAGAGAAGACAACAATAGAAAATAGGAGGAAATTGCATAATTGAAATATCAGATAGAAAAGAAAAAAGGAGAGCAAGAAAAAGACAAAGAACAACTGTAGGAAGTATTATAATTTACATTAAATATAGCTATCTTTATTAAGAGAAGCCTCAAAATTATGGGCACAAGATAAAGAGAATTATTTAAAGAAAATTAGCTTATTAACTGATGAACTTGATAAAATTGCTAAATAGTAATATGATTAATTGAGAATTTAAGTGGAAACACAAGTTTAAATGAAATTTTCAACTGAAAAAGTGCAATTAGAAAATCACATTTGGTAATTAAGTTCATAAATTAATGACATATAAGCATCAATTGAATAATACACTACCAAAATTAGTTAATTAAATATTGAGAATGATCAATTAAGAGAATAACTGAATGAAAAACAAATCACTTAAAAGACTGTCATTGTTTTAGAAGGACAACTTAGGAATACATGTAGCGAACTTGAGAAATTAAAAAATATGTTCACTCAAAGAAATCAAGAACTTGATCTAGCTAGAAATAAGATATTAGCTTTAGAAGGTTGTGCAGGATATGCCCAAGAGTTGGAAAAGAAGGTTCAAACTTTAATGCAAGACAACCAGAGATTAAATTCAATTATTATGGATAGATGCAAAAATAATTGGTGAATAATGTATATAAAATATTATATATAATTCACTTTTAATTAAATAATTGTTGTTACTTTAATCTTAAGACAAATCTCGGCAGATATAAAGACTTTTTTTAAAATACCAATACAGGGTTTTAATATTCAGAGGTGTTGAGAAAGCTGAATCCAGTGGAATTTTATAAGGACACAATCGAAGCTTTCAGAGGAACTTAATTTTTATGATTAATATCACGAAATGACTTGACTTGAGGTTTTACTGATTATTTCAATGTTATTTAAGGAATTTGTTTTGGAATTCTTTGAGTTTTCGGTTGTTTAATCTGAGATCTAGTTTCAGTTTTCAATCTAAACTCATTTTAATATCTTAACGGAGTACGAAAGCTTATAGTGTTTTACCGAGATGCGATTTCATTATCTTCTTTTCTTTGTTTAACAGGGATAGTTCGCTTTAATAATGATCTAATTTCTTATTCATAATCATTATCATATTAAGGTTGATCGTCGTAACAAACATTCAAAAGAGATTCAATCGCATTTCTTTCAATTAATTAATTATGCATAATAATTTATATGAAAACAAATCGTCTATAAGATTAAGTTAATTAATCTGTCTATAAACTTCAAAAAAATAACTTCAGTCATTATCTAGGCTAGATGTTGGATTTTTTAAGTTGTTTTATTAAAGTCATTCAAAACTAAATTATTTTTCTCTTCTATTACTAATGTCATTTATTGATGTTTTAATCCCTTAACAGTAAGATTATGTTATTAAAACCAGGAGAAAATTCAGGTGTATTTGATAAATTAATGTAAAAATGATACAATAGATATGGAAAATTAATAAAATTGTATAGAAAATTAGATTATATCATATGTATAAATTTTAGCATTCATCCAACAAGTACTTTGAGTCTATTTATTCTCTAAAATAGTTATTTATACAAATTTACATATATAGTTATTTTACAATATCTAAATCAGCTGTAAACTTTGTCTTAGATTTCATTAAAATTTTTAATAATTTTTTATCTTTAATAAATTTTGGATGTTTTGCATCTTAAGTGAATGTCAAAATTGGAAAATAGAACAATTATTATTATTCATTAAATTCTAAGGACTTATTCCTTTCAATTAGTGAATTAGCAGCTTTAACCTTCCAAACTATATCAGCCAACTACTTTTTTTTCATTTCTATAATTTTTTACTTTTTGTTCTAATAATATTATAGTGATGTACAAGTTGTTCCTCATGCAGAGATTTTAGCTTCAATAGATTCTTAGCAAAACCTGAATTGTCAAAATTAGCTTTAACCGTTTTGCCTTCTTTTTTTAAGACTCTTGAGGCAATCATAACATTAAGGGCATCATAAACTCTTCTTTTAATATTCTACTCATCTTTTGACTATATGATATTTAATTATATTGTACATTATCATAGTCTAAAATTCTATCTTATTCTTAATAATATTCTTTTATTAGTCTTTCTGCTACATCCTTGTAAGATGTTAGCTTGAATTCAAAAACTATCTATTTAACTTTGATATGACAAATGTTTAAGTCCTGCTGATATAAATATTGATTTAAAGTACCTTTCTAAGATTTGAGAGGTTCTTTTTAATATTGATAATTTGACATTGTTGATTGTAATTTATGGTGAATAGACCTACGAATAACTAAAATAGTGAAATACCTTTTTGATTGTAAGATTGTATAAGGAGTGGGTTATTTGAGATTTGAAAATTTGGATGGATTCTTATTGAATTGTTGAGAGACTGCCTTTTAAAATGGTAGAATGTCGAACATCATCTCCAGTTGTTGAGGTTCAAAAGCTATTTGAGTATAGACTTTTTCGGATTGATTATTGAGATCAAAGGGGCTGTTGGGGAGAAAAAGATGTTTTTGAGAAACGTTGACGAACTGAGACTCGTGAAGCATTTATGAAGGGTTTGGGATGACAGGAGGATCATATGACATAGAGTTAACATTATGATTAGTTATCATTATATATTTGTTTAATTTGAGTTATTACCCAATCCGAACTCCTTCAATTATTCATTCAATTCAGCTTCCTAACGAATTTAAATACACATTGATACTTATTCTAGCAATAGCTCATATTATCCCAACTTTGTTATGAAATCGTTGATAGCCTATTGTTTGACTTGCAAATTCTATTTTAACTTCACCATATAGTCAGCCACAGCCACCTGATTCTGGTCCAAAGAATTCAATAGAATCATATCCTAATTAAATATTAAGTAGATATATTTACTGATTTACAAATTTCTACCATCACATCAATATGATCTCTATGGAATACTATGATTTCATCCTCTTCTTATAATACTTTGTTCACCAACTCTTAATGCTATTGGGATAATAGTTGGTTTCTTTATTCCTAGATTTCTTATTCTGGATCCACTTCTTCCAACAGGAGGTTGTCTCCATCCTCACCTTGAAAATCGTCATTTACAAATGGATCTTATTGTTACTAATTTAAATTGTTATCCAAGTAATGTTGCATGAAATTGTTTGGCTATGGAGGAATCTGATTCATTCCAGGGATCAAGGGTGGTTATTTTTAATACATTTAGTTGTTTACGTACGTTTATTAAGGGTATTACTGAAACAATTATTGTTAAGGGAATTGATTTTGGTTGTTGTTGAAATAATTATGGGATTTTATTGAACTACATTTTATTTCTGTAGATTTCCATACATTTATGGTTAATATTGTTGAGGTTTGAGGCTAAGCTTGAGGATTTATGAATTGCTAAAAGATTTTGGTTATTATTACTACTAATATATATTAGGTTGTTATGGGGTCATCATTGATTATTACATGAAATATTGTGGATTACCCAATTATGTTTGGGATGATGATTACTATTGCTATTACGGTTAATTTGGTTAAGCACTCTTGGATTTTGGAAGATTTGGAGGTTATTGTTATTATGGTTACTATTTGGCATAAGGATTTGTGAATTATTAATTATTATATTATTGTTATTGTGATTATGGTTATGAATTAGCTGACAAAGTTCTGGGATGCTATTATGATTGCGTTTAGGGTGGTGGTAACTATTGTTATTGTTATTATTATTGAGCATATTAAAATTATTATTATTATTATTATTACTACGAGTATTATTATGAAGATGTCATATTATTATATTATTGATACTTCTGATTGTTCATCTGAGTCAAACTTCCTTAAGATCCTTGAGGTCCACTGTACAAGTCATCTCCTTCCTCATCTTCAGAATCAGGATTTCTATATTCTCTACGGATTACGTTGGTATCTAATGTAATAATAAAAATGATGTAAACCTGTTCTGGCTAACATCAATTCTCGATTGAGTGCATCTCCTCCTGATTTCTATTCTTATGGTTTCTTCAATTCTTTGACTCTATCTGCATATCTTAATGTGTTTAATGTATGTTCACTATTAGCACTACTTGGTGAGATGTTACCAATCATAACAGTTCTACAATTGCCAATCAAACTATCTTTGAGCACTAAGGTTAGTTTGCTGCCTCTGAATGGAGTATGATTCTTATTTAGATCCAAAGCTCGAATGCACTCTTTCAGAGCCAAGAGAGATTTATTAATTTCAGCTCCATCGACTCTTGTGGTTTTGTCTTAGTCTCTCACATCAGCTCCTCTCTCACTGCCTGCTAAATCGATGAATGAGAGTTTGCCATGAACTAACTTGCCTTGTTTTAAATTAATTTAAAGTAATGCATGAGATCGTGAGGACTCAGAATTAGCAGAGTTTTACGAGGTCACTCTAGAGTTCTATCCATGTTGTATGATTTGCATCACTTGTTGAACATTTTGAATTTTTTTTTCTGTTAATCCTTTGATTTGCACATTGCCTTTAGCGTCTTCTTACGCAGCCAATTAAGTTCTATCATTCAAGAGATCAAACAATTTGCCACAGTAAATTTCATAAAAGGAAATGGTCACATATAAATTGCCATACTCAGGCTAATTGTATAATAATGATGTTGATTACTCTTTATAATATGCTGAATAGGTCATAACTAGCCATCAGATAGAGTCCTGGCACATTGGCTTCAGGGTCACCGAGCATTGTGAATGTTTTACCACTGCCTGTTTATCCATATGCAAAACAAGTGCACTTTGCTTTGTTGAAGGCTGCTTCTATTATTGGACGCACTGCAGTAGCATAAACTCCCTCATTATTTACACTCTCATCAAATGCTAAGTCGAAATTGAAGTGATGTTATTCAACATATTTGGTCAGATCAACTTTCTGCCTAAAAAAGAGAAAGTATATTGAATTTCAAAATGCATACTTGATCTCGCTCAACAAGACTGTAGCTTAATCCTTCACTTGCACAATATCCTAATCACCACGCGCAAGCTCTTTCTTTCCCAGTGGTCTCTTTCTGATTACGACTGTTATTTTGGGTCCCTCCATTAATTAATGTAAATACAAAAAGATCTCAAATCGAGAATACAAGAAATACTCCAAAAACACAATATTAAATAAGTCGATTTGGCAAGAGAAATAGGCATCCATCACAGTACTCTTTCCCTCTGGATGCAGAACAAAAACAAACCAAGAAAACAAGACATTTCCAATTCCCAGAGTACAAGAATCGAAGAGTTATTGGAAAGATGGATAGCCACCTTCCATGCCAATAAAGGCTAAGGAATGGGCACTGGCTAATTCCGACTCCCTGATAGCAGAGCCTCTCAATTCAGTACTTATCATTCAAATACCAAATATTAGTGTCCCATCATACTGTCAGGCCTGTATTGCCCATTTCCAAATTCCACATCCTTAGAAATCAATATCAAAATTCCATCAAATAATAAAGACAAGAAATCATTTTGCGTAAGACTTAGGAGCAATTGAAAAACAATCCCAATATTTCATTACAATAAGCATTAAATCAATCTGTAATACAATCACTTATAACTTAATAAGGCTTAAGACATTCCCATTGAACCGCCCAAACATCAATAATTAGTTCCGATCACCATTGATTTTGAATTAGATGGCAAGAAAATTTACTAAACTTTTTGTTGGAATCTAAATGAATCTCATATGATCCCAGAAACATTTGCCAGAATAATCACAGAAGAGAATCAATTGCCTTCAGTTATTGAATAGGAAATCTGTACACAAATCAAGAAACAAGTTTAAGATTATAAATGCTACTACCCAACAAAAGATGAAATGTTAAAGAATCTCCATGTAGATCTGAGAGTTGAAAACATTCATTTCAATGATTAGTTGGAATGGGATATGAACAATACCATGAATTCACCAGAAGCATTAGCAGAATTGACAGCCAAAGAAATGGGAATGCCTGAATAATATGAGCCTAGAATAGCACATGCTCTAAGAGAATCAATCTCATCTTTACAAAGACAAATGGAACCCAAAACTGGCGAAGACTTTAGTAATTTAAAGAAGAGCACTAGAACTTTGATTGAAAGCAATGCCAATTTCAATCAATTTAAAAATGTCATGTTTTCTAATTAAATCAACTTTAAGAATTGGGTCAGATGTGAATTAGAATATGACCATCAATTTGAATGGGGTCCTTCGATTGAACTTCTTGATTAGAATGCTCTAAGGAATGTGTAAAAGTAGGAGGATCGTAAAACCAGGTATGTAAGGAGATAAAGATGATCATCAATTATATATTCATTTATTTTTAATATAAAATAATAAAACTGATGGAAGAGGGAAATCAAAAACAAAATCTATCCTTTTAAATAGCCTAACTGGAAGAGGAGTACAATAATTACATAGAGTAAAATGCCATTTAATTTTAGCTCTTCTGAGGTTGTAATGGAATATTATAAAAATCAATAAAGAAGTGGATTGGATAAACATTTTCTTAAAATCGAAGAATGGCTGGATTAGGATGCTGTAAATATACTTAATTTATTCCAATTAGAAAGGTAAATAAAATCTTCCATTGGTCATTGAGGCAGAAGATGGCGTAGGCAAAAAAACATTGCTCGTTAAGTGGATTGCATACCATAATGCCAACAAAAAAGGAAGGTACCAAGACATCATTATTCCTCATTTTGCTATGGTTGGAGGAAACAACAGTAATTATTTTTATGCCATATACCGAATATTGGTTAAATTGAGGGAATTGCTAAATATAGGACAAAAGGTAGAGTTGTTGGAAGAGAAACTCCGAAAATACTTTGCATATTGGTTGGACATCTGCAATTCACACATTGAAAATCAAATTCTCAAAGAAGCTAAAACTCTTTACAATAGAATCATTCTCATCTTTGAGGGTGTTAATCATTTTATCGATTAAGGCAATGGTATCTCCAAAGAGGCTAATGTTTCCTTCTGGTTGCCTTAGTTTTTTCCTCCAAGAATCAAAGTTATTTTGACTGCATCCAAAAATTCAGGGGCCATGCAATATCTTTAGAAAATCAATTCACAAGTCATTTCAATCAAAGTTGAACCTAAAATCATTGAGAAAATGATAGAAACACACAAAAAGAGAAAAACATTCCTTGTAATAATGTTAAATTAATATTAGTCTGATTCACTTAAGGATAAATTATTAAATATTCTAACTCAAACTAAATGTGAGATGAGTTCAATATTTTGTAAAACATTTTTGTCTCTACTGATCCCTTACCCAAGTGTTGGAATCATTGCAGAGAATGATGTTAGGCCAGATGTAATTGAATCTTTAGTTTCCTAAATTGATATGTCAAAATTGCAAGAAGTTTCTTGTTTAGATGATTTAGTGAATTTTATCCTGGATCATTATCAAGCAAAGATGTTCAAGGATTAAGACAAATTTATAAAAATACTAATATGCTTTACCATAACATAAAAGGGACTCATGATTTAGGAGGCATTGACAATTTGCCAATTAAATGAAAATGATTGGAAGACATTCTTAGTATTCTTTAAAGTGTATCTTATGCATTATAAAGAGTATTGGATTATAACTAACGATATTTTTAAGAGTATCATTCAAAAAAGATACCTAAAAGACAATTCTTCGGTTCCAAAATTACATGAAGAAATTGCTGATCATCTAAATAAATCAACTAATTCCATAAGAAAATTAGAAGAATAAACATATCATTTATTCATGGCTAAAACATATTTTAAATTAAAGGAAATAGTTTCAGCTATTGAAAATTTTCTATTATTATTTAATCCCAATAATAAATACGATCTATGTAGATATTGGTAAAAACTGGAGGAACAAGGATTTGATCCAGTGATTGAATATAATAAAGCTATTGAAGGTTTTTCAATGCAGTACCATCCAAGTAGTGAAGACATCTTTAGAATCATTGTGTAAGTGTCAAGGTTCTTAAAAGAGTTTTGTGATTTTGAAACTTATCACACTCCTAGTTTCAGACATCCACCTATATAAGGCATTGAGGATGAATTGGACGATATTGGATTATTGAATGAACTATATAGGATGAATCTATGTTACATCATTGATGCCAATCCTAAGAAAATTGGGAAGAATGATGAAAATTATAAATCCCCTTAAGAGAGAATCAATGAAAAGATTGAAAAACTTAAATCCAAACTAGTATTGCAAAAAGATTAAAAATAAACAAAGAAACCTGGAAAAGAAGAAGATATAAAGAAAACACAAACTACTATTAGTCTACTAGAGAAAAAGAAGAAACCAGAAATCTTGACTAAACTAGAAAAATTGAATGTAGATATTCCCTACAATAGAGAATAAGTTAAGAAGTTCTTTGAAGAAAAAATAGGAATCAGTAGTGCTTAAGAAGATAAATAAAGAGAAAAGGAGTCAGAGGAAGCTAAAATTTATTAAAAATTGGAGAATGGATAGATTTCAATGAGAGATTTGGACATTAATCTAAGTAAGGATGAGGATGTTCAATTGAAAAAGCCTGGTTAATTAAAATTAACACATAATTAGATTTAAGTTAAGAAATTAGAAGAGCAATCATTAGTTAGTGAAAGGAAGCCCACGGATTATTATTATAAGCGATGGATTTGGATTCAATTCCCTTGGGTTTGCTTGTCTGTTCATAGTGATTACTCTGCAAAAATGAAATAATGTTTTGCCAAAGCCACTGAATATATGAGTGTTTAGGAAGAAAAGGCATTTACGAAATAAGCATTAAAGATAGCTATTGAAGCTAAATTAAAGAAGAAAATGATGTATCAAAAATAAGAGGATGTCAATTCAACAATATTTGAAGATAAAGAATTATCTGTTATTCCTATTAAATAAGAGTAGAATACATCAATATTGACATTGATGAGACAATAACAAAATGAATTACAAGGTGTCAAAGGATTTAGAAAGGAGAAATCATTGGCTGAAAATACTCTTAACAATTTAAACTATAAATCTAACTATAGAGAAGTTAAATCCACAAAAATGCATACTACTAGTTTGCAATTCTTTATTACAGAGGATCAAATGAGTCTATCTCAAATTCATAAAGAAATTGAAGAATAGAAGAAATAACAGCAGTAAAATTAAGTTGATAAAAAACAAACAACTCTACCTGCAATAAATAAAACTTAAGAAGTCACCTTAAATACAACAATGAGGATCATTGACAAATCTAAGATGCAAAAAGAAAAGTTTAAATAGTTCAATCCAGAAACCATAAATAAATCATCTTAATCAATTTTACCTAGGTTGAAAAGTGAAATTGCACTCCATAATGGCAAAGAGCTCTACATAATGTTATAATAAGCAAAGGATTTGAAGAAGGAACTTGATAATATTATCTATTAAAAGTAATCTAATTAGGTTTAATTTTAGTCAAGCAGCGACGAAGAAATTAGCTAGTTTAAGAACATTATAGCACAATGAGGGTTTTGGAACAGATGTGGATACTGTTTCTTAGATTCAAGATAAAGTAAGTTTATTGATTTTATTAATAATTTCAGATTGAAAACCTCAAAAGATTAAGGGAGGAGGCTGAACATGACTACTTATTGAGTATGGTATAAGATAGTAGATTGAGAATTATTATTAAAATAAGTGGTGACAATAGATCCTATAATGAAGAATGGATCAGAGATTTGAATTATTTGTAATGTAATCTAAATAAACTGATTAAATATGAGAAATTAGATATCAGTAAGATGGAGGCTGAAATCAAATAATTACATACAATACATATTTAATATGTGGATGCATTTAATAACAATATGAATTATTCCAAATAAATGATCGATTAGATTAATAGAACTGTGAGACAGAAAGAAGACTTTGATCATTACTTTTAATAATCAGATTCGATCATTCAATAGTAATCCACTTAAAAAATGCAAAAACTCTAATAACAGTATGCCTAAAATGAAGATAAAGAATAGTAAAGATTGAAGAGAATTCAACTTGAGAGAAACAGCAGAGCTATTTCTGATAAGCTTGAAGTTCTTAGATAAACTATGGCCCATGTTAGTCAATACATAGAAGTAATGAAATGATGTTATATAATTTCAAGGTTGAAAATCCTGATTATGCCAAAGAAGAAAGTTTTGTTGTATTTTTAAATTAATTGGAAATTAAAACATCTCTCGAAGCAAAAATATCATTTTAAGAAGATTTACTAAGTGATTTACACCTTAAATTACATAAATAAAAGATGTATCTAAATGTAAATTATATTTCTATACAATAAGACCTTTAAGAATGCTAATTCAAATGAGAGCAAGAAAGAACGTGTGAAAACAATTTAATTTATAAATGGTAAAGTATAAGACAATGAAACTATACAAAAGTTGATTGAAAAAAGAGATTAATAATTGAAATCGAATTAAGAGAAGGAAAAATAAAAGAATAAATTACAACTGGCATTACTAGATTACAATGTAATTAAGATTTGTGAAATTTTAGATTAGCATTAAAAATGTAAGATCAAAGTTGCAGTCTTGTAAGTTTAAGCCTACCTCTGAATAAGTAACTGTCTCTAAAATAACATTAATTAATGATGTATCTATTCTAATTATTATTTTAAGATATATGAAGATTTAACTAAAAGATAAAATTTCATTAAAGAGAAACTTGGAGAAGACTTGTTTTAATAATTCTTAAATAAGAAACTTGACTTTAGTAAAGTGTACAAAGCAGCATTTAAATATCATTAAGATCCAACTTTAACACAGATGGAACCATATTGAAGTTTTAATAAAAAGTCTATATATTTAATTAGATATATCGTAAATATATTTTCAAATTAAAAAGAAACAATTGTTCTAATATCTCTTCAATCATGAATCCAATGAATACTTTATAAGTTGATTTATTTGTCTATTAAAGGCATTTCTATATAATCAACAATGGAATACAAGAATTCCGCCTTGAGTAATTTTATTTAATACTCTACAATTAATCTCGATTTAGTTGAAATAAAGCAAAAACTCTTTTATAAGACTGACTTATATAAACATAGTGTTAAGTGGTTGAGAAAGAAAAGAAATTTTACTATCCTTAGAATTCTTGATCAAAGCATATGATTTTAAATTTACATAGAAATTATAATGTACAAAAAAAGCAATCTGCAATAGGATTTTGAGTATTGATTTATGGTGAAATATTATCAAAAAGTATTTATTTATAGTTTATAGTAATCAGTCCATAATTAAAAAAAATATTTAATTTCATACTAAATTAATGTTTAAAGACTCAGAAAATAAAGAGATGTATTTGTGAATCAATTAAGGATTGAGCTGAAATAAGTATATTAAATGGGTAATCAAACAAAGAGCTCATATCCTCTGATAGTTCTAAATTCTTTTATTTTATTTTTAAATTAAGTTTATGTAATTGTTAGTAAATTTTGTCGAATAAATTATCAGAAACATCATTAAAAATTATTAAATAAAAATATTATAGATGTTAATGTTAGAATACATGAGTTCAATAGATTGAGTCTCTTCAGCTTAGCTTATTATCAATTTCCATAGGGAAGATTGACAGATTTATAGATATAAGATCCTTAATTCTATTACTTTTACAGTTAGAAAAGTATTTGAAGATTCTCATGAGTTGAATTGATGAATAATGATATTTACATGAGATTTGGTAAGTAAATTATGTTTATATTAAAAAAGTATTAGGAAGTATAGAATGAATAAGATATTCCATATGCGAATATTTTTAATTTAAGAAAAAATTACTAAAATCAATAATTAATAATAATTCTTATGAAATAATTCTTAACAGCAGCAATAGTAACTCTATTAATGACAGCTGGTTATTATCATCTTTAAGAGGATGATACAAATGATTTCGAGAGATGGGCATTGAAAAATAACAAATTTTACACAGAAAGCGAAAAATTGTACAGAATGGAAATTTATAATTCAAACAAAAGAATGATCGAAGAACACAATTAAAGAGAAGATGTCACTTACTAAATGGGTGAAAATTAATTTATGACTCTCTCTCATGAAGAATTCGTGGATCTTTATTTATAAAAGAGTGATTCTTCTGTAAATATTATGGGAGCTTCTTTACCAGAGGTTTAACTTGAAGGATTGGGTGCTGTTGATTGGAGAAATTACACAACAGTCAAAGAGTAAGGTTAATGCGCATCTGGGTGGGCCTTTTCTGTCAGTAACTCATTGGAGGCATGGTATGCCATAAGAGGATTTTAAAAAATAAATGCATCAACATAACAAATTGTTGACTGTGATTATAACAATACTGGATGCAGTGGAGGTTATAATGCCTATGCTATGGAATATGTATTGAGAGTAGGATTAGTAAGCAGCACAAATTATCCATATGTTGCCAAAAACTAAACTTGCAAATAATCAAGAAATGGTACTTATTTCATTAATGGTTACTCATTTGTTGGAGGATCTTAATCTAATTTATAATACTACCTCAATAACTACCCAATATCAGTAGGAGTTGAAGCTAGCAATTGGTAATTTTATAGATCAGGATTATTCTCAAACTGTTCATCCAATGGAACCAATCATTATGCTTTGGCAGTAGGTTTTGACTCAGCTAATAATTGGATTGTCTAAAATTCATGGGGAACTCAATGGGGTGAAAGTGGAAATATCAGATTGTATCCTCAAAACACATGCGGAATCTTAAATTATCCTTACCAAGTTTATTGAGGATTTTTATACATTTAAAAAATAAATATAGATTTTTTATATAAATGATATATATATCTCTGTGTATTCAGATTTTTGTAACAAATTCAATTTTATCATTATAGCCTGCTTTTGGTGTTTTAAAGGCTGATTTACCCATCAAGGTGGTATCAGGTAATTTATTGTTTGTAGTTTCATTTTATTAGATTTGAATAGTAGGAATTACCACTTAGCTTTTGCGTTGATTTACTCTCCTTATGCACACTATAGTAATAAGAATGATAAAGGCAAGTGGGATGACAATTGACAGAATAATAATTAAGGATTATTCTTAGTTGTAATCATTGTCATCAAAAGGTTCAGAATCTTTTGAAATAATGACTTTTCCATTGTTGTTTTTGTCTTAATTTACGCTTTCATTCTCACTAATAGATATGATATCAAGACCTTAAGAGGATGTATCAGAATAATTAGTGTTTGTCTCAACAATTGGATTAGATATTATAGTATCTAGTACTAAAAATTATAAAAAATACTTACATTCAGTTGGCTCAGAACTTGGAAAGTTGATTTCAGTTAGAATATATGATTCATAAGATTAGGAAAGAATTTCATATATTCCAAAATCAGGATCTGGAGTGAATTGAGATAACTTATCAATATATTTAGATAGTCTCTCTTCGGATCCATAAGCTTCTGGTGTACCTGGTTAAGCATCGTCAATAATAGCCCATTCAAATGTGATTTCGACTAGATCAGATTCTCCTAGTCTTCTCCTTCCTTCATCTATGGAATTAGAACAAACTGTGTTTTAAGAATCAATTTGGAAATATAGTTACATTGTTAACTCAAATTGGATACAATTCAAAGATTGATTAGCTAAAAATTTCTATTTTATAGCAAGATAATTGAACAATTTCACATCTACATAACAATCTGGTTCTTAAGTCAATGTAAAATCAAGTTTATTTTTTATAAATGAATAGTTATAAGATCCGCATGAGTCGAGTAAACTAGGTGAAATTGTAATACCATTTTTAAATAGTTTAGGCATCAATTTGATATCAAATTTGATTGAAATGATTACCTAATCCTATGCTTTAGCATCAGAATTTTAGGATAACCAAAATTTTGAGGATGTAGGTTATAGTCCAGTTGTATTCAATCCGATAATAGAATTGGCAGATACTAAACCTATGAAATTGGATTCCCTTGTTTATAAAGGTTTGCTCTAAAGCCAATTCCATTCATAACAACTATTTAAAATATTCTTGTTCTTTCCATCAGATAAAACAACAGGAGAAAACAAACGAGTATTTTCATCTGGAGCAGTACTCATAAAATACAATACTTAGATATTTCTACCTGGGCACCAATAACCATTCCATTGTTCAATTCTCTTGCAATATTTAGCATGCTACCCAAATTCAGTATTATTCGATATACCTTATCCTATTTCTCCAAAGAAGTCTCCTGTTAAATCTTCAATTAATATATTCTTTTATCCTGTGCATTCCATAGAGCCACATCCACCTAAGAATCCAATCTTATTAAAATCTGAATCTCTTAATCTATATAACAAAGATTCAAATTCACAATCAGTACATAATGTATTTTTTAAATAATGTCTGCCTGTCATATCAATGGCTTGAGGGTGTTGTCTGAATACTGCATTTTCAACACAATTCGCAACCTAATTGTTGTTAACCTTAAATTAGTTGAATTCTAAATTGTTAACCAAAACCTTTAAATCCATTACCTGTTTAGTACTTATCCAATCAAATTGATCTGACATCAAATTATCTACTGTAGGCACGAATGATTAAGATGACATAGTTGCCAATTGCATACCAAGAGTGGAAGAGCAATAATTTACATCTATATTCTCATAACATGAAAAACAATTAGGACGAGCAACAGCAGTGATATAACCATCACTAATTTTTATTACATTATTCATTTCATTTATTGATGATCCTTTCAATATTATGTTGATCTTATTCTCAGCAGTTATAAACTTCTTCATTTCTAATTACCTAGAATTTACAGAAAACATTATTCCAATTTTGCTATGATAAGCATAAAGATCTGATATGGCATCACAAGCACTATTTCTCTGGACAACAGCAAAACAAGCATTCTATGCTGAAGAACAAACATTATTATAGATATTTGCTTGATCCACTTAATTGCAATAAGTAGAAACTATATAGAATCCTGCATCTTCTGATCCTTGTCCAATATTCTCTGTTATCTCTAAATTACTTCTTAGGATATTGAGATTGCTCTTCGAAAATATAAAATTGGCCAAAACTGCCCAATTACTTGTAACTGCTTTTTTGACATGAATCAATATGTTATTCTTAAATATCAAATATTTTTAATCCACTATCTCTACCAATGCTTTTACTCCTGAATAAAATACATTATTTAGTACTGAAACCTTGTTACTATTGGAAATCCTCAAAAATTTCCCTTAGCCTTCATGAAAACTACAACCAACGATACTGCTAGTTTAGGATGCTTAAATGAAAATGTTCTCAATTGTTAAGCCAGCTTTCTCTATTTAACCAAAATTTACTAGCTCTACACCTTGTAAACTTATCTACCCAATATAAATGTCATTTTCTATTAAACCATGAACTATTTATATGGTTCCTCCTTGACTTAAATCAGGATTCTAGATTTTTATTTTTCTGCTTAAATGAACAACCAATGTTCTCATATCCAACTAACCTATATTATTTTTCATTATTGTAATTGATCTATCTCCATAATAATCATATCTCAATGGAGAATTTAAAGTTAACACACAACCCTATTTATTTATTATCACTTTTTCCTCATTATAATTCCATCTAGTTCCTGAAGGCCCAAGTGCTATTTTATCTCCTATTTACCAATCTTAGCATTCCTAAACTTCTATGTTATTAGAACCAGCCTAAGAACTTACGACTAATCGAGTCTGGAATGTTTACGGAATAGTGGAGTATAATTCAAATCTATTGAACACTTAAATGTTAAGGGATTTGATAGTTATTTTGCCTTCAAATGGGTTTTCTTTACTTCCTGCAATAATTTAACCTTAACTAATAATAATTGAACTGCTTTATAGAACTGACTCTTGTCTTTTCTTATCAAATATCAATTAGCCTTCAATTGTCAATTCATCCAACTCTGGTGGATCTATGTCTAAAATTATCTAATAGCCTTTTTTAATTGTAACCTTGTCACCAACCTTTGGAATTTGATTTGGTTTCCATGCTAAAGGAGAAGACCAATTGTAAATAGTATTAACTTAATTATCATTATTACCAGTATTTGTATTATCATTATTATTATTACCTGTATTAGTATTATCGGTATTATTATTATTTGTATTATCAGTATTATTGTTATCTGAATTATTTGTATTACCAGTGTTATTATTATCTGTATTATTTGTATTACCAGTGTTATTATTATTTGTATTATCTGTATTGCCAGTGTTATTATTATTTGTATTATCTGTGTTACCAGTATTATTATTATTAGAATTATCAGTATTATTATTATTAGTATTAGAATTGTCAGTATTTGTATTATCAGTATTACCATTATTATTATTGGTATTAGAATTATCAGTATTTGTATTTTCAGTATTACCACTATTGTTAGTATTACCATTATTATTTGTGTTATCAGTATTTCCAGTATTAGTATTATTGTCTGTATTACCATTATCAGTACCACCATTATTATTTTCATTACCAGTAGTATTATCTGTATTACTATCACCGCCATTATTATTATTATTGTTTTCAGTGTTATTACTATCTTAACCTCCACTAGATCCATCATCATTGTTTTAGATTAATAATATATTAGGACATTAAGCATTTTCATTTGCAAAGTTACATTAATCATTATTTAAGCATATCATTCCTTTGACTTTAATTGGGTATTTACTCTTTTATTATTGACCAGAGATGCAAATATATAAAGATTTTGTAATCTAATCATTATACCAATCACCAAATTAACAGTTTTATTAGTTAGGAATTTCCAACAATGGCTAAAATGCTTAATCTCTAAATCTGTAGACTTGGAAATTCTAATTACTTAATAAATACTAAATCTTGATTATCAAAGGATTCTATAAATTAGTCAAAGTAGAAGAGCTAATTATACTTAAATCAATAGCATCAGCATTAGGAAAATTGAATTAGGTCTCGAATACTTCAGTTTCTGTCCTTATAATAAGATTTAAATCATTAAATATATTTTACCACACAGAAAATAGTTTAAGGATATATGCTAAATTCTATTAATCTTATTGTTATTGAGTATCTAATAAAATGTTTATTTGAATTCCATGACCTACAACAGAATGTGCAACATTGTTTTGGATATTCTTTACATCCCACCCTAAAGGTTGTGTCATCAGATGATCATGACTATTGATTCTATTAACAAAGATATTGAACCCAATATAATCACTTGAAATTGCCCTATTGTTAATGATAGTATTTTATGGATTTGATATGTAAAATGCCGAGGATTATCTGTCTATATCTTACAATTAGTTTATGTATGTCTAAAAATTGAAGAAAGAACAAGAGTTGTCAACATATTAGTTTGATTTTATACTAATAACTAGATTAGATTCAATTCTATTATGAATATCTGCAACACTAGTTAAATGAATAGCATTTCCAATGATATTAAAGCAGACATTATTTATTACCCTTAGATATTTTACATTATTCAATACAATGCATCTTGAATAACTGTCATGAATAGAATTACCTTCAATGAGTGATTAATCCATTTCTTCATTATTAAAAAAGTGAATGGGATATCTACCGACAAGATTAGTCTATCCTCCATTTGCAATTTCAACATTTGATATTTTGACTATGGTTCCTTCACTTTATCTTCCATTAATATGAATATGAACACCATAATTGTTTGAACCTTGTGATTCTGTCTGAATCAAAATGTTTCTTGACAATAAACCAACTTCAGTTTTCGATGTTAATTCTGATGTATGTGTATAACTGAGTGGTTTATCTAGAGTAATACTTTTTTTATCAGAACTAACAGCTTTGATAATTCTAATTTCATTCTCTTCAATATTATTACTACTAGTGGCAATTACAATGGATTCACCCACATTCCAATCTACGGATGAACTCAATTTAATTATGCTATCACCCTTTAAGACTTTAGAATCTAAGAAACTCCAAGTGAAAGTTCTTTATTTACCAAACATTTGGATTTAACACTTTATACATCCTATAACTTTGTTTCCAATTAAAGGGAATTAAAAATCGGTTTCTCTTCCGCTTATCATAATGATAGCTTAATGCTAGTAGGGTTAATCTTGAGACCCAATAATTAAGGAACCTTCCCTTAGTATAATTGAGTTGGCAATCAATTTGGTGTCTTGTTCATCAGCAAATATCAATGTTCCTTCAATAATTAGTCTCTCAAGTTGTTTTGTATTGACATCTAATAATACTTTTTAATAATTTTTAATTAGGACTGAATCTTCATCCTTTGGAACCTTATACTCCCATGTTGAAGCGTCTGACCACTTTTAAATATACATAAACTGTTATATAACAAGAGCTTAAGCTTTTGACACATAGACAACTAATCCACTGTTATCTGTAAACACAGTTTTAATTCCAGTTTTACATGTAATTTATGTAGTAATAACACTCAATATAAGGCATTGGACATTATCTATGGTTACAATAGTTTAATCTGGAATGAAACCACTTCCCTTGATAGTTATTACAGTTTCTACATTTACAGGTCCATATTTAGGTACCACTGATTCTACAATTGGTTGATGTTGATAAGGGAATGTGTTTGCATTTGACAAACTAGGTAATTGAATGCCATTTACATTTATATCAAGTTGGCAAGTAGTAAGTATATCATCATCATAGTAGATCCATCCGTATAATTCAATTTCAGAAAAGGAACATTAAGATCCTTAAACCCCTTGATCATCTATGAATTTAATTGCATTAATCTTATCTATTGGCGTTTAAAGTATGACAATATTCCAACCTTCATTAATGTATTTTAATTATTCCAATGATATCCAGTTCTAACCATCAATAGTATAATAAATTTTAATTGTCCTTAATTTGTTTTAATCAAATTCTAATTTTGGTTAAAATCTTAATTTAGTAAGTTTCAGCTAGGCATATTATGATTTCAGATTAAATTATATAAAGCATGAGGTTTATGAATCAGATGAGTACTCTGTTGATATTATATCATCATATATATTCTGTGCTAATTCCATTTTATCCCCTGATATAATCAAGTCTTTAAGAAGTATCTTGGAATATGGTGTAGATTATAATAATTATGATGGTAATAACATCGGAGCTAATACTTCTAAACTATTGAAACTGGATGACAGCACTTTACAGGTCAATCCACAAAATTTGACTAAATGTGAAAAAGAGTTAGAAGAAAACCCTACACCACTTATATTGATAATGACTCCACCTATAGTAGAAAAAGAAGGATTATTTACTGTTGGTGCTTGAGATTAATCCAAAATCAAATTTTCATAATTTCCATCTGAAAAAGTACCATAATAACTGTCTACTCTTATTTCTATCTAGTAAGTTCCAATTGGAACATTTGAAAATTCTAATTCCAATATAGTTGAAGTTCCTGAATTCTTTTTTCCTGTTTATATTTCTGTTTCACCTATTAGTCGAACTGATACATCAGTCCCAGCCAGATTTTCTCCTTGAATTTTCAATTGAAAAGTACCAGAAATGTGAATAATTGCATTTCTAGTAGCATCTAATTTATCTTCACTATCAATTTAAATTGAAGTCACTTTAGGAGATAGAGCATAATCTTTAATATTGATTGCCATGTTTCTAGTTAATACTTTATCTTAGTTTTCTTGATCAATTTGATTTAATGTAAGCATGTATTAACCAGCTGTAAGTCTAGCCTTAAAATTACATTATATATCTGTAGAATTAATCACTTTGATTTCAGTACATTCCTTATCTTATACTAAAATATCTTTAATGTAAATTTCATTGAATCCCCATCCCTTAATTAAGATCACACCTCCTCCAGAAGATGTATCACTTATAGATGTGATTCCCAATCCAAATCTTGTATACCAATATAGGAACGTAGAAGAATACGAAAGAACAGGTTGGGTTAAATGTAATCCTTAAGTCAACTGTGGAACTATAACAATAGTTACTTAATTAGCTGCTTAAGTAATCAGGGAGAATTTAGTTTGACCATTTTAACTGAAGGACAGTTTTATAGCCGCAAGCTTGGTCATTAAATCAGAAGCAGTAGCAGATAATTGGAATAACATTTAAACAGCTTATCCTGGGGTAAACTCTAGAATTTTTTAATCCCAAACTATATCATATGATTAGAGAGCATCAATATATTGAGACTATTTGTAAAATAGTAAAGGATTGGAATTTTATTACTTAGCCTCTTCAGACCATAGCATTAGGTACTTTGGTTTATATTTAAGATAGTTAATTGTATTATCAAGAATTGTAACTTTAATAAAATCTGGAGCTAGTTGGTACTCAAATTTGCAGGCTAGACAAGTTGTTACATGCTTAAAGTTCTAGATGAGACGAAATACTCCAGATTGTACATCCAATATTTAGGGTGGACTCATACAAGATAGATTGGTGTCATTTCTATATGTAATATCACAAATCTAAGGGTTTACAGAATTAAAAGAGATAATACTCGGACCATTCAGAAAGTTAGATCCTAACACCTTTACTTGGTATCCACCAAATGATTTAATTTTGATTGTCGATGAATTAGGAGTTAAGTGAGTTATTGAAATGTCAACTGTAATTGCTGATGATGTTTATCCATATTATTTCCTTTAAACCAATAATTGGGTTTTAGCTATTTCTAATGTAACATTGACTTGCACTGTTAGTAATTTGTCTTGTACATCAATTACTTAAATTTCCTTATTCTGAATAAATGCCTTAACATCCTGTAGGACTGTTCCAAAATTAGTTCCTGTTACTTGTAAAGTATCCCTGAAAAATGGTGATATTAAAATAGAACTTAACTTTGTTATGGTTAGTTTATAAGCCAAATTATAAGTAAATGAAGAGTCACTGTAGGAATTACCATTAAATTCAATTTTTATAGTTCCATCAGTTCCTGCAGGATGCATAAATACAATCTTCTAATTACTTACAGTCAAAGGAGTAATTTAAGTGGTTCCCATTTTTAGTACAAACTTTCTTGAAAAATCTTTTGGAAATCCAAGCCCTAACAAAGTAATTTCAGCTCCTCCATCAGGAGATGCAGAGCTAGGATTGATTGAGTTGAATTCTAATGATGTTAAAGCAGCAATCACACTTGGATCTCTTCTTATGTATCCATATAGTTTGTTCAAGACAATAGGGTATTAGTTTGTACCAGCCTCTGCTACTACTTAAGCATTCTAGGTCTCAAGTGTACAAAGTAATTTAAATAAATCACCATCATTTGTTTAAATCTTAATATCTCCACAAATAGCTCCTCTAAACTCAATAGTAAAATCAGTAGCTGCTAAAGTAAACTAAGCATCTGACTGAATAGTAAAGCTCAGACTCATAATTTCATTACTTACGCCATATGATTACAAAACAAATAAATTTGTCTACTAAAAGTTGAAATCACAAGCGCCCTCATATAAACAAGCCCCTTGTCCTTCAGATGTAGAAACTTAAACCTAAGGTTTAGTACCATAGGTGAATAATTTAAGTGTTGGTATTGGTTCATACAACTGAGAATTACAAGATTTTATGTTTTTGACTACCAAATTTACAATCCCATTCCCAGATTGTAAATTATTCCATGATGATTAGAAATTTTAGATAGTATTTGCACAAGAGCTAAAGAGTATATTCCAAATCTAACCATCCTTGGGTCTTCCCTCAGTCCAGACTATAGGTCTTTCACCTATTAGTCTTTAGAAATTATCAGCCAAAACACTTGGGTCAACATCATAGGATAATCCTTAGTTGTTATTTTCATCTACAAATATTTAAACTTAAGCTTTAACTGTTATTGATAATTTGAATGTTCCAGAAATAGGATCTAAAGGTTCTTGTGTGGTTTGAGCATTAAAACTAAATTATTCCTGAGTTGTAATTAATTAAGGAAGAGACCTATCCTCTCCTCTATGAGAGAGAAATGTTATAATATATTAATTGCCTGCATAAGTTTCTGAAGCATCATCCAATATTAATCCAGAATTATCTAATTTATTTATTTTTACTTATGTTAAATAATTACAACAATCCAATAGAGACTATTAAATTTAAGCACTATTATAGTTGAGAGTTATATCTTCAGTAGTGTAAGATAACTAGTTAGAGTTTGTAAATTTTAATTTAAAAGTATCCAACAATAATACATTTCCTTAGGAATTATAGATGTCAATCGATATGATTTCACTTTTAGGAGTGTAGGATGTTTTCACTTAAAACAATTAACTTTATTTTGTATTTGGTGCTTACACCTCAGTAATTTTAGCATTCATTGAAAGAGTTACAAATCCTTTGCCTACAGTGTTAACATGAAAGATCTCTATATAATAATATTAGTTCTCCACTAAATTGACTGTTTATGATATTGAATTGACAGCTTTTGAACTATCCCATAATTATTCTCCCCAATAATTCCTATATTAAGTAGATTGCTAACATGAAGCAGCTGGAGACTCAGCACGTATTGGTTTAAGTGTTTCAGCTGTTTAGATGTAGAAAGTAGCACAGTCATCAGCAGCCAATAAAAATTAATATTCTCCAGATTGGGTTGCTTTCAAAAATCCTCTAAAATACTATCCATATTGAGACTCAACTTCGTCAATAGAATCTGGTTATGATTATATACCATGTTAAATAATTCTAGCCTTTAATTCTTAAGAATCTGAAATTATGTCATTTCTGAAAACATCACAATTAGTATATTTATTTGTCAATCCTCTCAAATCATATTTAGTATGTAGTAACCCAGTTCCAGAGATGAAAACTGAGCCAACAACATTCAATGAATCTAGCAATATTTGATCTGTTATTTTTGGTATTTAGACCTTAAATTATTTACTTTATTTACTTTTAATTAATTTATGGATGCTTCTAACACTGTTATAGAAACATCTGTTCCTGAAATCTTGACAATATTATCAGTCAATCCGCTCTTGAATCCTTGCCCTTTTATGAGTAATATGAATGAGTCATTTGCTTCGTTTGACCATTATAGTGAAGATATTATAGGAAGCATTCTTATTATAAAAACAAATTTTTACTTAAAGCTTTTTTAAGATAAGATGTTTCCTCTTCTAGTACTCAAATTGACTTGATAGGTTGATGAAATCAAGTCTTCTGCTAATTTGCAGGATATTACATCTTCACCCTTCTACATCTGGGTATTCAAAATTCGATATTGATTTTTAACACAATATTTCTGTCCGATAAGAATTTTCTCAATCTCGTTTTGCTCTTCGCCTTACAATACCCACTGTCCTTTGGTAGTCAAGACAGAATTTGCAAACCCTATAGATGGGATTAAGTAATGTAGATATGGAGATATTTCTTATTTATATGAAAAAAGGCATTTATTTGTCTAAGAAGTACATACTGATTTCTTATTATCAGATGTCTCAATAGACACAAGAAGATTTTGTAGGGAATTGTCATTTAACAAGGGTGCAGTAGTCTTACATGACACCTCTTACTCTTTAGCATATGTTTCATCTATGATACAAGGGTATTTGCCTATATACACTATGTGGTTGGTTACGATTGAATCAAAACCTATAGCCTAAGGATAAAGATGACATTACTTTCATGTATAAGCTCGTTCCTCCCTATGTAGAACCATATAGATTAGAAGTTTCTTTAAATTAACTGGTAGACACCCAAAACAAGTTTATGGTCTCAGTCTTTTAATTTTATTCAGGCACTAATGTAAGGGCTAGAGATATAGATGAATTATTAACCTCTCAATTATTCAACACATATACAGGCAAACAAGTATTACAAAAATGATGAAGATACCATCTATTTCAGAATTAATTAATATAAGAGTCCCAAATACAATTCCGCTATATAGCACAGAATTGTAAAAACTCTACCATATATATATAATAGTAAAATCAGATGAAAGGGAAACCCTTAAAAAAATAGATCATTTTATATTTATAATCATGCTTATTATATATGATAATATTTTTTGAAAATATTTATTAAATAATTAAATTTTTAATATAAATTATCTTGTGAAACAAACAGTTCTATTTTTTGTTCTTTTTGATCTTTTTTTTTGACTAAAAAAATACGAACTGAATTTAATTTTCACGTAAATACTTAATCTATTTTCATTCTTTCATTTTAATAACAAGAAAAAATATTAGATATTAGTCCACATTTGAAGTTGTATCCTTTTTTATTATATATTCTAATCGATATGACAAAACCAAGGATATCTATGGCAATCTAATACAATTTTAAATTTCTTCTAAATTGTTATTCTTGCAAGTCTTAGCGTAAATTTAGCTTACAATTTTAATACACAATTATGTTTATAGATATTAAATTGATCAAACTAACACATTAAATATTCTATATTTCTCAATTCTTAATGGTGTTCTAAAATCAAAGATCATTATTTTTATATTTATGATTCGAACAATCTTAACAATTGCCACAATTTCCCTGCTTTTGCTAAACTAATTACTAACAAACAGAATCCTAACCACTCACTGAGTTTGAAATTTGGTAATAGAAGCATCAGAAGATGTACATTGGTGAAGAAAGAATCTATAGAGAAGCTGTTTATTAGGCTAATAAATAAAAGATTGAAAATCATAATAAGGAAGAGGACAGAACTTAGATATGGGGGAAAATCAATTTATGGCCTTGACTTAAGATGAATTTATATCATTATATTTGACTCAAGTGGATGCGCCAAAATTAGTTTGATTTATTTATGGTTAACTGTTTTTTAAAATATATATAATTAAATTTGTTCAAAGTATCAACTTGTAACATCTTTTCAACTTATTGGAGTTTTTAAACTACATATTTTTTCATTAAACAAATCATCAGCCTTAGAAAATTTCAATCTGTTAATTACTATAATAAGCATATCGAATTATATAATGATTTATTATTAATAACTATTCAAATATCAAAAGTAATCAAATCCCTTACTTTATCTAATGGTACGGAATGATCTTTCGTGAGTTATATTATGCTTTTATTTTGGTAATTTAAATAAAGGAAGTGTTGTAAAACTTGGTTTTTTAATAAACTTTTATAGTTGATAAGTGTCTGCGTCAGTTAGATCATCTTCATCATTATTGACTTTTTCTTCTTCCTTTTTCTTCTTTTCTTAAGTGAAAGTTAATTTAACTCCTGGTTTCAAAGGGAAAGCTTCAAAATTATATGGTTCATCATACTGTGTTTTGACTTTGGTGGATACCTTTAATTTAAATAAAGCTTATTGATTAATAATGTTCTCTTCAGCAACAGCTTCTGATTGTTTTTTATCAACTCTTCCTTATAATTTACTTTTGACTGTATTGACAATAGGACTCAATTATTTAACTTATTCTCTCTTCCTCATTATACTGCCATCGGAATCGTAAGCTTAATAATCTTTTAATGGTTTTTTAGATAACAACAATTTAACTTAGATTTGTCTTGCTGGATGAATGTATTCGTTATAAGGCAAATTTTGATCTCTGAGTTTAGCATTTTTCTTATCCTTCTTCTTCTTCATGGCTTCTAATCTATATTTATCATCAGATTTGTCTCTGTCAACTACAATGAGGGATGGTTTGGGTTCATAAGTTTCAAAAAGACCATAATTTTTTTTGACTTCCAATTCCTATTAGGATGTACTCTCGTTTAATTTGATTGATTATCGTTTCCATAAGACTGATTAGACATGTTGAGTAGTGTGTCTATCAAAAACTGGAGTTTACTTTAGTTTAAATTCTTAAATACTGGTTCATCATCATGAACGTAGATCTAATCAGGAACACTATATTCAAGGATGTATAGCTCCAATAGCTATTAACAATGCTCTAAGGCAATCATAAAATAATTAAAGATAATTATAATCAATAATCTAACTAATTATTATATTCTGGTCTAATTTTTAGATACTCTTCGTAATCCTGGGGTTACACTTGTTGAATGTATTCATGCATATCTTCTCTTTTGAGATTCACATCATTAAGGAATTGTTAATACTCAATCCCATTAGCCATATAAGGATGATAGTAAAATTATTTATCAAACATCAAATAATAAGGATCTTGCTCAACTAGTTATTCTAATATATTCAAACAATGTTACCATCTTTAGTAATCTCTACAAATTAGCTTTTCTTTTTGCGTCCTGCACGACTTCTCTCATTTCTTGGCAATCTTTTTCCATTTTCTCCTCTGTGAGCATAGGGATTAAATTTTTGATGATGACTTCTACATTGACTGGGAGTACGTGTACCAATTAGTTCACTCATTTGTTTAAATATTTTTGATGTTTTCTTCATCATTGACGAATTCATAATGTTTTCATATTGTGATAGGAAATTCACATAAGTTGTGTGTTCAATTGCTGACCAATGACCAGTATTTATGTTTTCTTTTTTTGGCTTTTTTGGTTGATGATGTTTGTTGGACTTTAAAGTCTATTTTGAACCCACAGGAGAACTATTGGTTACAATATCCGATTGCAATTTAGGCAACAAGGTACCCTATGTAAAATGTACAAGCGAATATTATGGTTAGACTGCTGGTTTCATACTAAAGTGCTAAAGGATATAAAATACAAATCCTCCTTTTGAGGTTCTTCTTGTTATGCTTTAGTTTTAGGAAGCAATTCCTTTTAATCATCCCTTCCATAATAATACAACAAATACTTGTGTTTTTTTGATTTCTTTGTCTTGTTTTATGATTTCTGATCAACAACAATATCATAATTGATTACTTGTTAAGGGTACTAAAATTAGGGATAAATTGGAAATTCGTTGAGATTCTAGTTCATAGCATATTCTATCATTTGATTTTTAGGCATGACTTCATTCTCAAATTAATAAGCTGTTTGATAATCAACAGGAATTTAATAGAGAGGATGAATCATGATTGCCGACAATAATTTTTATAAATTATATATTGACTTTTTCAGAAATTCTCCTCAGGTATACTAAACTACTGTTACCATAAAGAAATAATACAAAATTTGATTTCTACTTATAGTAATATTATAAAATCAATATCTTTGAATGGGACTATTTCTTAGTTAGGATTTTAGTGTAGCATCATGGATGGACTTATTGGCTAGTAATTCAGCAGGAACTCCTATTCTACTGTTATATGCAGCTCTGGATACTAAGGTTTCAGGCAAAAGACTCTTGTCTAGTATGGTGTATTTCTCAATCATTTCAGTCAATTCTCTGTTCTTGATTGCCAATTAATTTTGGAGATCAGAGATTTGATCTGAAAGTAATCCTACTTAGGTATTGTAGGCACTCTTAAGGTTTTCAAATTAGTAAGCAGCACCTGAATCCATTTTATGTCTTAATTCATCTATTTCTAGATTCTTTTCTTATTCAAAATGGTGTAATTTGTCAATCAATTTGTCATTTTCATCTTGAATACGTTTTTGGATAAGTTCAGCATTATTTCTTTGGATTGTTAGATTCTCACATTCTTTAATTTTATTGTTATACATATCGAATGTCTTTTAGATTTCATATTTTTAATGATCAATTTATTATTCCAATTATTTCTATTTCTCTCTGTTTTATGTATCTATTTCTTTAATAAGAGTCTTTAGGTCTTAGATTTCTTGAAGTTTTGATTTTTCAGTTTCAAATGCTCTGAGTTTAACAAGTTCTAAATCATTTTATAAATTTCTTAATTTATCTTCAAACTCTAATTTGATTTAAGAATAGTTCTTAAGATTCTGTTAAATTTCTTGGTTTTTGTGATCTAACAAATTCTTTAAGTTGATTATTTCTTGATTCAATAATTAAATCTATTTTTGGAGATCAATTTACATATTTTCATATTAAATGGTTAATCTTTCAATTCTGGCATGTTAATCAGCAATTTCTCTGTTTTTCTCATTCTCTAATAAAATGGCTCTTCGTTTTTGATCTTCAATAGTATTGATCAATCTTTGGATTTCCCCATCATAATAGTCCTTTTGTTATTATTTTTCAACAACTAATTTTTGGATATCTGAATTTTTATGATCAATAATTTCCTTAAGTTTTAGAATTTCTTTATGTAAAGCCTACAATTGATTTTCATGTGTTAATTTAAGATTAGTGGTATCATTATTATGAATGTTATCTAAATTAGTTTGGATATTATGATTTTCTTATTGATGTAATTATTCATTACTCAAGATTTGTCTTCTTAGCATTTCAATTTCAGATCTCAATCCAGAAATCTCTAATTCTGATTGTATTTTTTACTTTTGATTTTGGTTGATTAGAGTTTCGATTTCTTGAGTCTTGATTTCTAACAAATTCTTAAGTTTGGTAATTTCTGAACCTTAAACATCTTGTTGATTCTCATGAGCAGTTTATTGATTTCTCAAATTGGTTTCTTGATACAAATCCAATTTCTACTTTTGTGCCAATAATTCATTTTGATGATCAATTTGAATAGCAGTCAATCTAGATTTAGTGATATCTATTTCATTCATTAATCTTAATTAAGTATCTTAAGACTCTATTTTCTGTCTCTCAATTTGAGATTACAATTGAGCCACTTGTAATGTTCTATCTTCTAACATATCTCTAAGTTTCTTGAGTTGTGCCTCATACATATCAGCTTGACTATTATTTGATCGTTTAAATGTTTCTTAGATTTACGTTGTTTAGTTATCAGCCACATTTCTCTAATCCGAAATTATTCTATTTTTTTCTTGATCCAACGCACTGCTTCTGGCATTGGCTTTTTACACTTCCAAAGTAAGAGCCTTGATCTCAGATTCATAATTCTGTCTTATCTACATGAGAGATCCCATTTGGGCTTCATATTTTTATTTCCACATCTCAGATTCACTTTTTCTTTACAAAGCCATCTTTTGAGCTCTTTCCAATTGGCCTTGGAGAGCATTGTTAGATTCTAAGACTTCGACTACTTTATACTCTAGGTCGCCACTCTTTTGCTAAACTAGACGTTAAAGTTCATTATCAGCCTTATATTTGGCCAACTCTCGTTCGAGTTCATGACATTTAATTCGATAATTCTCTGCATCTTCAGACACAATGCTAAAGTTCATCTTATTTTAGAGAGGGGAATGGATGTAAGGCGATTGATTATTGAGTGGATGTGCCTTCTTTACGGTGCCTGGTTATGAGAAGTCCTGACTAGCTAGGACTTACGAATATTTAGTTGGTGAAATAGTTCTTGGTTACATACTGAGGTTCATTGACAATTTATTAATAAAAATTATTGACACCCGCATTAGCTTAACGAATACTTTTATAACACATATAAAAATTATGAATATAATTTATTTATCATTAATATTTTTTACTCCATTTTGTAGTTATGTAGCTTAATCATATCAAAATATTTACAAAAACTAATTACAATATCTCCATTTATCACAAGAATCTAATTGAAGAATAATAATATTTGATATAAGACAGAAATTTCTAAAGTAAATGTTGTTTCATCAATCATTTTTGTAATAATATCATTATAATTACAATTATATGCTATCAGATTATGACTTTGTCTTTTCCTGAAGATCTTGATTAAACAGTATCCTATACTTATTAACAGAATCGAAGAAATTAGACAGAAAAACATCTATGTTTAATGTATAATAAAGGTGTGTATGAAATATTCATTAATAAAATTAAAACTTATTTTAATAAAATATATATGATTAATTTGGAAAATTTTGATCAAACAAAATTCAAAAATCCCATCCTTGATAGGTATGATATCTCCAATACAAAAGTCCTCGGTCGATTTAGGCTTGTCGATTAATTGGAATCCTACCTCAAGAATTAATTTAGATAAGTTTATAAGAATTAAAACAAAGACGACCAGATTTGAAACTGGACAAGCAAGATTGGTAGAAATTCTGGGAACATCAAGAAATAAAAAGACAATAAAAATTAGAAGCCTGTATTGAGACTAGATAATAAATTATTCAAGCAGGAGGCATGTAAGGATATGAGCATGATGATTAAAACTTTAAGGATTCGAGGATGTCAGATTAATAAAGTAATGCTATTGAGAGAGAGAAAAAGGAATTGGAGAAGATGAAATAGCGACAATAAAAAGAAATAGATTAAATGTTAGAGTACGAGCGGAGGATGTAAGAAATTAGAGAAAGGAATGAAGAGAAATAAAGAAAACAATTAGAGAAATAAATGAGAAGAGAACAAGAATTATATGAAAAAAGGATGCAATAGGAATTAGAAAAATAAATGAGAGAGGAAGAGAAAAAAAAGAAATAATAAGATGAGGAAAGATATAATAAGTAATTAGCAAGTGAGCATTTCAGAAGAGAATAAGAAAGAGCCAAAATGGAATAAGAAAAACAAAACTACTTAAAAATGGAAGCAAAAAAGAAGGAAGAAGAGAGAAGATTAAAATAAATGCAATTCTAGTAATAAACACAATAAATTTAATAATAATATGAAGAAGAAATGTAGAGAAAAAGATTGATTATGTAATAAAAGGAAGTCGATAGATTACAAACTATTGAAATTTAGAGATAATAAAGAATATAAGAGTCTCAACAAGCTTAACAGGAATTGGCTATAAAATTAGTGAATGCCAGAGTAAAACAAGAGGATCAATTAAATAATATGAAGAAAGTATTTTATAGTATTATTATTAGTCTTTCGATTTAAAGTAATAAAAAATAGAATAGAGAAGAAGAGAATTTGAAGAAATGAAAATGTAAAAGATGTATGAAAATCAAATACAAGCATTACAACATTAAGAGAAAATCAAGGAAGTTATGGAAAAGAATTAGATGCAAGAAGAATAAAAGAAATATGATTACTTTAGTAAACTATAAGAAGTTGAATAAAGAAAGGAAGAGCTGGAAAGGTTAAAACAATAAGAAATCATTTCTAAGAAATAATAAATATATGAAAAGGAATTATAAAGACAATAAGTATTACAAAATAATGAGAAATAACTGGAACAAAAGACTAATGATTTTCTCAGGAAATTTTAAGAAAAGGAATAATTAATTTATGAAGTAAGCAGTAATTTAATTATTTAAGAAATAATTCGAAAAATAATAATTCTAACATGAGTAAAAAGTAAAAGAGCTTTTAAAGGAATAGGATAAGAAGGAAGCATTAGAAAGAATCATGAGATTGTAAGAATACGAAAAGGAATTACAAAGATAAAAATTATAAGATAAAATGAGAAGAGCTGAAATATTATAAATTGAGAAAAACTAAATGTTAGAATAAAGAATGATGATCAAAAAAGAGATAGGATTTTAAAAATAGGAATTGATGCAAAAATTAGAGCTAGTCAAATTAGGAAAACTTGATCCATCCGCTTTAAATCCTGATGGCAATAGTATTAGAGCATCAAATAGTTTGCAAAACAGTTACCATAATGTTAGACGTATATAATAATAATAATATTAATAATAGCATCAACTGCAAAATATTAAAATACTCTATCAAATAAAGATATGCGTCATAATGTAAGACCGAAATCATAATAATAAAAAATTTTAACAAATTCTTCAAATACATAATTTGGTTCTTCAAATCAAGGAAAATTTACTATGACTAATAAACACGAAAATCAGATTGATTAATTAAAAGTTCGATAAAATTAAGAAATGATTGATGTATTAACTAACTTATGCTAAATAGGTCTTAGAAGAAGAATAGTAATTGGAATTTGAAAGAGAGTAAGCTATGGCTAATACAAAAAATCCAGAAGAATAAAAAAGATTAGAAAAACTATTTTAGATTGAAAGAAATAAAACTAACTAAAGACTTGATTAACTTAAGCGGTAATTATTTATTTAAAAATTATTAGAGAACATTAAAGATAAGTGGAAGAATTCAGAAACTAAGGCTGAGTTTATAAATTTATTTTTGTATTTTTTATATAATTTTAAAATATTAATTCATCTATATATGTTTATTTTAAGGTTAAATTATCTATTTTTAATTTGTTAAAGCAAAAATAATTTTTGAGTTAATAAGCTTCTATTATCATCTAAAGACTGAAAGTATTTTTAAGGAATAATCTCGATTAACTGTTATATAATTATTTAAAGTTAATTATAATAATAAATCAATTTGATTGAGGTCTAATTATTTCAATTTTAAATGTTAAATCTTATTTCAATAAATATTAGAGTGATCACTAAAAATTAACTTTGTTATTACATAGTTTAATCATATACAATTATCGTTCAAAACTAAATTTATTCTGTTAGATAATTTATGTATTTTGATAAATATTAATTGCTATTAAAAATTATGAGGATATTATTTCATTGTACATCTATTAGTACATTCAAACTTAAATTCAACCAATAGTTTAGAATGAAATAAATCAAAAAAATTAAGTTTAAATTCAATATGTTTAGAATCACTTAATCTCTATTTCTTCAACTGAATTTTAAGGCCCAGCCTTTTTTAGATTAGATTCTGTTCTCCACTTTTATGCCCAGCTTTTAATTTTCATCAATGAAACTAAAGAATATGCATTATCAATATCCACTTATGAAACTTCCATAACTTTTTCTTCTTGATCCCTAATATGGAGATATACAATAATTATACATTTCATCTAATAGTTAAGCAGAGCTTTGATTAATCCAGGGATGCTTAGCAATTTCACTTATAGATGGTCTCTTCTTTGGATCCTTATTCAAGATGAAATGAATAAATTCTTTAAGACCATCACTAATGGCAAAATTCTCTGGAAATTCAACTCTAAATATTTGAATAAGAATGTACTCATTTTCTGAAATGTTCTTCAGTATGTCAGGAATGCTGTTTCCAGTGAAAGGAACAGTTAAGTAGGTGAAGGCATAGAAGGTTACTCCAAGTGCCCAGATATCTGCAGCACGACCAGAATATCCATCTTTGGCTGTTTCTTTATTGCATGCTTCTGGAGGCATAAAATAATAAGTTCCTTATGTGTTTTCAAGCACATCATTTTTGGAACCGACAACTTAAGAAACTCCGAAATCTGCAATTTTAGCAGTTTTACCAGACATCAATACATTTTGAGGTTTGAGATCTCTGTGTACAACTTTATTTTTATGGACTAGGATATTGAAATATATATTACGGAATGCTAAGCCTTTTATGCAATCTCGAAAAAGAGAAGAAAGAATATCTTCGGTTAATTCTTCATCCTCGTTCAATTTATAAAATTTGCCTTCATCATCATCCCATTCAATGAGTTGACCTCCTTCTGCAAATTCAAGGACTAGAGTGTAAAAATGAGGAAATTTACCCATAAACAATTTATCACTTGTAGGATTGTCAATCACTTCATAAAGTTGAATAAGGTTGTTGTGTCTTAGTTTTTTCATGATAGCAATTTCCTTTTTGACATCTTGCAAAGCATCCTTGACAACTAGATCTAAAATGGAATAAAGAGGGTAGTTATACTTCCATTGGCATCTTTGACAAACTCTCTTTATCGTTTAAGTTTGCTTTTTTTAAGTATTTTAATGGCAAATCTTTGAGTGGGATCTCCTTTCTTATGAGCCAGTTTGACTTTACCAAAGGCACCTTGACCTAAAAACTCATCGAAAACATAATCATTTAACATCTTTTATCCCTAAGTAGATGTATTTTGATATATAATTACTTCTTCATTTTTGAGTGTGACAGCCTTGACAGTTTCTCTCACTTTTTTGTTTTTCTAAGAAAGAACTAACGAAAATAGATTACTTTAGGGATTTTGACTTTGATTAATGTCTAAGGTTAGGTCTTTTTATCTTATAATAACAAGGAGGATTGCTGATCATGCATATAAGGTGAGGCAGAATGTTCCTGTATAACTTAATTAATCCTAGCTTCTTTTTTCTTTGCACAAACTGATCCCATTATTAAATTGAATATTATATAATTGAACTAATTAACTTATTGAGAGTGAATATTAGATAACATTATTAAATTAAAGTACTTTTAAATACACGGAATTCTTAAACATTAAACTGATGAGATGAGAGTCATAATGGTAAATATCTTGATTAGTATATAAATATGATATTTTATAGCATCATCTGAGATATTATATAATAATATTAAAAAAATGGATGATGATCAATTGTAGAAATTGATAGAAGGAGATGAAATGAGAAAATTCACAGACTATTTCTCATACAAGGCAACGATTGGACAAGGAGCATTTGGTATTGTTGTTAGTGCAGTGAACTTGACAACACAATAGGAAGTGGCGATAAAAGTATGTTCTCCCAATCTATACTGATAGGTAATCAAGAAGAAATTAGTCAATCGATATGATTAATTGAAATAAGAATCTACCATCTTGGCTAGTTTGAGACACGAGAACATAGTGAAATTCATAGATGTTAAAGAAACTGATACTAGAATTTTAATTATAATGGAACTTATATAAGGAGGTACGCAAATTTATACAATCATAGGTTCTTTGGAGGATTTGATGCAGAAATTACAAAAGAGTAACAATTGGTTTACAGAGGATCAATGCAAAGCAATTATTAGGAATATCTTATAAGCCTTGGCATATATGCATAAGAATAATGTTGTACATCGAGATCTGAAGCCTGAGAATATTCTAGTCAATGAAGATTTAAGTTGTGTCAAACTAAGCGATTTCGGGTTGAGTTCTGTTTAAAATTAGTTAATGACTAAACAATGTGGTACTCTAATCTTCATGGCACCAGAACTCCTTATGAATAAAATTTATAGCAAGGTATAGTCTTATTCTATCATTAGAATGTAGATATATGGGGTGTTGGTGTAATCATGTTCATGTTACTTAATTATGGATAACATCCATATTATAAACAAGGAGACTCTCTTGAGCAGATTCTTCAGAAGACCAAAACCATGCATGAGCAGGGCAGACTTACTTAGTAACAATCTAAAATGATATAAGAATTTTAGATTGTAATACAGTCTATTTAAAAAATTAACCGAATTGGACCAAACCAAAAGGTACAGGGCTGATTAAGGGTTGCTTCATCCATGGTTGAATGAGCAAATCGATGTTGAGATACCCTAAACAATGGAGGAGATCTTCCATACTTGGATTCAATAATAAAAATTACTAAATCTAATAAAATCAGTAATGTGTCTATCGAAAATGGGTTACATGAAGAAATTAGAAAATAGAGAGATATGTAATCGGTTCTCAGAGTAAAAGAATAAATTGAAGGAGGATAAAAACAAGAAGGAAGGCAAACTTACTATTAATAAAGAGTTTTATGATGAATTGTTCGAAGATTATCAGAAGACCTTAACTGAGCATTAGAGAAGATTAGTTTTATAAAGTAAATTAAAATTAAATATTGATAGCACAAAAAGTTGAGAGCGAAAAACAAATCAAATAGTAGGTCTAGAGTCAGGCTTTATCTACTGTTTAAGCTAAATTACAATTCATTATTCGAGCCAGGAAACCTACCAGCAGTCAGAAGAATGTAGATGAACCAGTCCATGATATTGATAATGAAGTTAAATTAGAGTAAAATGAATCATAGCCTGATATGCTTTAACTAGATAATGAATTGTAAAATGATACTAGTGCATTCGAAAAATCATATCACGATATGTCTATGCAGATAAATCCAATTGTGAAATCTCCGAAAAAGAAAAGAAAATCACCCCTCAAGACCTAAACCAAATTGTACATCCAAAAAAACGAAAGCATTAATAATTCTCAATAAGGAATCAAAGAAAAACCTAGTAATTCCTAGGTTCCTAGTCCTACCAAACTCATAAATACTAGTGTTATTAATAGTAATAATACTACTAAGCATCAAATTAGACTCAAACCACTATAAACTCAAATTGAACCTCCAAAAGAAATTATTGCTAATAATACAATCCTTAATCAATATCCTACCAATTATGAACCTAACTTTCGCTCTGCAATTAGACCTATTAGATAATCACATGTTCCAAGATTATCCAGACTTAGTGTAGATAGAGATTAAGTTTAACCTGCCGTTTTAGATCTCTCTAGTATGGCTATGGGTGGATTTAGTCCTGTTCACAGTAATCAGTTTTTGTTCCCTTCCAAAATTCCAAGTTATTGTCCTTAAAAAAGAGTATACTAAAATGAGTTTCATCCTTCTAAAGTACTCTAATCTTTGGCATCAAAAAAATCAAATGATCATTATAATTTTATTAATGGTGGGCCTAAATGAGATAAATTAAATATAATTCGTTCTTAAATTAAATTTATAATTAATGAATTAAAACAATACAATAAATATTAGAGCAATTAGAAATAAGAAATCAATTAAAAAGGACTTGTCATTATAACCAAAGAACATACATGATCAATACTATTAAGAATCTGATGATAGTGAAGATGAAAAGGTATTATTACTCAATTCATAAATAGATATTATCTAAAATTGGAAGATTGCAAACAAAGAAATACAAAGATAAAGATTTTATTGGTTATGATGAGAATCTAAACAAAATTCAGAAAAAAAAATAGTTTCAAGATACCATTGATGAATTCATTAATAAGACTGAAAACAAAGATTGGTGGAGAGTAGTCAGAGATGAGTTAAACAACCAAGATGTAGTATTAAGTGATAAGCAATTGTAATTGTTAGACAGAATTAGAACAGGCAAAACTGCAATCAAATTATCAGATGATGTAAATACCATATTATATATCAACGTAGTATTATTTTGAACATGAAGATTTCAATCAATTTGATCTCCTTTCTTCATACAATCCAAAACGTAGGTTCCTGCCATCTAAATGGGAGAGAATTAAAATTAATAAATTAGTTTAAGGCATTAAATTAGGGAGAATAGTTTTGAATCCACCTTAAAAAGTGGAGAAGATGTTTGACATCTGGGAAAATGTAGCTGAAGATCAAGTGTTAAGCAAATATTTACCAGCCAGAATACCAGCTTCTAAGGCTTAATTACCATCAAATGTTGCTAGTTATAATCCTCCAGAAGAATACCTATTTACTGAATAAGAAAAGTAATAATGGTTGTAAACTGATCCAGAAGACAGAGAAATACCATTTATTCCATAAAAGTTTAAGCATCTACGAAATGTCCCTTCATCAGAATAATTAGCAAAGGATTTATTCAATCGATGCTTGGATTTATATTTGGCACCTAGAATTAGAAGAAAGAAATTGATGATGAAATCTACAGATTTTCTACCAGAAATTCCAAAACCAGAAGAATTGAAACCTTTTCCAACTAAATTAAATTTCGAATTCGGTTAGATTGATACAACAAAATCAGGCTAAGTTAAACAAATCTCTATATCACAAGATGGCTAACTCTTAGGAGTTTGTTATGAATTTGCTATTGCATTCTTTGATACCAAGACATCTAAATGTTTATATACTAAATGGTAATCAGATGATAAACAATTTTTGGGATTAGATTTCAGTTCATCTGGATTAATTTGTATTCTATAATCAAATGGATTCATCATCTTAAATTCATATATTGATAAAAGATAACATCCAAATGTTGAAGATGGTGAAAAGGCAAATAAATAAATTCCTAAAAATTCAAACAATGTCTTCGAGTGGAATTTTGAGTTGGATGATAATGTGTTTCAACAATTGCTTGAAGTGAAAATGCCTTATGATCCCTTGTATGCTCAATTTCATAGTAAATCTGATTATATTGTGAGTACATAGCCTCATACTCATGTGAAATCTCATTGCATTTTAGTTCATTCCATCAGTAAGTCATCAACATCTATTCCCTTTTAAAATATGAAAGCTTCCACTGAAGTACAATAAACTATCTTCCACCCGACCAAACCAGAATTATACATTATGACTAATAAAAACATTTTTATTTATTCATTAACCAAATAGTAATTAATGAAAAAACTACTAGCAGGTAATTAATAAAACTCAACAATTGCAATTCATCCATATGGAGATAATTTAATCGTAGGATCAAATGATCAGAAAGTGTGTTGGTTTGATTTAGATATGGGAAAAACACCTTTTAAGAAAATGAGTTATCATAAAAATGGAGTTAGGCGTGTTATTTTCCATAAGACTTATCCTTTGTTTGCTTCTTGTTCTGATGATGGTATAAATGTATCTAATTAAAGGAACTATCAATATTTTCCATTGCCGTATTAGTACTGACTTGAATTAGGCTCCAGTAATTCTCCCCTTGAAAGTGTTGAAATAAAAGAAAAAGGAATCAGTGATGGATGTTGCATTTCATCCAACTTAGCCATGGATCTATTCGGCAAGTAAAGAAGGAGTAGTAAGTCTATGGACTTGATGTATATAAATAATTATAATAAATCTATTAATACGTGTTTATTCTTATTTGAATTAAATAATGCAAATGTGTCTAATTTTCTTCTTTACTAACGTTTAATATTCATTAATATAATAAATATTGTATCATATACATTAGTCATTTTAATTAAATTATATAAAATGTAACTTAGATTCTGCGATAAATAAATAAAAATTATGTATTTAAATAACAAATAGTGACAGATTATCTAATATTCATTAAAAATAGTCAATAGATTTATAATCAGATAAATTAGGATTTACAAAATTTATTTATTGTATCTTGATAGATTTCAAAGTTGTTATGTTTAACATTTATTTCATATCTCTTGGTTCCTTCTTGCCTTAAGTTGATGATTGATAATTCAAATTAAAATAAGTTACATTAGCTAAGTATTGAATATTAAGGTAAATAATTAAAAATTAATATAAAAAATGATAAAGAGAAATGAAAAATTAAAGAAATAAATAGCCCCTTCTAGGAATTAAAATAATAAAGCATGTTTAAAACCTTAAGTCTTTTAATTTCCACAGTTAATGAATAAAACTACTACATTTACAGAAGCAATCAGATTTTAAGGATAAATTCAATAACCATTTACACCTGATGTCATGATTAGATAATCCATAAACAAACCAAGAATGATTGAATAACCAAAATTCAAAAACAATTATGGAATTTAACGCTTTTCAGCAAAAATTGTTTCAAAGCAATAAAATGTTAAGGAACCAGTCATCATAAAAATAACTACAAATAAAAATCATAATGTTCTTCAATAATTAGAAGAATAGAGTGAATATTAATTAAGTGAATTAGGGACATTCGATGATTTGATTCAGCAAATTTAAGAACGAGTATTGGCTAAAAATTCAAACATTTTATAATTGGCATAAGACCTTTGTTCTATAGAAACAATTGATTTGAGAGGTTTCTAATGTATTCCTTAATTGATAAAACACCTTGTGATTTCATCAGTTTAATAGCAACTTCACATTTCATAAATCCTATCTATATTATTTACATTATGTGAGGAAATAATGACTAGAGATGATCTTGATGAGTCTTTATTGGAAATTATTAAAGTGTATCTGCAAAAAGGTTACGAATCTAATCTTCAAATGATAGTCATATTCATAAAACGTTGTGGCTAGATGATATATTACATCAGAAGCAACAAATAGAAAGTGTTTAGTGAACTTATCCTAACTTTGTTACTTAAATTCAATAGTACGAGTTCATTTGAGGAATCTCAATTGTAATTGTCATTTAATATAATACTGAGACACAAATAATTGAGATTGTATATAAAGGATAATTAAGATATTTATAAATTGAAACAACTTTCATTAGTAGATTAATTATAGAGATTTAAAATTAAAATTAATTGATAAAATGCACTTATATTTATATGTATTATTATCTTAAAATAAATGCTTATGATCATAAATTGTAATCTATAAATCAAATAAAAATGCAAAACCAAGACAGAAACATGTAAAAGAGAAATATTGGATATACAGAAATGACTTTCTTCTCTTCATTCATCATACTGCTCATAAAAGACAGTGAAGCTATTTATAGTTTAAATAAACTCACAAAATGTTGACCAGAGAAATGCAGCACCAACAATTATTAATCTTAAGAAGAATCCCAAATATGATTAAAGGAAAGTTATCAAAACAGCAGCCACATTTATTGGAAATACACAATAACCAAGCACACAAACACTCTAAAAAAATGAAACCTATCCACCCAACAACTTTGCATTTACTCTAAATTCAAACTTAAATTTTAAACATACGTTATCACTGCAGACCCTCCCCACATAATTATGAAGATTGTCCCAAAGATAGTATCAGCTAAATATTAATTATCTCAACTAATACATGATTGATTAGAATTTATTCCTAGTGTCCTAATTTATAATCAACAAATTTTACATTGCTAACAACAATGACAAGAGCAATGGTCCCCATAAATCCCCTATTTTAATTTAATCTAATCTTTTACAATTTCTCAATTTTCTTCCTTGGGTCTCTTTCATCCTTGGAATTATGACATAAGACAATTTGTAAAGAATCATATTAATATCTCTCAACTTTACATTAAAATCAAATTTACTAAAGTATCCATAACTGGCTCATCTAAAGTGTTCACTTACACTTCTTATTAATTCATATGAGCATAATCCACAAACTTTGCTTGTCCTTAAAACATTCCACTCCCAAAGGGAACTTAATGATTATCTGTCATTTATATTAATTATATTT